ATCATCAGTCGTTATTATTGCACTGCCAAATTATTTGGTTTCATTGGTCACAGCTACCTAAAGAAATCTGGACAACCCACTAGAACGGGAGTTGCTATTAAGCATGGAACCATTACTTAACTTGATATTTGTATGTAGATATAATACTTGCTTCGATAACTTAATATGTCTCACTCGATTCCTTGTGAGGCCGCTGGTGACAAGTCCTGAACTACGACAAAATAGTCCGTTAATCCTCTCTAATTTCTAATGATTCCAGAACACAGATTAAAATTACGATAAAAAAGTAACTACCATCCCTAAATTCCTCTGAAAATTCACCGATAGCGTACTCTCAACATTATAGGTTAATGAAAAAGTGTATATTAATAAGTTATGTGATACGAATAGCTGTTGCGTCGGTTGTTATGTTAAGCCCACATACCTTCTTTTAGCTTCTGAACAAACCGATTTACCTATCCATCTTGAATCATCTTTTGACTTTGTTAATTATTCACTTATCAACCCTGACTGTTTTTATATGGTCGTAGTCAGTCAGTCAGTCAGTCAGTCAGTCAGTCAGTCAGTCACAACGTAGAACCTCGTACGTACGTATATCAGTTCGAGTTGCTATACCACATTAACACAGAGATGCAGTTGTAGATTCAAATCCCATAGTGCTAGAATTAGTAAGAGTATAAACAGTAATCAGAAAGATTCGGATTTGAAGATGTTATTCAAGCAGTATATATAATACAGTGAAATAAATTTGGAAAGAGAAAAAAGATAGAGACATGAAGAGTTCAGAAGATTAGAATTTGGTAGAACACAAAGTGTGGATGCACCTTCTCCATTGCAAACGATTTTGAGCCATGTCATTCAAGGTCTCTAACCATCGGTTGTTATCATCTCGCAGATCCCAACCAGGTAGTCTACACCTACCAACATGGCTCAGTCCAGTTGTCAGTGATTCATGGATTTGTGCCACATTTTGGTCTGGCCACCCATAGCTTTTTTCCAACCTACTCCTATACCACAAAACATTGCACGTCGGGGCAATCAATGGTTGGGCATACGTAACACCTGTGTAAGCTATCTCAACTGATGAATTTTCAATACTTCATCAATCGATTTGCCATCCTTACCTAGTACCCGTTTCCTAACAACTGCGTATATGTGTGCACACGTTTTATCTTGTTCATCATATGTCTATCATTTATTCTTGTCTGACTATAAATATTGATTAACGCTTGATAAAATCGAGTTGGCTTACCCACCATCTCCAATGTGTGTCATTTTTGTTTCGCTCGCTGGTATTTGCTCATGTGCTTATAGCTTTCTGGTCTGCGTTATTCGACAATAAACCTGTCGTTGCCTAATCTCTTTGCCTTCTGATTTTAAACACCGTGTAAGATTTGTATTATAACGGTTACCGAGGTGAACGAGATTAACGAAGCACGGCACTACATAGCATCGTATGAATACAGTTATATACAAAATACTATTCGTTATAATGTGAATTGAGCTGATATAGTAAATCCATTGAAACTGGATCATTCTTCTCCCATTTAAAGTTACTTCTAGAGTATACTTAGAAATTGACTGAACCACTTGATATGTCGTACAGATTTTTAAAGTTCGTACTTCTATGAATATGATCCTCCAAGTTCTTAATGTGCCTCTTTTATCTATCAAAAGAGAAGTCTATATGACACCAATGATAATCATATATACAGTGTCATTAACGTTTCAGAATCAAACGCATATTCATTTATACAACCGAGTTTCTGGGGGGGGGGAAGGGAGTTTCTGTACAGTAAATACCAAAATTTTAAGGGCGGAAAACTATCATGAATCGTAACAATTTTAGCTGACTATATACACCTTTTCTTTAATCTGGTTAGTGTGGAGTAGTACTACATCCATCGTCAAGAATGCAAACGTATTTATAACGAATAATCAACATTCACTGGCCGGATACCATCAGTAATAACCTTCTGTGGGAGAGGACAAACCACCTTTGAGTTGAAGAGGAAATTAGGGAAAGACGTTAGAAGTGGATCGGACATACATTGAGGAAATCAGCAAACTGCATCACGAGGCAAGCGCTAACTTGGAATCCTGAAGGGAAGCGGATATGAGGAAGGCCAAAGAACACATTAAGCCGTGAAATAGAAATAGATATGAAAAGGATGGATAGCAACTGGAAAGAACTGCTAAGGATCGCCCAGGATAGGGTTGGATGGAGAATGCTAATCGGCGTCCTATGCTCCTCCGCGAAGGGTGACAGACCTAAGTAACATAAACCTTTTATGTACAACCTGGACTGTACTATTCGAATAGATTGATTTCGGCAGTATAGTACAGTCTGACATTAAACCTAACATTTAATGTTGCTTTGTCGATAGTAAACAACTGCGTACCCTGAACGTAAATTGCATACTTTTTGGAGCACAGTGTGTCTGCGAGTCTGAAAGAACACCCTATCAAATAAACAGATTATCGATACATTCAATGCTAAATTTCCAATTATTTTCCTTCTCATAGTTGAAATCATTAATCAGTTGAAGCTAGAACACCATGGAAAACCTGGAAGCACTGGACTGCCGTTTCGTCCTATTGTGGGATTCTTCAGCAGTGCGTATCCACGACCTCGCCTCGCGAGATTCGAACTCAGGACCTACCAGTCTCCCGATCAATATTAGACTACCTTTAAAAACTTGAAAGCATTGGATAATCGTTTCGTACTAGTATGGAACTCTTCATCAGTGCGCATCAACGGTCCCATACCAAACAGAATCGAACTAAGGACCTATGGCCTTGCGCAAACACTTAATTTTCAGACCACTGAGTCAGCATCCACCGGCGTTAATGTCTAACTTCAATCGATCCATGATCTTACACAACCTTTTATTAATTGTCTTCAGTGATTAACTAACTGTCTCATACCTGAAACGGGTTCGACTCCATTGGTCACGGTTTCTTACTAGAACTCCAAGAAATCTAACTATTCTTCAACTGTCTATTATATGGTGAGAACAATGAATGATTACATGTGAACCAACTGTCTCTGATTTTTCATTCAATACTAAAACTACGATCTTCATTGATATTAACTTATGAAGAGTGTGTAAGATCCATTTTGAAGGTTTTGTGTGTGTGTGTGTGTGTGTGAAAATCCCTTTATATACATGACCTTGTAATTTATTCCTATGAATTCTTTCAGTTGTACATTCTGTTAGTATTTTAGATTCCATTTAAGATGGTAATATGTGTATTCTACTGTAGTTTTCATTGTTCTTAAGTTTTCACTAAGTTTCCATGTTTCTTCTTGAACTACAGTTATGCTGTTTTAGCTGATACTTAGTCTTGACAACAGCCAGATTGATTTGTTTCCTCTTGGATTATGTTACTTGCACTGACTAGAATTGGGTAGTTTTATTTGCGAAATTGAATCACTCTTTCAGAATTGGAAACACTCTGTATTATCTTTCGAACGAATCTGTGCATGATCTATCTAAAAAGGATAGAATAACATTCATTTGTTGTATTTGATCTGATTACTGATTGAACAATTATTGGTTGACTAACTGGATGGTTTGAATTATTTTTTTTATGGTTAGCGCTTTTAAGAGAGTTAGTTTTCTACGGGGTAGGATCGTTAACCCCATGCCCAACCCTCCTACTTTACCTGAGCTTGGGACTGGCAGTAAACCCAGAGGGGCTCCAGGCGAAGAGATGATCTGGCTTTTCTATTGCACACGCAACAACAATGACCAGTGTAGCAGCAGCCTTAGCAGCATTAGGTCTCAATATAAACATAGGGAAAAGTAAGATTCTCCTATATAACACTATATATCAATCAAATCACACTTGACGGAGAAGCTTTGGAGGATGTAAAAATCTTAACATATCTGGTCAGCATTATTGATGAACACGGTGCATTTAATGCATATATGAAGGTGCGGAACAGCAAAGCAAGAGCAGCAAATCTACAATTGAAGAACATCTACAAGTAAAAAAGACTGTCAACCAACACCGAAATCAGAATTTCCAATACAAATGTCAAGACAGTTCTACTACATAGAGCGGAAACTTGGAAAACCATGAAAGAAATCATCTAGAGGATACAAGTGTTTATTAACGGTTGTCTATGCAAAATACTTCGAATCCGTTAGCTAGACACTATCAGCAACAACCTACTACGGAAGAGAGTAAACCAGATTCCAGTGGAGGAAGAAATCAGGAAGAAGCGCTGGAAGTGGATAAGACACACATTGAGGAAAGCACCCAACTGCATCACAAGACAAGCCCTCACATAGAACCCTGAAGGTTAAAGGAAAAGAGGGAGACCAAAGAACACGTTACGCCGAGAAACAGAGACGGACATGAGAAGAATGAACAAAAACTGGATAGAACTAGAAAAGATGGCCCTGAACAGAGAGGGTTTCAGAATGCTGGTCGTCGGTCTATGCTCGATTTGGGGTAACCGGCATAAGTAAGTAATGAAAAAACTGGGCAGTAATATTAGTTTAGATTGTAATGTTAGGTTATAATGAAATCTAGAACCGTCATTTATGCAATCACCTTGCTCTTCTTCCAACTTGGCAATAGCGTGTATTTAAACTACTTAGACAGTTATTCGTCAGTTTAAACCTTAGTTTTTATTCTACAGTTTCTCCTATATAAACTATTATTATACAGTTCGATGTTGAGAGATTGACAAATAGTATTAATAAATGAATTTGTCTTAGGGATTTATAGGCTTTACGCTGTATTCTGCTTGTTTAACACTTCGAAATCATTCCATTTCCACATAATAACCACTTATATATTATCAGCAGTCTATCCCATAGAAATATATTTACATTGTCATAAAATTTTTTTTAGATGAGAATAGGTTTTTTTGGAGAACTTAGTATTTTCATAGTTGAAATCATGAGTCAATTGAAGCTAGACTACCATGAAAAACCTGGAAGCACTGGACGGTTGTTTCGTTCTCTTATAGGACTCCTCAGCAGTGCTTCCAGGTTTTCCATGGTGGTGTCAAGCTTCAATTGACTTATGATTTCAACTATGAAAAAAAAATTATCCAAACATCCACACACACAAACACATCTACAAACAAAAAAGCATGACGTAGAAGAAGATAAAAGTGTCAAAGGAAAAGCAGCAGCAACAGCAAAATGTCTATTTATCAAAATTATAAAACCATAACAAAGTACAAATCGTTCAAGTAAAAAAAAACGAAAAGAAAAACTCGATTAGCAACAAAATATACAAAAAAATTTTTTTTTTTAAAAAAAAAAAGAAAAATCCCAAAAAATAAAACTTGAATAGGTTATTTTTTTTATTGTATACAAAACAAACTATACTACTGAAATAATGAATACTTCCAAAGATAATCTTTTGTGTAAACGAAGTTATTTAACTGAATCACAATTAATGAAAAAGATTATTTCTGTGGCAGAGCCTTATCAAACTCTTCAAGATAGATTTATATAAAAAAATACTATATGGTTACAATTAAACAAAAATAGAGAGAATATAAACCGAGATATAAAAAAAAAATTACTGTTATGTAATATGTTGTTGTAATCGTTGTTTTTTTGTGTATTTGTTTTTTGGCTACTGATTAAAAAATTAGTAGTATAAATCTTTGGCAAAAAATATATGTTTCATTGTTACTTATGTATGGTACTCTCAATGGAGCATAAGCCGCCGTCGAGGATTCTCCAATTCAGTTAATACTTTACAGGTCAATAATATTTATATTTGTTTTGCTACTAATCTTGTTTTGTTTTTCTTTCGAATAGTTTGAAAAATAACTAAACGTTTATTCATTAATGATAACATAATATGAACACCTTCAATAAGATGTCCATTATATGATAGATTAGATATTAATGATATATCATTAATACATTCATTGAATTTAATACAATAAATAGGTATTAATGTTTCAGCAAGTAATATCATAAAATGTCCTGTATTAAATGATATAAGTAGATGTTGGGATATAATATGATTTTGACTATCATCTTGATATTCTACACGACCAACACCGCCTTCATCATCATCATCATCAGCAGCAGCATCATCATCGTCGTCATCATCATCATCATGATTATCTTCTTTCTTAAATATACTACTTTTTGATAAAATTGGTGTTGATGTAAGTAAAATACGTGTAACAATAATTTGATTTAATTCTATACTACTTAATTTACAATAATTAGTAGTATAAATAAATAATGAAATTTCTAATAATTTTTCACCTGTAGAATTAAATAAACTTAATTTAGGTCCAGTTTTTTTTTTATCTTTTATAAAATTATAATTCCATTGTATATATATAAAACCTAATCTAGATGATATAATTATATGATGTACAGTTATCATATTATTATATGTAACTATCCCCCCTGTATTAGGATATATATTTAAGGGAAAATATAATTCATTAGATTCAAATGTATTCAATTTAATTACACGTGACCAATTAGATAATTTTACACTAAATAAATAAATTTCATAATTTTCATTAGTTGCCATAACACCTGTATCTAAGGACATATTTAATGAAACACATGTAACTGGTGTACCATATGAATTACCATAAAAAAATTTAATAATTTTAGCTAATTTTTTTAATTTATATTGTGAAATAGATAGACCAGCATGCTTATATAGTAAATTATAATCCATATTATTAGGTAGATCTAATGTATTATGTAATAATCTTAATGATTGATTATGATTATCATTAAGAGATTCTATTGAAATAGTTCGATCATATGAAGAACCATCTTTTGAATCTTGTTGTTGTTGATGAATGAATAAATTGTCTTGACTATTGAAAAGTATATCACTATTTAAAGATGTTCTTTGATTGAATGAAGTAAATAATGGATCGTTCATAAATGGGGAATCATTATAATGATGAAATTCTGAAAGATCTTCCATATCATTATCATCATGAATATCATTAATATCTTCTTGATTTAAATAATTAAAATCCCATATAGCACATGTACCATCTAAACTACCAGTTATAATATAACATGATTTATTATTATTATTATTATTATTATTATTTAATTGATTAATTAAATATTTATTGATTTTATTAAAATCACCATGATATTTAAATGATTGTTGATCAATAAAATTAAATATAGAATCAGTTGCTAAGCAACTAATAGTATCTAAGTGAGGAGTTGTTAAAATGGTGTGGATTTTTGATTGATATATATTATAGATAATTAAATGTCCATTCCAATATCCACCAATAAATAACCATTTATTATCATAAGTTAATGCAAATAATTGTGATGTATTACTATTGTGAGAAGATGAAAATGGTTCCATTGAAGGAATATTTAAACAAAATATTTCATCAAGTTTAAACTGTTTAATATTTTCATGAAAATGTATCAATGATAGATCAAATGGTCCAATAGAACTATTAAAACAATGAAATAAACAAATAAAAGAGGTTAGACATTAACACCGTTGGATGCCAGCTCAGTGGTCTATCGGTTAAGGGCTCCGGCTCGAGACTGGTAGGTCCTGAGTTCGAATCTCGCGAGAGCGGGTTCGTGGATGCGCACTGCTGAGGAGTCCCATAATAGGACGAAAGGGCCGTCAAGCAGTGCTTCCAGGTTTTTGATGGTGGTCTAGCCTTAATTGACTCATGATCTTGACTATAAAAAAAATAAAAGAGAAAATAGTTACCTATTTAGGAATAAGTCTATATGAAGTACTTTGTTTTTTAAGATCAGAACTTAATGATTAAGTGGATAATGTGATAGATTACTGGTTTCGAGTTGGAGAGTAAACATCAACTCTGAGATACAAGTACATCCAGCTGATAAATTCGAAATAGGATGAAGTGTCGTATGTAGTGAATTTCTTTATTAGATACTATCCATCTTTGCTTATAAAGCTTATGATTTCAGGCATAGGATGAACATATACCAATAAGAGACTGATTAATTTCAGTTCTAATTAACAATGGGAAGATACAAGTAAACAACATCAAGTAAATTTAAACTTCACATCATTGGACAGGCAAGTGGCTATCACGACTGAGTAGTTAAGTGAATAACGTGATAAGGTTTGAAGCGAACGGTACTGGATTGGATTCCTAAAGTGAACATCAACACTGAGATTCAGGTACACGAATGGGACGACTGCTAAATAGGACGAAGTGACGAGCTTCCTGGATTCTACTACTAGTCACTATCTATCTTTGCATATGATGTTGAAAATTGTTACAAGTTTTATTAATTTTAATGTAATAAAGATGATTGGTAGTTAGCGATTAAATTCACGAAAACAAACTCTAATTAGATACTTATAAATTAGATTTGCCTACACAATCGTGTTGATGTTCAGATTCGGAATTAACACATAGTAACAATGTTCAAACGTCTAACACAACATTCACTTTAAAATTCATTGATCACTGGGTGATGATCAATGTCATACGTATCAAGTTCGTCTTAGTGCTGATCGAATTCTATCGATCAAGTTGCAATGTGGCCACTAGACTAAGTGACTTGACATTTCGTTCACTATGTTGAGATAAGATGATAGTTGGAGGTGATTAACAGGAAACCCTGGAACCGGATTTCGTGTTACTTAGCATTCGTCAGCAAAGTGTACGTGTAATCTTGAGGGAATAGGTGCTCCCTAACGGATTCGATACCGTGTTACTCATCTTCACAGGCAGTAAAAAAAACCAAAAAAAATATATACATGAAGATTTAAGTAATATATACACATTTAGTAACATTTTATAAAACAAATATCGGCGCGACTATAATTTATAAACAAACCAATCAGGTAACATGGTGGTTGGAGGTGGTCAACAGGAAACCCTGGACCTGGGTTTCGTGCTACTTGGCACTCGTCAGCAAAGTGTACGTGTAATCTTGAGGGAACTGATGCTCCCTGGCGGATTCGATTCCGCGTCACTCAGCTTCACAGTCAGAGACGTTACCACTGAGCTATTCGGGCCGCGACCGACCTCCTGTAGGACTGAGATCTAATCACAATTGATTGATCACTGGGTGGTGATTAATGTCATGCGTGTCAGGTCAAATTTAAGATAATAAATCTTCGAGTTTGACGTGAAATTTCGATAATGTAATGAGAAGACGAAGTTTATCAGAATTATGTGATGATATATAAGCGCAATACATTTCAAATCAATCTGATCACACCTAATATACTTGTTAAGAACATTTTTATATGAAAATTAAAAGGTCAACTAGACAGGGTAGTGGAACACATACCTAAATGGCTACAGAACCAAATGAATTCGAATAGTCAAATAAGATCACAGGATAGACAAACATCTTCCTCTATTGCGAAACATTTAGTTGAAACTGGTCATAAGGTTGACATCAAATCAGCATTTGTAGTGTTGTACAAAAGCCTTCAAGGACGTATACTAAGGTTTATTGAAGCCTTGGCTATACGGAAATTGAAACCCCCTTTATGTGTTCAAAAACAATTTGTTCTTACCCTTAACCTACCCTGGTAATGCTTATTTATTATCCAGAGTAGTCATCACATTGTTTTTGTGTACTTTATTTATTTTCTTACCTTAACCTGTCTAGTTGACCTTTTCCTTTTTATATATAAAGATGTTCTTAACAAGTATATTATGTGTGATCAGATTGATTCGAAATGTATTGCGCTTATATATCATCACATAATTCTGATAAACTTCGTCTTCTCATTGCATTATCCATCTCTGCTAACCATGCTTGTGAATTAAGGCTATATCGAGGCAATACACACAGTATGCACATATGCCAATTAGAGACTGACCAGTTGCAGTCCTAAACACATCAATGGGAAGATTCAAACAAACAATACTAAAGGGACTAATTGTTTTAAATTTTTGACATGAAATTCATTTATCGATTTTGGCATATTAGTTGATTTCAGTTGATGATTAAAATCCCGTCAAATTAACTTGTTATATCCTAGTGAAGACATAAGTATGGGTAACTCTTAGGACCTATTAATGAACGATTATTCTATGTATATTCTTATTGTTTAACTATTGAGTAATTATATTGTATGTATCTATATTCATCTTATTATAAGCTTCATTTTGACATATGGATGTAGTCTGTCTGTTTGGTTTATAAATCAAGTATGCTTGTGTTATGTAGTAGCGAAGACATAAGTACGGGTAACTTACAGGACCTGCTATTGGACTATCATTCTTATTGTATAACTATTCGGTAACTAGATTATCTAAGCTTTATTTTGACCTATTGATTATTATTGTATGATTTACTGTCTTTATGTTATACTCAGTTTTATTGATTATTGTCTCCCACGCTTACAGCCTCATTTGGCCTGGTTTTGTACAAATATTATTTTCTATTTTATGGTGTGATGTGGCCTGTCTGTCTGATATATAAACAAAGTATGTTTGAAATAAACGATTCGCATTACAGCAGCTGCTATTGGTGTTTTTGGACTCAAGTGGACGGGTTAGGCGGATAAGAGCCAATAAGGACGCTAGATTACTCATACTAATCGGACGTCATTGTCACAGTGTGAAGGTCGTAGAAGTCGTATTCTATTGGTGGATAATTTACGCGAATTACGTGCTTGTTAAATTCGTAAGGTCATAACGAATCAGCGACGACCTTGATCAAGTCATAATAATTGGCTACCGCCTAGGTCAAAAACATAACAAATTGGCGACAGCTAGGTCAAGTCATAACAGCTTGAAATAAATGATTCATATAGCAGAAGCTGCAATTGGTGTTCTGGACTCAATTGGAAGGGCTAGGCGGATTAAGGATCAACAAAAACGCTAGACTGCTCATACAAGTCGAACTTCATTGATTTGGTATAGTGCTTAGATTGAATAAGTCGTATTTCGATTAGTGGATAATTCACATGATAAAAGCCGAACATAAAATCATAACGAATTGGCGACGGTCTTATTTTTTATAAAGTCATAGCAAATATCAGTCCACCTTCTCACTAGCATTATACATCCAACTCTGTCATGAGAAATCTGTTCCAGTTATTTCCAGTTGTTATTCATCCTTTTCATGACTCCTTTCAATTCCTGACTGATTGTATCCCTTGGTTCTTCTATTTATCATGCTTTCTTACTTTCAAGATCCCAAGTCAACACTTGCCTCGTGATGCAGTTTGTTAATTTCCACAATGTATTTTCTATCCACTTCCAATGTATTTACCAATTTCTTCCTCAGCCGGAAGCTGGTTTATCCTCTCCTACAGAAGGTTGTTGGTGATGGTATCCGGTCAGTGACTGTTGAGTATTTTGCGTAGACAACTGTTTATAAATACTTGTACCTTCTTGACAATGAATGTAGTAGTTCTCTAGGTTTCAGCTCTGTATACTAGAACTGTATTGAGGTTCGTATTCAATATTTTGACTTTGATATTGATTGACAGTTGTTTTGAGTTTCATATGTTCTTCAGTTGTAGGAATGCCGCCCTTGTTTTACCAATCCTTACCTTTACGTCTGTATCCGATCCTTCTTGTTCAGTGAACGGTTGCTCAAACTTCATGGATTGATTGAAGTTAAACATTAACACCGTTGGATGCCGGTCAGATTAGTGGTCTAGTGGTTAAGTGCTCTCCCGCGAGACTGATAGATCCTGGGTTCAAATCTCACGAAGCAGGATCGTAGATGCACACTACTAAGGAGTCCCACAATAAGACAAAACGGTCGTCCAGTGCTTCCAAGTTTTCCATGATGGTCTAGCTTCAATTGACTCATGATTTTTTGATTGATTTCATATAATTCAATGAACATTCCAAGAATTTTCTAACAATTAACTTACTTACCCATATTGTGATGAATGATAAGTATCATAGAATAAACCATATTGTTCAAGTGGTTCAATATTATTCATATTATCATTTTCTATAGATTGTTGTTCAGATGTTGGTAACCAAAAATATCGATTAATAATACCTCTATTATTAATAGTATAAATAGCTGATGCTAAACGTTCCCAATTTGATTTTAATGATGAATTTCCAGATATTGTCGTAGTCGCTGATGTCACTGTCGATGTCACTAATCCAGAAGTCGTTGCCGCCGAAGGTGTCGACGTTAACATAGATGAACTTCCAGTAGAGAATAAACGTGTTTTTAATAATTTAGATGAACGATAAACATCTAAATAAGATGTATCATTATTGAATATAGTTGAATCTATTTTAGATGGACAACAAAATGCTGGTATAACAGCTAAATAAATAGAATTTAATTGATTAATTGGATTATCATTTAATTTTAATGTATCAATAATAATACCAAGATTATTAAGATTTGGATCAGTTAATGGGCACCATTTTGGATTGATTAATTGAATCTTATTTATTAATGTATGTGTATTGAATATTGAATTGAAATATTCATCATTTGTATTATGATTATCAGATAGAAGACGTTGAAAAAATGTTGTCGATTTTGTACTAATGGGGGTACTACTGGGAGTACTTCTGGGGGTACTACTGGGAGTACTTCTGGGGGTACTGCTAGGAATACTGCTGGAGGTACTGTTAGATAGAGGATTCATTGAATCATGTTGAAATGTGAATTGAGTAACTGATTTCTGTTTTTTTATTGATTTATCATTTTTATAATTAGTTAGAGTTAATAAACTAATAACAGGTAATCTATATTGATGATATAATAGAGATAACCATTCAGAATAAGTTAAACGTTTTGGATGTGGTTCCTGTAATGATAAAATAGATTGCAAAAATTAGGATTGATTAGAATTAGATTAGACTAATCAATAACTGATAGTTATCATGTGTACATTAATGATGAGCTTCGTGAAGGAATTCTCGAAGTGCTAGTGAGAAGACATGACCAGTGGAGGTATTCTATGTCAGTTGAAGACAGGTATCTATCTTAGTATAATGGGAGATGGGTGCGTAATATCATCGATTGGTTGAGGTTAGACATTAACACTGTTGGATGTTGGCAAGTTTAACGATCTATATGTTAAGCGTTCTAGAGCATTAACCGAAGTCCCAGGGTTCGGATCTTGTGTGCAATATCGTAGATGTACACTGTTGAGGAGTCCTATACTAAGACGAATTGGTCATTCAGTGCTACCAGGTTTTCAGTGGTCGTCTAACATCAATCAATTTATGATCTCAATCAAAAAGTTAATAATCTCCACAAACCTATACCGATAATCGACAACTGTTTATTCACCATTCAAGACTCTTCACTAGTGATTATTCATAATCCAATTCTATATAAAGCCAAATATAATTTCAAGGCTTGCTACTAGAATAATATTTTTCAACCATTATTCTAATAGATTAGGATGTTCTAGATTCAAATCTATGGATAATTGAGAGGAAGAATTTACAGCCCTAATGAATCACTTTGATGATGTTATATATTCTCTAAGCTAAATGATATGAATGTGGAGCTGTCAATGTCATTCTAGACAACACTTTTCAATATCTACGTCATATTGAGATGATATTCGTCAGTATTTCCTATAGATAATCATACACCAGTCTATGAAATCTAAAATACTTTCATATACCTTCTGGTTGATGTTGATTTATGATGAACATAACTATCAGTTTGTAAAACGTTTTGAGTGAATCCTTTCTGGCTAAATTAATCAGATGGGGAATAGAATAGTTTGAAGTAATTTGATTGGTTGATAATTACGGAGATGAGGAATAATATAGAAGTGAACGAAGACTTGATAGGGATACCGTTTATTGTACAATGCACCATCATACAGTGATTTATGGTAAGATGCAGTCCGGTTTGCTTGTATATAAACGCAGTATGTCTGAAATATATGATTCATATAAAGGAGGCTGATTTCGGTATTCCGAAAAGAACCGGTTCGATTAGGCGAGAGCTTACTATCTTGAAGGACCAATAAGAACCCAGAGTTGATTCTAGGCTATTCGTACTGGTTTATGCGTCATTAGTCCGGCCAGTAAGTTGGTATTGTAACTGGCAATCATAATGATAATTAACAGGCGATAGGGACATAACATATGCTACACACAAATTCTTAATCTATATGATACATTTCAGATATCTGTACATGTATAATCTGAAAAACTGGCCATCTATTTACATTTGTGAAGAGCGTAACTGATTCCTGTTAAACAGGCAATAAATATCATTTGTAAACATTTGGGAATGATAATGTAAAATTAAATATTGAACGAGTTCTTAAATGAAAATATAATTGATAAGTTAAGATAGAAGGTATCTAGTAGTGGAATCTAGGACGCACGCAACTTCATCCTGTTTAAGACTCGTCAGTTGGATGTGCCTAAGTCACATAGTTGGGAAGATACAAGCAAACAAAACCAACTGAAATAAACTTAGCTTCATTTCACAAGAAGGTAGCCATCAGGACTTAGTAGCTAAGAGGATAACGTGATGGTGTTTGAAGCGAACGGTACCGGGTTCGAGTCCCAGGGTGAACATCAACCCTGGGACGCAGGGGCATCCAGCTGACGAGTCCTAATTGGGACAATACACATGTCCTAGATTCCACCACTAGCCGCTATCCACCTTTTCTCAAAAATTGTTTTATTTATGACATAAATAATGGAAGAAAGGTTGTACAAGATCATGGATCAGTTTAGGTTAGACATTAACACCGTTGGATGCCTGTTCAGTGAGCTAGAGGTTAAGTGTTCTTGCGAGAGACAGAAGGTCCTGGGTTCGACTTCATTTGTTGTGGAATGGTGGATACACACTGTTGAGGAATCTCACATTACGATGAGACGTCCATCTAGTACTTCCAGGTTTTCAATACTGATCTAGCTTAGATCAACTCATGAATTCAACTAATAAAAAATAACTGAGATAATCAAATGTTTATGACAAACGCCTAACAGATCAAATAATTAAAATCATCCAACCATATATAGAAGTTGTATGTTTTCTACTACAGTCCTCATCGTCGTCGTCATGTTTCACGTTTCATAAATCTTCATTTGTACCTGTCCTTGTGTTCTGACTTTCACGTTGTGAGAATTACAGTGATTCCTTGTTTTACAAGTATAAGTGATAGGGATCCCAACTTTATACACAGCAACGACCCCATATAATAAAGTAGCATTCAATCACATACATAAGTGATATGAATAGAAATTTCATTCACTATTCATTGTCTCTAATCGGTTTTAAACATCGTTGGGAAGATTCAAACAAAAAATATCAAGTGAATTTAGACTTCACTCCATTACAAAAGAAAGTGTTTATCAGAACTCAGTAGCTAAGTGGATAACTTGATAGACTTTGAAGCAAATGGTATTGGGTTGGAGTCCTGGAGTGAATATCAATTCTGAGATGCAGATACATCCTGATGACGAGTCCAAAAATAGGACGAAGTGCCGCATGTGTTCTGACTTTTGCGTTGTGGGAATTACAGTGATTCCTTGTTTTACAAGTATAAGTGATTGGGATCCCAACTTTATACTCAGCAACGACCCCATATAATAAAGTAGCATTCAATCATATACATAAGTAGTCTGTAATCAGTAACAGAAATTGATTTACTTACTTTAAGTAATTGACTTGGAGTTTGTCCAAAATTCTGTATCATACTTTCGAAAGCTTCACGTTCATATGAATTACTTATCTTATCTAAATCTACAGCACCTTCATATGTTACAAAATTGAATACATTTAATGCATTCACTGCATCTGGACCACGTTGTTTATAACTGTAAAGAATAAAAAGAAATATGTGATCAATATCAGATGGGGTTCTTTTGTGGATATGATAGTAATTGCAATAGGTGATAGGTCCTGGGTTCGAATCCTCCAAGACGGGATCGTGGATGTGCACTGCTGAAGAGTCCCACAATAAGGCGAAACGGCCATCCAGTACTTCCAGGTTTTCCATGGTGCTCTAGCTTCAATCGACTCACGATCTCAACAATTGAAATAAATAATCAAACGTTTTATTATCATAACATGAAAGAATCCAACTTATTACCATCTATACTTGATTCACTGAAGAGGAAATTAGTAAAAAAAAGTTGAAAGTGGATAGGACATACATTAAGGAAATCACCAAACTGCATTACAAGGCAAGCGCTAACTTGGAATCCGGAGAGGAAGCGGAAAAGAAGAAGGACAAAGAACACATTACGCTGGGAGATTGAAGCAGATATGAAAAAATGAATAACAACTGGTAGGAACTGGAAAGGATTGCCTAGGACAGAGTTGGATGAAGAATACTGGTGGGTGGTCTATACTCCTCCACAAGGGGTAATGGACGTAAGTAAGTAAGTAAGTATAATTGATTCAATATCATTGGGAAGTTGTTACGCAATGTCACTACCTAATTAAAGTAAAAATAATAATAATAATAATAACCATTCAACCTCACTTTTGAATAGTCTGAAGATTAAGCACTCGCTAAGAGACCTGAAGGTCTTGAGTTCGGTCGTCGGTGGTGTGGTGTGTGCTACTAATGTCAACAGATATAAGAAGTAGTATGTATAATCAATCAAAATGGAAATACCTGGTGGCAAAATGTTATAGAGGTCAAAGAAAAGAGAAGGAGAACAAAGAATGACCAGCATAGAAATGAAGGAACAATGAAGTCTGAGACGGTTGATTGACATTTTGTAAGTGATGTATTTACTGCATGGTTCTCAGATTTTATTATGTTCTGTAATTTTGTATTCACATACAATTGGTTGTCCTCACTTGTGTTTTCGTACACTACAGTGGGGTTATCGATACGAAAGATCCATTTAGGCTAGTCGAAAAAACCATGACTCTACACCAATGGTTCACATAGGCTCCAAGATCCTGAAGGGACAAAAAGCGTATGAACCTATTGTTGGCCACTGGCTACCATAGGAATGCATTTCCTGATGTTGCCCCACTGCCCTGTGGATTAAACCTTTAGGTCAAAGGTTCAGAGAGTGACCTCCTAAGAAAACTATCTGCTTCAGTTAGCGCACCCGGACAGTATCCCAGGCCTCCTTGCACCAATGTTTATGTGTTCAAATAAATATTCATGAAATAAGGCATCGATAAATATTCCATATGATAACTTTTGAGATATGAATCATTTATAACTGACTTCAATAGCCAACAATTGTAAGAAACAGATTTACTTCGACATTTGTATTCATTACTGTTTGAATTAATTCAAGGAAGAACAAACAGTCAAAGTGTCCATGTAAAGTGATTTGTTCAAAGGTAAAGATTTAACTTACATAATTAACTATAAAACATTAGTGTTATATCTAGAGTTTAGATTCTTGATATACAGCGTACAACTTGAGCACTCGTACACTAGGACCATCCAATTTGCAAAATGAGAAGATAGAAGGCAAAGTGAAAGGAAGGCTATTCCAAACAGTGTCAAATATGGTACAAAACTCTCATGTATTTAAAGGTTTTAATAAAAACGAAATCATCATTATAATCATGCAATCTACATATAGGGGGATTTTAGCATTTGTCCAATAAGGAAGCTACACATACAGATTCTGGAATATTCTTCCAAAAAATGATTGGATGGAATATCGTCGTGTATTTCTAAGCTTCTTAGAGCTTCCTCGAGTTCACCCATGGGCCGTCGTTACAATTAGATAAGTAATCTTTCAATAAATCAACATTTAATGTACAGTTATAGTTGTTTCATTGTAGAATGTAGTTTCACATGTTTTGACAAACAATTATCTACGCAACATACTTAATGTTCGTCGACTGGATACCATCATCAACGACCTAATGTAGATGAGAATAAACTAGCCTCAAGATGAAGAGGAAATTAGGAAAAGATGTTGGAAGTGAATAGGACACATATTACAGAAATAATCAAACTACATCATGAAGCAAGCAGGAACTTGGAATCCTGAAAGCAAGGAAGCAAGTAAAAGAGAATGATCAAGGAACACACTACGTCGGGAATCGGAAGTTGACATGACAAAGATGAATAGCAACTGGAAAGGATTTCCCATGACAGGGTTTGATGGAAAATGCTGATGAGTGGACTATGCTCTTGCATGAGAGTTAACAGGCGTAAGTAAGTAATTATTTAAAACTATTGGTAGCTCAATAATAATCTACTCATCAAAAAAAACTGAAGTTCGAAATTCTGATCCCATGCGATATATTTTGCTATGAGATCTCGAAGCACAATAGAACGACTTCACAATGTTTATTGGTTTCAAGTAAATATTTAATGTATATCAGTTCGGTGAAACAAAAAATGTCGATATGGCATTACTGATTTCGAAATAAACAAATATTCAAGTTAATTTTATTTTCACATTTATACTACTAACAATAATAATAGTAATATAAGTAATTAATTTAAATTTACCCAAAAATTAAATCTATCCATAAGTGTAAATGTGCTGACACATAGTCAGATTCCAATGCAGCACGATGTTTACGTATAAATTCTTCTGGTGATGAAGCCCAATTCGGTAATTCCACATCATTGATTCGATTTTGATTGTATTGACGAAAACCTAAATCAAAATCTATTGTTTGTTTTTGAAAAAAGAAAGAGTACAGTATTACATTGATAAGTCAATATTCCAATAGGATTAAACATTGCAGTTATAAACATCAATGAGAAGATTCAAGTAAGCAATATCGGGTGAATATAGACTTCAATCCATTGCAAAAGCAAGTGGCTATCAGAATTCAGTAGCTAAGTGGATAACGCGATGGAGTTTGAACCAAATGGTACTGGGTTGGAGTCCTGGAGTGAACATCAACTTTTAGATGCAGATACATCCAGCTGACGAGTCCCACTGCCAGCCGCCTTCCATCAGTATTTTTTAAAAAAATGTAACTTGAATATATACATCTATAGAAGAAGTGATATAACTTACTATTACTGTTTCGTAGAAATTCGGGTAAAAAGAAGAATTCCGGAATTAACTCCTTATTATCATTTGGATTATCTAATATAAAACGCCACGCTTTTGGGATAGAATAGAATTGACGATCTGCAACATCAAATCTATAAATTTTTTTAAACGAAAGAACAATAAAGAAGACTGATCAATCGCAGTCCTTAACATTAATAGGGAAATCCAAGCAACCAAAACAATAATGAACTTAACCTTCACCCCATTGAACAAGCTAGTGGCTACCTAAACTCAGTAGATAAGGAGACGGATAACTTGTTGGCGTTTGAAGCAAACGCTACTAAGTTCGAGTCTCAGAGTAAACATCAACTCTGTGATCCAGGTACATCTAGATGATTAGTCCCAAATAGAAAGAAAAGGCATCCGTCTTGGTTCCCATTACTAACCAATAATCCGGATGTACTTATGTCAGCAACAGAGACAGTATTTCAACAATTAAAGAATATAAGAAACTCAAAATGACTGTCAATTAATATCAAAGTCACAATATTCAATACGAATGCCAAGACAGTTCTATTGTGAGGAGCTGAAACATGTAGAACTACTACAACCATCAACAGAAACGTACAAGTAATAATAAGCAATTGTCTACACTAGATATTCAATGTCCGTTGACCTTATATTTATCAACATCCCCCTAATATGTGAGAGAACAATCCAACATTCAGATGAAGAGGGAGGTAGGTAGGACATACATTGAGAAAATCATCAAACTGCATCATTAGGCATGCGCTAATTTGGAATCCTAAACTGAAAACTAAAAGAGGGAAGTCAATGAACATATTATGTCGGGAATTGAAGGCGGACATCAAAAGAATGAACAGTATGCAGGAATGAGTGGAAAGGGAAAGCTAAAACAGAGTTGGTGAAAGAGTCCTGGTCTGTGGTCTATGCTCCTTGACGAAAAGCAACAGACTTAATTAAGTAAGTAACTCCTTCTGAAGCCCTTCTAGGTTTACTATCAGTCCTAGAGTCGTATAAAAGAGGGAGGTTGGATATGGATTTAACAGCAGTACCCTATAAAAATGAATATTACTTAAAAGAATATAATAAATACTAACTGAATTGTACTAACTTATTTCCATGTAAATTTACATGATACGTTGTAAATGGTTCCAAACGGACAAGATAATGCAAGACACCAGCAGCGCTTGAATAATGTGTTCCATGATGAAATTTTTGCATAATACCACTTGGATCTTCAAATGAATTATATCTTAAAAGGTAATATAAGCGAAAGAGAAAGGGGAAATGTAATTCATGATAATACTGATTTATCAGTATAGGGTTGTGAAGATTGTTAAACTTTTGATTGAGATAAGGAATCGATCGATGTCAAAAACCTGGAAACACTGGATGACCGTTTCGTCCTAGTATGGAACTCCTTAGCAATGTACGTCAATGATTCTGGGTTCGAACCCCACACATACGGGGTCTTGGTAGTCTAATATCGATCTACTCATGATCTCAATCAAAAATATAATACTGATACTAACAAGTATGATTCTATGGAAGAACGTTTTCAAATGTATGTTCTCTACGTACTCGGGTAAACATTACAACAAGCGATACACAAATAACTTAAATTTTATATTAAACGTTCAATGTAGTGAACTGATTAGAAGGTAGCAGGCTTGTTTAATATTACTGCCCAACTTTCCAAACTATAATACGTTAAAAGTCAACTATTTTTGAAATGATCTATCTCTTATTCCATGTTAAATGGTTACAGCAGCTCGCTCTGTTCTATTTTACGGTTGTGAAACATGACCATTAAGAGTAGAAGATACTCGTAGGTTACTAGTATTTGACCACAGATGCCTTAGAAATATTGCTCGCATCTGTTGGGATCACTGAGTAAGTAATAGTAAGGTTAGGCACAGGGTATTAGGAAACAATGGTAAATCAGTTAATGAGGTCATGAATCTTCATCGACTGAGATGGTTGGGCCACGTGTTGCGTATGCCTGAACACCGATTACCACGACACGCTATGCTGACTAGTGTAGGGGATGGTTGGAAGAGAGTTAAGGGCGGCCTAACCAAAACGTGGTATCAGTGCTTGAAGTCAATGACTTCTAGTCTGATCCATGTTGACAGATGCAGAGTACCTGTTTGGGGTCCGCGTGACTTTCGTAACCAATGGTTGGAGACTGTATGACATGGCTCAGAATCGATCACAATGGCGTAGATGTATACACTCTTTATCTTCCCTTAAAATTTGAGATTAAAATTGCTTCATATCTGTCTTTCTTCCTATACTATATCCTTATATACAACCTTTTATATACTACTACCACTAAATTAACTATTTCTATGAATTCGATGTTCATCTTGTGGTGTTAACTAGGTATGGCAACTTGGACCGATGCATATATGTGTACCTAGTCCTACATTGTAGCTGACTGACTGATCCATCTTTATATAATCAATCATAAAGTATTATTTGAATCAGTTAAAAGAAAAACTTACTTCTCTCTAATTTGATTAATAAATTTTGGATTAGCTAATCCTATAGGTCGTGAAAGATCACGAAATGTATGCTGGGAATTTAAATCTAATTCTGATGAAGTATAATCAGCTAATATCCATGGAAACTATAATATTAAATTTCAGAAGAAGAAGAAGAAGAATAAACAAGAGACGAAACAATGACATTCACTTACATACTTAGTTTATGATATGGCAAAACTTTATAGCCAACATCATTAGTGAGTAAATGCGGCGAGACTATAATTTATGTATGAGCTAATCAGAAGCATTTCAGGGATTTCAAGGTCACGGTGCCAATTTTAGTACCTGATGCTTATGTACGATCCGTTCACAGAGAATTTTAGAGAAGACTTGATAATTAAGCGGCTACAACAAATTAGACTACTAAGAAGTTCCTGTATTTGTAATTGCGGTAATTAAATAACTTGTAGACCTTGTGCAGACTACTGTGATGTTGTCCTTCGATGTAATATATGTTGGAGGAAGATGTCTGCTAGAATAGGAACCTCTTTCGCTCGATCCAGATTGAGAATATGGCATATTATAATAATTACCTCAAACTGTATAATAAAAGCACCAGTAACATCGGCTGCAATAATGGTAGATGTCACTGAAGCTTCGGTTGTTCAATGGTATGAGTATTGTAGGGACATATCCATAATAAAAATGATAAACTTACACAACCGGAATACACACAAACAGTTTTGAAGCTATGTGGTCTAGGCTGAGAAAGTTTTTATGACGTTATAATGGCTCCAGAGACCAACTATTATGGAGTCGTGTGGATGAGTTCCTCTACCTCATGAATTAAGGTTTCGGAACCTTTGAACCTTTTTCTAACCTTGACCATATAACTTTGGACCATATAAAAAAGTATATCTACTTTAATTCTTTGGTTTTGTATTATATATATTTTTACTCTATGCTTACTGTTTACTGATTGGCTAACATATCTCAAAGTCACTTAAGATTTGTTCAAAGGTCGTCCAAAAATTATAGTCTCGTCGTAAATGCTTTAAACTTGACATGGTTGAATTCCATTAGTTATGGTTGTTTCATTAAAACTCTGGTAATCGTTTTTCATATTAGAAAATAGCAAGCAAACAACTATTAGTAGATTGAAGGGTTTTCAGAGATTGTTACATTTCATAGATCATATCACCATGCTGGAAGTTATGGTGAGAAGCCCGTAGCTAGTGGAGTTTAATCATATCAGCCAAAATACAGTTACTCACCAATGGTATTGGAAGACGATTATGTTACACGATTGTATACTGATACAGTGGCAAAAGATGTTAAAAGCTTATAAATAACCTTGAAGGTCCTGGTTTCAACCTTCAGAGAAGTCGTAGGTGCACAGTACAAAGAAGCCTTATGTTAGGATGAAACTACTGTCCAATATTTCCTGGTATTCAATGGTTGTTTAACTAAGATCAGTTATTGATGTAAACTCTGGCATTTATTCACTACGAAAAACCTCTTACACGAAATCCATTCAGACGTAGGTTGCAAACATGTGATGTCTTGAAGTAGGGACTCAATAATTAGCTTTACACATCAAGCTAACAACCTAATCTAATCTCCTACAACTTATTTCAATGCATAAAGTATACTTCTATATGACTTATATACCTTACAGACTATAAATTGAAACTGATTCATAAACTAACATCTGCTAAAGAACTTCCAGAAACCAGAGGGGTACTTGACAATACGCAACCCCATGCACGAGTTTCTAGGACCACAGTTTCCAAGTCTCTTAAATTAGGAATCTTGTGTTTCTAGGTACTTGATATCAGTATGTGAAGCAAACTAAATTCAAACCATCATCTTCATCTTACCACAGGATATTGACCCAAATCATTAAATGTTCGACCAGCTATTGTATTCAAACGCATTAGATATTCAAAATTTGATATTTCTCTATTTACCCAACGCTAAAAATATAGAAAAAGAACAATCTTTTTATTGTCAGAAGGGGTTTTGTGAATATTAATAGTAATTTTAATAGTTGAGATCATGAATCAATTTAAGCTAGACGACCATGGAAAACCTGGAATCACTGCACGGCCAACTCGTACTATTATGGGACTCCTCAGCAGTGCGCATTCACGATCCCGCCTCGTGATATTCAAACCCAGGATCTATCAGTTTTGCGCGCAAGCGCTTAACCATTAGACTACTGAGCCGGCCGGAATCCAACGGTGTTAATGTCTAACTTCAACCGATCCACGAAATTGAGCAACACATCCCCCATTGTCTTCAATGAGTTACTATCTCACAACAGACCTGATTGAAATACATTGATCGCTGCTTCTCACTGAAACTCCAGGATACACCTCCTGAAGCCATTCGTCTAGTTATCCCGATTTAACGGGATATAAGTGCACACATCACAAGAAATCGCCGAGATTTAAACTAGGGTTGCCGGATTCAAAGTTCGAAGTGATCACCGATACACCACAAGGCCGCAGTCACGTCGAAATATATCCTTAATAATTTTTGTTAAAGGTAGATTGCAGGACCCTTCATTTTGATGTTAATTAAATTGGACAATGTTGTCGATAGGCTCATCATTTTTGTGGTCCGGGATCTGACTTCAGTTATATCGTATGAATGATTGTTGTCAAAATATACATCTTGGCTACCCTTGTATATAATTATCGACTTAACTCGCGTTGGTGAATAACGAAATTAAATATGTCAAATACGAGAATGGATGTTTAAACACGTATATTTTGTACACTCGTTGACCTGAACAGACAATCAGAGAATCACAACGAATAGAGCGAAACGAAAAGACACGGAGTGGGGACGGTATGTAAACCAACTACATTTATTCAAGCGTTAATTGTTATTCATAGTCACACAAATACAAGTTACAGACATGCAATGAATGAGATAAGTATTGCACACATATACTCTCATATGAAAACAGTAAAAGTGGATGGTTTTATTCAGGGGTCACACACGGAGCCTTTGATCTAAATGTTTGATCCACAAGGCAGTGGAGCATCGTAAGGAGATCCAGTCCCGTGGAAGCCGGTGACCAATGATTGATTCATACACCACTTTTTCCGTCCGAATAATGGAGCCCATGTACACCATCGGTTTAGAATCAGGGTTTTCTAACTCCCCTAGGTGGATTTTCCGTGTCCACTAACCCGGTTAAAGCGCCGGACATTCGCTTTTCATCCTCTCCATTTTGTGAACAACACCTTCGCCACGAGAAGGCAGTAAGTAGGATTTCCCTGGAAGAGGCTATATACTCGTGACCATATGAGAGCATTTCGAGAGGGAGAGCGGACTCTTCCCACTCTCGGCTGTACCAAGCCATTTGGGGAGCGAATCAGAATAGGCAAAACTAGACAGTTGTTTCATGAGTTTGAGACTCTTCAGCATTGTATTTCAACAACATCTAAATTACCATAGTGAAAAATTGTATTCGACTATATTAGAAATGAAATAGAAATCACAAATGGTAATGTATAACTGTTACATAATATCGTTAATTAGACCGATTCATGACTTAACATTAATTTGAATCCAAAACCATTAGATCAAATTACATTGTCAATATTCAATGGTACTTAGTCAATAAACAGACAAAAACTACACGCCCAAGCGCACCCGATTAGGGTTCGTCTCGAGTTTCAACCCACCGAAGTGCAATGGTGAGCCTCCATCCGGGGTCAAAGCATTCCTAATCACCCTGAACCCAGCACCAGGTAAGCTGATGAAATTAAGTGAAATAAAAACTAAGATAAATTCAATGAATGCAATGATAACTTACTTCTGTAAGTCCAGATAATTTAAGTGTTTCTCTAGGATTACGACCTTGATTATAAACTAATCTCGGTAATCGTAAACTCATAATAATTGAATAGAATTTATTACGAATCTAATTGTTAAAATGAAATAGTAAAGAAAATTTGTTAATAAAGTAGATGATCTTAGCGGAGTTTTATTCTTTGATATGGATCGTTTGATTGTGAAGCTTTCATCATTCGTCTGATCCAAGTCTACAGAACAACCTATGAACCATATGTGAACACTTCACTTACACTTAAAAATTGTGCTGATGATATAGTTCAGAATAACGATGAAAGCTCCACAATCAAAAACCATCCAGCTCAGACAACAAAACTACCTAATTATAAGCAAAGATGAATAGTAACTAGCAGTGGAATCCAGGATGCGCGTCACTTCGTCCTATTTGGGACTGGTGAGTTGGATGTAGCTGCATCTCGGAATTGATGTTCACTGTGGGACTGCAACCCAGTACCGTTCGCTTCAAACGCCATCACGTTATCCACTTAGCTACTGAGTTCTGATAGCCGCTTGCTTGTACAATACGGTGAAGTTTCAATTCACTTGGTATTGTTTGTTTGAATCTTTTCTTTGGTTTTTAGGACTGCATTTGATCGAAACTATGCGTATGGAATGCAATATCATTTACTATGATGCAGAATGTTCATTCAACATAATACCCTTAAGTTTTCAAATGTTTTTTTAAGGATTTCAAAGAAACTATTACAGACTAATCTAGAAAATATTCAGTCAATAAATAACTAAAAAAAATAACGACATTTTGTGCACAATATTCTGTACAAAACGTTTGCCTACTTATAAGTAGTTAAAAATGATAATAGAAATTAATTTATCTGTCGCCAAAATAAAAACTGGTACATTCGAATGGCTCGTGATAATTTTACTTTTCAATTAACAGTTCTTATCTGACAAGTTAAACAATTATAAACTGTCAATACCTAACACGATATACTTTTTTGCCTAACATCTAATTATGTTGGGAAAGGTACAAAACGAATATACTAAACTATGGTAACACTACACAGAAAAACTAACTGTTGATTTGAACTATTTTGAAAAGACTAGTCGTCCTAAATTAAGATCTGTGAGACAATCCGAATATATATGACTGAAGACTTGAAGCTTCAGTGGTACGTATCTTGGAGTTCTATGTTAAACCATCGTTCAGTTTGTTTGGTTTCTTTAAACCGTTGATCTCATTATTTCAAATCCATCAATTTTAGTTGCGTAAATAGCCCCTCTCCGCCTGTAGATTTTATAGAGTTACTGCCGGTCCCAAGCCCGGGTAAAGGAGGAGGGTTGTGCATGAGGTTAGCGACCTCATCATGTAGAAAACTAACTCGCTGAACAAATGCTAACCAGAACTGGTGGGTGGCCTATGCACCTCCACGAGGGGTAACAGACGTAAGTAAGTAAATGACCCCCTCTATCCCTAAGTTTTTATGTCAAATGTTACAACTTCAACAGTATTAGACACTTACTATCGATTTAATAGGGAAATATGAAAGAAACCACCTCAATTCCAACTTACTTTAGTTTCAAAGTTAAAAAAATAATTCGAATTATTTTCAAAAAAGATCTCAATAGCTGAACGACGTAGATTATAACGACGTAAGTGAATCTCGCTTAATTTAGATAATGACCAATTGTATCGAATATAGAATATTTGTTTGACTGAAAAAGTGAAATCAATGAAAATATAAAGAGTAAATTAGCTAGTAGATCATTCAAGTACATATAAACAGAGGCTTGCAGTGAGATCCTAGATGTACGTTTCATCTAATGTAGAACTCATCAGCTAGATGCGCCTGTAGTGAATGAGAACATAGATGAGAATAACCAACTATGTATAGAGCACAAATTACAACGTTACTTGGTAAAATACAAAAACTATGATATGATACTCTATTTCCAAAATGTTCTTTAATTGTCTCAGACTTCATTGTTCCTGGATTTCCATACCAATTTCCTTTTTATTTCTTTTCTTCTTTTCTTGATCTTTTCAATCTTCTACTATCAGATATTCTATTCCTTACTCAAAATATATACTACTTATGTCGATATAAGTAGCTCACACCACAGTACCTGTATCCAATAGTTGATATTTACTCCTTGAATTCAAACAAGTACTGTTTACTTCAAATGCCATTGAGCAATCCATTTATCTACTGAGTTTAGATAGACAATGGCTTGCTCAATGAAGTGAAGTAGATATACGGAAACATTCTTTAAAACAAAATACAAACATGGTGAAATACTGGTATCATACATATATATATATATATATATATATATATATATATATATATATTTAGATTGATTAGTTTGCTTCTTCCTTCAAAATATCTGGGTTTTTTAAATAGTTGAATTTATGAGTCAATCTAAGCTAGATCGCCATTGAAAACATGGAATCACTGCACAACTGTTTCGTCGCAGTGTGGGACTTCTCAGATGTGAGCATTAATGAACCCATAGCACAAGGTAACGAACCCAGGACTTTCGATCTCTCTTGCGAGCAATTCACCTCTGGATCACTTAACCAGCATCCAACGATGTTAATCTCTAACTTTAATCGATCCATTATCTTGAGCAACCCTTCATACTGATAATAATCATATGCTAACCAGTAACTAGATTCAAGATAGAACTTCTCATGTTCTAGTAAGAAGCGGTGATCAGTCGAGTTCAATTCGTGTCAGATGTGAGACAGTTATCAACCTCAAACAATGGGTGAAAAGCTGACCAAGACAATGAATCTATTGAAGTTAGACATTAACATAGTTAGATGTCTGTAAGTTCAGTAGTCTAAAGGTCAAGTGTTTGCACAAGACCAAAGATCCTGGTTTCAAGTCCGTTTGTTATAAGGATCATCGATGCGCACTGTTGAAGAGTCTAACTGTAGGACGAAACTCTTGATTAATGTTTCCAATGTACATCTTCCATAGTAACAACAACAAGAACAACTGAATACGATCCATATAATACATAACATTTAATTCTATTATAACTTACAATCATTCAATTTGGTATCTTTGACATCTTGTTTTTCACACATAATTTTATACCCACGTGGTAGATATAATTGAGTAGTATTATAAGTAGTATTGTTAGTATTCATAGAATTATCATTATCATACATTAAATTATTCATTGATGCATCAAATATTAAACGATTTTGTGTTAATGTTAATATCCCATGGATTACTTTGATTGCTATCACTAATTGTGCATTAACACTTAATAGAATAGTTTTACCTTTTTGAATTTGTGGTATATAATTAACAACTGATTGTTGATAGTTGTTATGGTATAAGGAATTGAAAGAATTGGATGTATTCAATGTGGAAGATCTATCGAATGATGACGTAGACGACGTAGATGTCGTAAATGATTCATCATTGGATATTTTAACTTTATTCAATGGTTCAAAATTGAATATATTATCATTGATTGTATCTTCAGGTGAAGGGTTTGAAGAATTGAATGAGATCATTCTGAAGAAATGGATATTAATAATGAAACAACTGAAACTTTAATTGATTCCAATACTTGAAATCATAAGTTAAAATTGAAGCTAGATCGCCATGGAAAACGTGAAGGCATTGCTTGGTTGGGGTCCGCACGACTACCGTAACCAATGGTTGGAGACTCTAGGTGACATGGCTCACAATCGATCATAGGGTATTAGGGAATGGTGGTAAATTAGTTGATGAGGTTTTAAATCTTCATCAACTGAGATGGTTGGGCCACGTGTTACGTATTCTTGAATACCGATGACCACGACGCGCTATGCTGACTAGTGTTGGAGACGAATGGAAGAGAGTTAGGGTCGGCCTAACCAAAACGTGGCATCAGTGCTTGAAGTCACTAACTTCTAGTCTGAGCCATGTTGGTAGATACAGACTACTTGGTCGGGGTCCGCGTGACTTTCGTAACCAATGGTTGGAGACTGTATGACATGGCTCAGAATCGATCACAATGGCATAGGTGTATACACTCTTTATCTTCCCTTAAGCCTTAAGATTAGAATTGCTTCACATCTGTCTTTCTTCCTATACTATATCCTTAAATACAATTTTTCTTTTAAATATTACCATCATCAAATTACCTACTTCTACGAATCTGGTGTTCATCTTGTTGTGTTAACGAGGTATGGCAACTTGGACCGATGCATGTGTGTGCCTGGTCCTACGTTTTAGCTGACTGACTGACTGGAAGCATTGGATGGCCGTTTCGTCCTATTGTGGGGCTCCTCAGCAGTGAGCTAAGAATTTAGATCTAATCTATCATATCATATATCTTAATTACATTTCATCTAACTATTGTATATTCATTACCATGATTATCAGTTATGTCATATAGTTGAGATCATGAATCAATTGAAGCTAGACCACCAGGGAAAACCTGGAAGCACTGGATGGCCGTTTCGTCCCATTGTGGGACTCCTCAGCAGTGCGCATCCACGATCCCGCCTCATGAGAATCAACAAAGAGTTATTTAAATGCAAGAATGTTTAGTGATGTTTGAACATTCAAATGAATCATTGATTAATATACTTCCATTATTTCACTTACTTTAGAGCAACTATATTAAAGTACTAATGTGTAACTACTGAGTTTCAAGAAATTTCAAACCAATTATTTTTGTTTGATAATATGATACTACTTACAAAACGAATGGCGAGACTAAAATTTATGGATGACCTTTGAATGATTCTTGAGTGACCTTGATAAATATAAACCAATCAGAAAGCAGTTGGCATAGAGTAAAAATATATTGTCGAAAACTAAAGAATTAGAGTGGATTCACTTCTTTTACATGATTCAGAAACTTGTTAAGGTTAGAAAGAGGTTCAAAGTTTTTAAAATCGTAATGCATACGTCAAGGGAACTGATCCATATGGCTCCATAACAGTCGGTCTCTGAAAGCAGGATAAGGTCGCAAAAACTCTTCCAGCCTTGACCACATAGCTTCAATAATATTTGTGTGTACTCCGGTTGTGTAAGCTTGTCATTTTTATTACGCATATATCTCTAAAATACTCATACCACTGAACAGCCGAAGCTTCAGTGACATCAACGAATATTTCAGCCAATGTAACCGGTGTTTTTATTATACACTTCGCAGCACTTATTATAATTTGTCTTAGTTTCGATCTTGATCGAGCAAAATAAGTTCCTCTTTTAGAAGACTTCTTCCTCCAACGCATATTAAATAGAAAGATAACATCATCACGGTAGTCTGCACAAGGTCCACAAGCCATTTAATTACCGCAATTACAAATAAAAAAACTTCTTAGTAGTCCCATTTTATTGTATTCACTCAGTTGTCACGTCTCTAAAATCCTCTGTGAACTGACCGTATATGAGCATGAGGTACTGACATTGGTTCCGTTATAGTGAACAGAACACGGGTGGTGATCTAAGTAACCCACAGCACACCGTGACCTTGAAATCCCTCAAACAATTTCGATTGCCATGTCCATAAATTATAGTCTCACCCTTATTATTTGATAGCTTCACTAACTGATAGTTATAACCATTTAATTTGTTTCATCATTGTTACGTCTGGCCGATTGAACGCTATATTCGCTTCCCTAAGCTAGTTCCGTATCCCCGAGCTAGAACTATACACCGACTTGAAGACCAGAGAAAAGGCACAAAGTGTGTGGTAAGCACTTTACTAAAGGGAAATCATAGGTATTTATAGATGTTAGCCAATCCATTAACGACATATTATGATACCGACCAATAGTATCACGCCACGTTGGAACTCTAGAATGTTCCATCGTATTCTTATTGGCTAGAGCTCTTTATGAGCCTCTGGAGGCTCTGTTAGAGTTATCCGGAAGCCGACTCAACAATCATATTGAAGAGTTTCTACAGAGAATAGGCTGGATAATGTAAAGAACTGATGAGAAGAATTATTATTTTAATTCTATACATCTGTTTACATATTAAGCCTATGTGCACCATTGGTTTGGAATCAGAGTTTTCCAACTACCTCAGGTGGACTTTCCATGTCCATCAACCCGTCTAAAGTGCCAGACATTCGCTTTTCATCCCCTAAATTTGGTAAACAACACCTCCGCCTCGAGAAGGTAACGAGTAGGACTTCCCTGACAGTGGCTATATACGCGTGGCCATGTGAGAGTATTTCAAAAGGGAGAGCTGACATACCAGGGTATTTGGGGGCCATATAGGCATCAAACCTTCAGTATCACCGTTCGTTATCAGTGATATTAAAATACTATCAAAACATACTAAACACAAAACTAAACAACAAAACTACAACTTACGGAGTTTTTAAAGATTCATCTGGGATTAATGTACCACGCCGATCATCAGTTAGATAAAACTCATCATTGTCCGTATGTATCTCATCATTATTTGGTGTTGATGGATCATTTTCTTCAAATGATGTTTGATTTAATAGTTGAGGACGTTTAATAATTTGTCTCATTAAATAAAATTCATCATCAGTATTTGTATCTGCCATATCATCTTGTGAAGTTTCTAAACTATTTTCACTAGAAGAAGCTTTCAATGTAGATGATGAATGATAAATGGATGTCGTAGACAATGTTGTATTAGGATTATAATGACCTACAGAAAGAGGTCTCATCCGTGATCGTACAAAATTTGTCAAAGATAAACCATCTCGTTTAGCGCTAGCATTAAGATGTGAATTGAAATGTATATTTGGTTCTAATTTCGGTCGGATACGACATATTGTTTCTAGTTCACATAAACGCCAATGTTCAACTTTTTGATAGCTAACAGTTCAAAAAATAAAAAAAACAGAAGAATAGGACCATTATAAGAAAGATTATGGTCAGAAGATCGTTTTACTATAAACGATCATCCTTTGAAAAGATTACATCATAAGTAGTAAGTATCTGGTTAGCCCTTTTTTTAGCGAGTTAGCTTTTCTACGGGATGGGGTCGCTAACCCTATGCCCGAATCTCCTCCTTTACCTGGGCTTGGGACCGGCAGTAACTCTAGAAGAGCTACAGGCGGAGTCTTCAATACGAACGTCAAGACAGTCATACTATACGGAGCTGAAACGTGGAGAACTACTACATCCATCGTCAAGAAGGTACAAGTATTTATAAGCAGTTATGTACGCAAAATACTCAACATCCATTGGCCGGATACTATCAGCAACAGCCTTTTGTAGGAGAGGACAAACCAGCTTCCAGCTGAAGAGGAAATTAAGAAAATACGTTGGGAGTGGATAGGTCATACATTAAGGAAATCGCTAATGTGCATTACAAGGCAATCCCTAACTTGAAATGGTGAAGGGAAGTGGAAAAGAGGAAGGCCAAGAACACATTACGCCGGGAAATAAAAACAGATATGAAAAGGATGAATAACAACTGGAAAGAACTGGAAAGGACTGCCCAGGACAGAGTTGGATGGAGAATGCTGGTGGGCAAACTATGTTTTTCCACGAGTGGTAACAGGCGTAAGTAAGTAAGTAAGTAAGGTCAAGTATGAGAACAAAAACTTCCCCAATCAGACTAAACTGTGATATGTGAACCACTGATAGATCGGTGACTATACTTTTGTCCATTGATAGGATTTTCTTTGTTTCAATCATAAAACCAGCGAAACACTTGTTCATATCTTCCTCTCCTGAAATCATCTAGGTACATAATGGGAAGTGAAATAAAAACAGATATGAAAAGGATGAATAACAACTGGAAAGAACTGGAAAGGAAGGCTCAGGACAGAGTTGGATGGAGAATGCTGGTGAGCGGTCTATGCTCCTCCACAAGAGGTAACAGACGTAAGTAAAGTATGTAAAAAAATTATCTACAAACCCAAACGAAATCGAAACAACCATCCAATGAATTCGGACCATCATGAAGAACATGAAGCTCTTCGATTCAAGAATATAAATGCCCCTTACTAAAAAAAATGCAAACTATGACGAAACAGCTGTTTGTTTCTACAGATTGTGTCACTGTGTAATGAAGACTAATTTAGAATTGATAAATTCTCCATTAGCTACCTTTGATAAATGTTATATCTCGAACTTAGATTCTCAATATGTCGTGTAATACTTGAACAATCGAAGGCTAGAATCCTCCCAAGTGGCAAAATGAGGAAACAGAAGACTAGTAAGTAGGAATGTTATTCCCAACGCAGTGTTCAATATAATACAAAAATCTCATGCATTTATAAATTTTGGCTGAAAGTAAATCATGATTTCGGACAGCCAATAGGCACATAAGGGGGCCTTCTTAGTCATCCAATAGAGAAGCTACACGTCAACACTCTAGAATGTTCTTTTAGCGCTGATTGGATGGAACGTCTTCAACTCTTTCTGAGCTTCTTGAGTTTGCCAGCCAGCCATCCATTCAATAAACTAATAGGTTATGGATATTTGTACCGATTTAAACATAATCATTGACTGAACCCTGCTAAACGAGTTTTCAATGGACGGTATTAAGCTATAAAACAGCTATACAGTGTGTCAGAGATTAAGTGGTTATAGACAATTAATAAGAAGGTCTTTTACTACTAAATTGCATGACTGTTAGTACTGGAAACCACAGATCTAATACTCTTTTAAATACTTAAACTTTTCATAGTTGAAATCATGAGTCAATTGAAGCTAGACCACCATGGAAAACCTGAAAGCACTGGACGGCCAACTCGTACTATTATGGGGCTCCTCAGCAGTGCGCATCCACGATCCCGCACCCACAAGATTCGAACCCAGGACCTATCAATCTACACTGCTTCCAGGTTTTCCATGGTGGTCTAGCTTTAATTGACTCATGATCTCAACCATGAAAATACTAAATTCTCCACAAAACCCCTTCTGAACTTAAACTTACTCGGTAAACGGAATGAAGGTCAAAGACACAGTGACACATTAGGCTATTCTAATCCGTTGTCCCCGGTTCTGCTAAACTAGATCAAGAAGTTTTGATGAGGCATCGAGAATATATTCTACAAGCATCCAGAAAATACGAGGTCACTAAGCACATAAATCAAGCTTATTTATACAATGATAGAAACGTCTCTAGGGGAAGAACAAAATAGCGTACTAAAAAAAAATCCGTCGACGAATGACAGTCAACCTGATGATTGTTGATCAAATCTCTTATTGTATCAAGATTTTTGTCAGCTTCTAAAAAGATTTAAATTATAAGCTTCCTTTTTATATATTTCTTTGATCCAAGGTTGCTATATATACTCAGTTGAAATTCATATTCGTACCTATGCACATAACTAAGGATGAGTCTATGTATAAGGCTTCCAATTAAATGATTGGCTAAAGGCTAGAAATTATATTTACTCCTCCTGAAACCTCTCTGAGGCTACTGCCGGTTACAAGACTGGATGAAGGAGGAGTTGTTGGGTATGGGGTTAGTGTAAGGATGGCTCGTTGGCAAATTCTAGGAAGCCTCAAAAAGCCCAGAAAGAGCCGAAGACATTCCATCTAATCACCACTAGGGGAACATTGTAGAAAGTCGACGTGTAGCTTCCCTATTGGATGGATAAGAATGACTCCCTATGTGCCTATTGGCTGTCCAAAACGATGATTTACTTTCAGCCAAAAACTATAAATACATGAGATTTTTGTACTATATTAGACACTGTTTTGGGGAATAAAATTCCTAATTACTAGTCTTCTGTCTTCTCTCTTGCGACATTGCGGGTTCAATCGTTCAAGTAGTCTAGTAGTACGCGGCATAACAAGAATCAAAGATCAAGATGTAACAGTTAGCGACCCCATCCCGTAGAAAACTAACTCTCTAAAAAAGCACTAACCAGAAAAAATTAATTTAAACCATTAAACTCTACCCTAGAAGTTAGAAGGTCTTCATTTACAAGAGAGTCATAACATCCTATGATGAAAGCCAAGTTCCTTCGGAGGCTGATACCCCTTTTCTAACAACAAGAACAATCATTGATTTAATAGACATAAGTAAGTAAATAAGTTAATCTAATCAGTTATAACTTGATGGGGATAAGATTAGTTGAAGTTAGACATAAACACCATGGGATGCCGGCTTAATGGTCTATCAATTAAGTGCTCTAACACGAGACTGATAGGTCCTGGCTTCGAATCTTGCTCGCGAGGCGAGATCGTGGATGTGCACTTCTACTGAGGAGTCCCATAATAGAACGAAACAGCTGTCTTGTGCTTTCAGGTTTTCCCTGATGATCTAGCTTCAATTGACTCAAGCTTTAAACCCCTTTTCTGATAAGATTCAATCAAATAAACAATCAATAATATTTACCTTATAAACCATGGAGCATTCAATGATGTATACATTAATCGATAAGATAAAGCATGCCAATAATTCATTTGTTGATTTAATTTTTGTATTTTTGTTGGATAATAAACATTTTTTTCTTTTCTCTTTTCTTTAACTTGTTTATTACTATTACTATTCATAGATGATTGTGATAGATCCATTGAAGTTATCAATGATGTCATACGTTGTCTTGTTCTTGACACAGAAGGGTTAGTTACCTTTTCAGGATTCGATGGACTAACGTATGAACTGATGAATGTTTCAATGGAACTGTCAGATAACTCAGATAATAGATATGACTGTAGATTGAATGATAAATTATCTAAATAATGTTTATGATGATAACGTGATTGTTTAATAACTTCATTAGCTTTTGAATGATATAAATTTTGATTTGTTTCTATACTTATTATATATTGAGTTGTATAGAATTCGGCTATTGGTTGAAGCTGAAATAAACAAAAAAGGGATAAGTACTGATGATGTCGTTTAGAATGACGATGAAAACTCCACGACTAAGTCATCCAGCTCAGAGAACAAACCTACATCAACGATAACCTATATTACTTATCAGAATAGGAATTTATAAGAATTTTAGTTTGACTCAAGAGTTTATCTAAGTTAGATCATTATTGAAAGCCTGGAAGTAATGGACGATTGTTTTGTCCTTAATCCAGAACCTTCGACCTCATATGAGAACGCTTCACGTGTAGAACATTGAACACCCTAAAATGCCATGGTACGGCCGAGAGTTGGGAGCGTCCACTCTCCCCCTCCAAATGCTCTCACATGGCCACACGTATATAGGCTCTACCAGGGAATTACTACTCACTGCCTTCTCGTTACATCACTGTTGTTTACGAAATTGAAAGGACGAAAAACGAATGTCAGGCGCTTTAACTGGGTCGATGGAAACGGAAAGTTCACCTAGGCGAGTTGGGAAACCCTCATTCCAAACCAATGGTGCAAATGGGCTCCTATATCTTGAGGGAACAAATGGCGTATGAATCAATCGTTGGTCACCGGCTACCATGGGAATGCATCTCATCCCGATTCCCCACTGCCTTGTGGGTTAGACCTCTAGGTCAAAGGCTCTGAGTGTGGCCCCTTAAGAAAACCACCTGCTTCAGTTTGGGCACCTGGGCAGTATCACAGCCCTCACACAAATCAAATGACATTTGTGCGGCGCATATGTATCTGATGCTTCCTTGTACCAATATTTATGTGTTTAAATAATAATAATAATTAGACCATTGAACTTACCGGCATCCAATAGTGTTAGTGTCTAACTCTAATCGATCCTTGATCTCTTGCAATCTTTCATGCATTATCTGACGTTGATAACTCTCTTACATCCGACATGAATTGAACTCGACTGATAACCGCTCCTCACTAGAACATTAGGAATTCCATCTTGAATCTAGTCACTGGTTAGCAAAAGATTATTATCAGTATGAAGGGTTAGAGATTAACATCGTTAGGTGCTGGCTCAATGGAATAGACGTGAAGCGTTCTCGTACGAGACGTTATCATCACATATACTTATCCATGTAATAGATTAATTTTCATTACGAACTGACATGTACTGAAAAATCATCTTAAAGTAGGAAGCATTGAACAACAGCTTCGTTTCAATTAGAAATTCTTCAGAAGTACGAGATCTCGTGAATCCAACTAAATTACTTACAGTATAAATAGTTTATCATTTTCAGAACATCTCACACCTTATTGAGAATACAAAACCTAATCAATTGGTTTGATACATCCCAAAGGAATGAAGATAGTCGATTGATCGAAATATGGTAATCTTCCTTACCTAAAGTGAATGAATTGTTCATAAAGGCTGTCTCCTATATACAATTAGGTAGTCGAAAGGTCTATCAGATATTATATACCACTATGAAACAAGGGATCACAGAAGGTCTTGAGGTCAGAAACAAGATTATCAGATATAGGAATGTACAAGCTTGATCGAGTATACCCCCAATTGTTAAGAAATTCCAAAACTTCTTGATCTTGCGCAACCATTCATCTACTGTCTGATTAAGATAAATGTTTCTACCCGACATGGATTGGACTCCACCGGACAAAGCTTCTCATTAGAACTCCATAAAGTTTCTCTTGAAGTCAGTCACTAATGGTGTTTGTGGAGATTGTAATAATTACAATAGTTGAATTCATGAGTCGATCTAAGATAGATCACCATAGAAAAACCCCTAATATTTGTGAATTTTACAAAAGTTAAATCAATAATATGATGATATGGAGTCGTGAAAATGGATTAGCTCTTTATGGAGTCAAAATAAAAATGTAAAGATATATAATGCATGTATTTTTAAATAAAGATTAAATATTTTACATTAAATAATTTAGTTACTTAAATCATTTAAGTAGCTTATAGAAAATTAGACAATTTTATCAACTTACATGATATTCAAGATAACATTGCCATTCACCTTGTGGTATAGAACGATAAAATTTGAAATTTTCAAAAAAATCAGATGTCATGTTTGGTAAATTAGGTGTCCATTTTTCCATTTCTAATGATATATTATGATTTTTAAATATTTTTAATATAACTGGAGTTAAATATAAAAATAAATTATGCCATTGAGATCTGGTATTCATTTGGGATATATTTTCATTGTTAAAATTAGTATTGAAATACATTTCAGAAGGGATACTTCTATTTACATTTCTTTCATCATTATGAAGAGGAATTTCAATTAAATGATCACTGAGGATTTCATTGGTTTTTTCCATTTTATGTATATCATCTATAGTTGTCATGGTTTCTTCAAGATTTGACCATATTTCAATAACTTTATCCAAACGGTATAGAAGAAATGCCATCTAGACAATAGGAGATTAAAAGAGTAAGCTTGGTAATTAATGATAAAAAATGGAATATTTCCCTTATCTGTTATAACTTTCTGGTGAATCATTACCACGTAAATGAATGAATAGAGAACTGTGAAATCAAGAAATTTGAATAACTGAATGAGGTACACTATCAACTTCTAGTTTCGATTATTAGATTGTCTTAATCTCACTCTCGTGTTATTTCTCATCGTTATCAATTGCTTTCGTTGTATGTGCTGACTGAATTATAGGCTCATTGTTTTGTTTTTTTTTTCTTTTTTTCTTTCAGATAATCTCACTTACCAACCCTTACACCATCCTAGCCCACAATATACTCTCAAGTTAGGCTCAAATCTATCTAAATCTGAACATTACAATGGGATCAGCCAAAAATGCTTACCAAAAAATTTGAAGAAACAATCCGAAAGTCGAAATAATGAAGATGATTTATAGCTTAGGTGAATAAATCAAATCCTTAATCCTTTAATCTGGATAAAACTATCTATAATTACTTACTATATTATATTCAGTTAATTGATTCTTGTCTCCCACGTTCACAGTCTTATTTGGTTTCATCTTGTACAAATATTATTTTCTATGATATGATGTGATATGGTTTGTCTGTTTGTCTCGTATATAAACCGAGTATGCTTGAAACAAATGATTCTCATAGTAGAAACTGTAATTGGTTTACTGGACTAAATTGGAAGTGCTAGATAGACAAAGAACCAATTAGGATGCTAGACTGTTCATACCGATCGAATGTCATTAATTTGGTTTTATATATTTGAGCTAGACCACCATAGAAAACCTAGAAGCATTTCACGGCCGTTTCGTCTCATTGTGGGACTTCACAGTAGTGCGCATCCACATTCCAGCCTCGTAAGATTCCAACCCAAGATCTACCAGTTTCGCGCTAGATCACTTAACTGATAGACCACTAACCAGGCGGCATCCAGTAGTGTTAGTATTTAACCTCATTGATTTGGCACAGTGTTAAGATAAGGTAAATCGTATTTCGATTGATGAACACATCATGTAATAAAATGCCGAACATAAGATCACAACAACTTAGCAACAACCTTCTTTTATAAAGTCATAACAACAAAATAGTTACTATGACAATAATTAACTTACTTCTTCATAACATGATCTATTTTCAAATTGACAAATGATATAATGTAATTGAGTTAATAAATAAATAAATAAACGTAATTGTATATAATTACTATTAGTAATCCACCATAATAGTAAATGTATCACTAATATTTGTACTTCTTTCCATTGAGATGAATTCAATTCCCAGATAAGTAATGATTCTTGTAATAAATGTAGTAAAGCTTCCATTAACTAAAAGAAAAAAAATAATAGAAGTATTTAACAAGATGAAGAATAGGAAAAAATGGATAAGATTGTGATATTGTGATGGTGTCTACTTATATACCTTCATAAGTAGTATATAGTGATGGATAGACATAGAATGTATTCCGTTAGAAGATTTATAAGGTAAGAATCGAAACGGAACGAAATGGGTAAGAAAATGCATAAACAATGAAATTAGAGAAGATGGATTGGTATTTACAGAAGAAACAGTGAAGATTAAGACAATTGATTGTTAACAATTGATTAATCATTGGGTAGTGATCAATGTCATATGCGTGTCAAGTCCGTCTTGGTGCTGATCGAATACTATCGATCAAATTGCAATGTGGCCACTAGTTTAGGTGATTCGACACTGTGTGGACTATGTTGAGATAAGATGATGATTGGAGATGGTCAACAGGAAACCCTGGACCCGGGTTTCGTGCTACTTGACACTCGTCAGCAAGGTGTACCTATAATCTTGAGGGAACTGGTGCTCCCTGATGGATTTGATCCCGCGTCACTCAGCTTCACAGCCTAAATAGCTCAGTGGTAACGTCTCTCACTGTGAAGCTAACTGGCACTGGATCGAATTCATCAGGGAGCATCAGTACCAAGTAGCACGAAACCAGGGTTCAGGGTTTTCTGTTGACCACCTACAAACACCATCTAGTCATAATTAATTGATGGTTTGCAAATTAACTGTTTATTGTATGGTTATCAGATTTTAGTGAGATTACTTTCGATTGTCCCCAGTCGTGTTCTCATTCACTACAATATTATACTGATGACCTTTAGTGAACCAATGACAATACAGTTAGAGTTTTCTAGGTGGAATTTCAAATTATCGGGCAGTTTAGAAGACGACTTAATAGTGTAGCATCTGCGAAAGAGATCATTCTTCTAAGAAATTGTATTTTATATGATTTATGATCAAGAAATGACATGACTGCAGCCCATGTGCACCACTGGTTTGGAATTAGGGTTTTGCAACTCCCATAGGTGGACCCTCCATGTCCACCAACCCGGTTAAAGTGCCGGACATTCGCTTTCGTCCCCTCATTTTCGTACATAACACCCCGCCACGAGAAGGCAGTGAGTAGGACTTTCCTGGCAGAGGCTATATATTCGCTGGCCATGTGAGAACATTTCGAGAGGGAGAGTGGACTCTCTCCACTCTCGGCCGTATTTGGGGGCAGTATAAACGTATAAACGTGTTATTGATTGTGAATGTCTCGTTTTAAATAGTATAAAATAGTATAAATAGATGCAAGAAGGTACAACAAAAGCAGAAGTATAAAGGTTGAATGGTTAACTGCTAACATAGTTGTTCATTCTTTATCCCTATCCATAGTTGTTTGAAGTATGGAACCAAACTACAAACAAGTCTTACTTACAAAAAGTCGGGATAGAAACGCTTGAACACTGATGTCTATACTAAGAAGATATGTAGAACCATGTACAACTATTCACATTGATGAATTGAGAATGTATAGATACATTCACATATAGAGATACCTCTATCGAGTCATTGTCCATAAATGCTACTTTGCAGACCCAACTACTTGTGTACACATACCAAAAATATGGGAGTAATGTGGACACGCATGAAAAATGTTTAGACCGTAATTATTACACGTACACTGAAAATAAGCCTATGAAAAAATCGCGAGGCAGGATCGTTGATGCGTACTGTTGAGGAGTCCCACAATACGACGAAACGGCCGACCGGTGTTTCCAGGTTTTTCATGGTCCTCTCTCTTCAATTGACTCATGAATTCAACCATATGTAATAATTGTCTATTCATACTTTAATACATTCATTTTCATAACCTTCGCTCTAATTACTTCAGTTATGAGTTAGAATTATGAGTTAGAGTTTCAGACTTTTAAGCTTCATCAGTTTTCGGATTGATTAATGGTTTCAATGCCTTGAAATCTCCATAATTTTCAACAGCTGAATTCTGATTGGTTGTTTTCTCATTGGCTGTTCTCAAAGTCACTCGTAGAATCGCTGAAAACTGAAAGTTGCTTATAATGTATGTCTTAACTTTAAAATGATTACATATCAATTAACAATTCCGCCTGTAGCCTGTTCCAGAGGTTACTACCGGTCCCAAGCCCACATAAAAGAGGGGTTGAGACATGGGGTTAAAGACCCTCATCCCGTAGAAAACTAACTCGCTAAAAAAAAACGCTAATCAGTATCAATTAACAATGACATCCTTAGTAAGTCGATATAAACGTCCATTTAGTTACCAGTATAGGTATCAATATACACATATACAAACATAGAACTATAAATATCCACTTACTTCTATACGATATTCATTATCAATCAAGCTCTTATGATTACAAGTAGTATCAACTAGAAACATCATAAATAAATGAACAACCCTTCGAACTTTTTCTCCATCAACTGCACCTGGAAATAATAAATTCTGATCTGAAAAGAAAAGAAAGGTAAATTATAATAAAAAGTCAAAGTATAGTAGAATAAGTCAAGTACTGTAGGGAAATATTCTAACAAGAAATTAGATAAACAATGAATAAATTATCATCATAGCTAAAAATTATGGGAAATAGTAAGATCCTAAATGCTATAGTACGGCCGAAAGTGGGAAGAATCAGCTCTCTGTCTCCAAATGATCTTATATTGGCAACGCATATATAGACACTAACAGGAAAGTCCTACTCACTGCCTTAACGTACCACCACATGTGTTGTGTACGAAATTGAGAGGATGAGAGGCAAATGTTCATGAAAGCTCTTAACCGACTCCGCTGGTGAGCGGCCTATGCTCCTCCACGAGGGGTAACAGACTTAATTAATTAAGTAAGTAAGTAAGTAAGAGGCCTTAACCGGGTTCGTGGATATGGAGGATCCATCTAAGAGAGTTGGAAAGCTCTTATTCCAAACCATTGGTACATATGGGCTCCAGTACCCTGAGTGAACAAATGGCTTAAGAACCGATTATTGGTCACCGGCTACCATGGGACTGCATCTCCTCACGATGCTCTACTGCCTTGTGGGTCAGACCTTTATGTCAAAGACTCGGGCTGTGACTTCCTAAGAAAACCATCTGCTTCGATCTGAGCACCCGTGGGGTATTATAGCCATAACACAATAAATAAATCAATAAAAGTAATGAAATGAATGAATTTGAAAGAGTTACTTACTATAGTTTGGCAATGATTGTTCTAATGAATAAATGATGAGTTCAAATAATCGTTGAATTATCCAAAAACCAGGTTTAATAAGAATATATTGACTATTGACTTCCATAAATGATATTATTGCTCTATAATATCCCTATTTATAATAAATCAAATAGAACTTATTAATGATGTATACTAGATGAATAGTAAGTCTTAGTTGATGATAGAACCTCTATGAAGAATATCAATTCAATGAAGACATAGTGTAGTGTGGTCTACTTATATCCTCATAAGTAGTATATCGTGTAGGTAAGACATAGAATGTATTTTGTCAGAAGATCGATAAGGAAAGAACAGAAATGAAGCGTAATTGGTAGGAAAAGGCATGAACAATGAAATTAGAGAAGGCGGACTGATATTTACAGAAGGAACAGTGAAGATTGAGACAATAGATTGATAGTTTGCAAATTAACTGTTGACCGTATGAATTCACTTTGTATTGTTTGTTTGAATCTTCCCATTGATGTTTAGGACGGTAGTCCCATTACACAAGCCAGTGACTATCAGGACTCAGTAGCTAAGTGGATAATGCAATGGCGTTTGAAGCGAAAGGTATTGAGTTCGAGTCCCTGAGTGAACATCAATTCTGAGATGCAGGTACATCCAGCTGCCGAGTCCTAAATAAAACGAAACGCGAGTCCTGAATTCCACTACTACCCACTATCCATCTTTGCTTACAATGTTGACTATATGGTTAACAGAATTTAGTGAGATAGTCTGTAATTTATGCTAAAGTACATTCAATTGTCCTCACTCGTTCTCTTGCTCACTACAATAGTATAGAAAACTATTAGAAATTGAATAAAAGAAAGATAGAAGTCATTTATTTTAGTATGTTTACATCTAATTCTATCAAAGAATACACTATCTGTGAATAAATATATGCTTCGTGGAATAAATAGAATGTATCCTATTATCAACAAATAGAATGAGACTATGATTTATGGACTAATCAATCAGATTTAAGATAATAGGTCATGAATTTTGGTGCAAAATTCATTTATCTATTTGGCTTAATAGAGTTTTGACATTATAGGTGATGTTAGTTTGTGATGAAAATCCTAAATTCAATTCCTTACCTTTTAATTATCAACTGTAAATATTAATCCTTATTCCTTACAAAGGTTTATAATCCTAATTTGGTCCTGATTATTAGGTGGATACTATTAAAGTCTTTTTAGCGCCGCTCAAAGGTATTCAAAAAATTATAATCTTATCATAAATAGCCTTTCAGTCAGTTAATTAGTCACAACGTAGAACTTTGTACGTACGTAAATCAATGCGAGTTGTATATCACATTAACACAAAGATTCAGTTGTTGATTCGTAGTAGAAGCTGTAGTGTTGGTCGGTATGTTAAGCCCATATAGCTTCTGGACAAGCCGATTTACCTATCTATATTGAATCATGTTTTGATTTTGTTAATTATTCACTTATTAACCCTGACTATTTTTTATATGGGCGTAGTCAGTCAATCAGTCAGTCACAACGTCAAACTTCGTACGTACGTACATCAGTTCGAGTTGCCATAACACATTAGCACAGAGATGCAGTTGTCCATTCAAATCCCATAATGGTAGAAGTAGTAAGAGTATAAGCAGTAATCGGAAGGATTATGGTTTGAAGATGTTATTCAAAGAGTATAACTCAGTGAAATAAACTTGGAAAGAGAAAAAAAGGAAGAGATATAAAGAATTCAGAGGGTCAGAATTTGGTAGAACACAAAGAATGTATGCACCTTCACCATTGCAAACGATTTTGAGCCATGTCAATCAAGGTCTCTAACCATCGATTACTATCATCTCAAGGACCCCAACTAGGTAGTCTACACCTACCAACATGGCTCAGTCCACTTGTCAGTGACTTCATGAGTTTCTGCCACGTTTTGGTCTGGCCACCCCTAAATTTCCTCCAACCTATTCCGATGACATGAAACATTGCACGTCGGGGCAGTTGGTGGTTGGATATACATAACACGTATCCCAGCCATAAATAGCCTTTAATATCCTGCATAGCATAATGTATCCTTTTCTTAACAGTACACGGATCAGTAGTAAAGAGAAATATTAACTAACTCATAATACAACAGAATGTATCTATTGATATCAAGAGAGTTACTGTTCTCGTTAGCGGGGAATTCAAATCCGACTAACTGTGTACCATATTTAAAATAACCTAATTAAACAATTGTCTTTAGTATGATTAACTTGATGAGTAGTATATTATAAAAAGGAAAATTTAGTAAACAAGTTTAATGTTTTTTAATATCCTATAGTTCCTGTGTTCGAATCTCTCGATTTGGGATCGTGAATGCACACTACTGAAGAGTCCCACTATAGGACGAAATAGCCGTTCAGTTCTTCGAGGTTTTCCATGGTGAACTAGCTTCAATTGACTAATGATTTCCACCAAATCCCCTACTGATAATTTCTTGAATTACTGATAATGTGATTATTATAAAGAAAGAGTTTTGATAACTTACCACCCATGGATCATCATTTGTAATTGTTGTACTTAAATGCCAACGTTCTAACTGACTAGATATCCATAGAATTTCATGTAAACACTTAATAGTTAATTGAATTAAATTATCTTCTAGAATTTCATCATTTTCTAATATTATCTGTGAATTACTTATACTACTATGTTTGTTATTATCAGTAGTCTGGTGTTGAAAATTACTAGAAAGAGAAATTGAAGATTGAATAGATAAAGTTTGTTCTATGCTATAATGATTTGATACTGAAACTGGATGTCGATTAGTTGCAATACGATTTGAAATAATAGTCGAATCTAATATGTTGACATCTTTCAAATAATCCATATGTCTATTAGATGAACTATTGAAAACAGATTCTACTTCACTATTTGACAAAGAAGATTCTCTTGATGTTTTATTTTGTGATAATGATGAAGTTGGTGAGTATAGATCATCATTTTGTGAATTTATGGAACTACCATGACCAGAATCATTAGTTGACTAAAAAGAAGGAAAAAAAAACAACAACATGGCGATGAGAGAGTGAATCATGGGTAATGCTAGTTGATTAAGTAAACAATAATAGATTGTAAGTTGAAATTCGTCACTATTTCAAGTCACATCACTTTGGAAACAATATAGAAACGAGAGTTTAAGAGGTTGTTCAGTTTTGCTAAGATCAAAAACAGATCTAAACTGTATAACTATTAAAAACTTAGAAGCATATCACTTTATCCCAGTTCAATGGTTCAAAGATCCAGTACTCGATTTACAATGATAGGGGGTGTGAATGTGCAGCTCTGAAGAGTATCATACTAGAACGAAACGGATATCCAGTGCTTTTATGTTTTCAAAGGTTGTATCACTTAGACGTGTTTATAATTTTATCTAAATTCAACAGTTTCCACAACCCTCGTTTTTATGTTGTTTTCAAAGTGATGCAACTTATTATCATTAACGTTATCGATTGTGTAATATCGTGGATTGGTTGAAATTAGACATCAACATCGTTGGATCCTATCTCAGCGGTCTAGAGGTGAAGTATTCACACGGGAGACTGAAGGTCCTGAATTCCAGTTCGTTTGGTGTGGGATCGTTGACACACGCTATTTAGGAGTTTCATACTGCGGCGGAAGGGTCATCCAGTGTTTCCAAGTTTTCATTGATAGTCTAGCATTGATCAATTCATAATCTCAATCAAAACTCAACAATCTATTCAATAATATATATTAGGTACAATATAGAAATCTCAGCACAAAATCTTTCAACAAATTTCCATTCCTTGTTTCTTGATCAATCCTGGTGATAAAATATTGAGTGATCTCCAGTTACATGTTGGCAGTTCACAAATTCACATCTGAATATTTTATATAGTTAAGATCATAAGTCAATTGAAGCCAGACAACCATAGAAAACCTAGAACCACTGCATGGTCGTTTCTTCATATTGTGGGACTCCTCAACAGTGCGCATCCACGATCCCTCACTCGCGAGATCCATATATGACAATTGGTTTTTTAAACTAATACACGAATAATTTTCTATCCCTTTCAATGCATGTTGACCTGCCAGAGACCACGATGTATCTGATGATGATTGTACATTTTGCAAGTTGTAAAGTGAAAGGTCGTAAACTTTTCTCAAATCGCGCGATTAATAGACGAAGTGATGTTTCAAAACAAACAAACAAACAAAGCATATAACCTGTTGAAATATGTAAATGACAGGAACACGTAGCCCAGATATTCGAGTAGACTGCCGAAGATTAAAATAATGACTGATTTCAACTTTCAATTTGTCATTCAACTAACAAGTAATATCTGACCCGACTGTTGCTGCTACGTTGACGTGGAGGTCGGGCTTGTCTATCGTGATGAACCAATCAAGCTATACTGACTCGAACAATCGTTTTTAAACGTCCTATCATGCTAGGCAGGTCGGTTGAGGAGCGGTAAGACTGAAAGCAGCAAACCCAAGGTCCGAAGGCGAAGTCGTACTGCTGACTGTACAGAGGTGTGACAGCAGTAAGGTGTTTCCTTCAGATAACCAGCATCACAGCGATGCTGTCTTCCCACAAGGAGGGGTGGGGTTGGGAAAAGTCGACCCTAAAAATGCACACCTCGCCTTATCCCACGGATATCCGTCTTCGGCGGTAAGGTCCCAACAAGTACGAAGCTAACACAAAAACTACCCGCAAATGAAGTACTTTACTGTATAGTTCTTAGATGTTACTAAGATGTTTTGTCAATCAGTATTCAAATACATTTCGTTGTTCTTGCCTGTGTTCTTGTTCACTACAGAATAATTGTTGACAACTGTATTTTTTGTGGAAAAGAAGAACAATTAAAGAACTTACTTCTAGACGCTTTGAATGAATTTCACTTAAATGTTTTTGTGGTAATTGATTTCTAGCTAATCCAAATCGAGATATGGATATTCGATCAAGTTGATGAACTTTCCTATGTATAAATATAAAAAATGACATATAAACTAGGGTTCAACATTAAATAATACGCATATAGATTCATTGTTTATTTAAAAGTGGACATATTTGATGATTGATTGATTGATTGAGCTATTGTGGATGTGGTCTGCTGAGGAATCCTATACTAGGACGAAACGGTTATCCAATGTTTCCAGATTCTTAATGACGGTCTAGCTTAGATCAACTCATGAATTCAATAGATAAAAATACTACAACCTCCGAAAATCTCCTTACTGATTGGTAATACACCAATACACCAATTTCATATATAAATTATTTAACAATTGAATATTAGTTTTAATAGTTGGGAGCATGAGTCAGTTGAAGCTAGCCCACCATGGAAAACCTGGAAGCACTGGACGGTCGTTTCGTCTTAGCATGGGACTCCTCAGCAGTGAGCATTCACGATTTCGCCTCACGAGATTTGAACCCACAACCTATCAGTCGCGCGCTCGAGCGCCCAACCTCTAGACCACTGAGCCGATATCCAACGGTGTTAAGATTTAACTTCAACCAATCCACAAAATTGAGCGACATATCCACCAATGTCTTCAGTGAATTACTATCTCATAGAATACCCGGTTGAACCCCACAGGTCACTGCTTCTCACTAGAACTCCAGGAAATACCTCGAAATATTCTCACATGGCCATGTGTATACAGCCCCTGCCAGGGAAGTCCTTCTCGCTACCTTCTCAAGGCGGGGGTGTTGTTTACAAAATTCATAGGATGAAAAGTAAATAGCCGGCACTTTAACTGGGTTCGTGGATATGCAGGTTCCACCTAGGGTAGTGGAGAAACCCTGATTCCAAACTGATGCTGCACATGGGCTCCAGTATCGTGAAGAAACAACTGGCGTTTGAACCAATTGTTGGTCACCAGCTATCAAGTAACTGCATCTCCTTACGTCACTCCACTGACTTGTGGATTAGACCTATAGGTCGAAGACTCCGAGTGTGGCCTCCTAAGAAAACCACCTGTTTCGATCTTGGAACCCGTTCAGTATCGCATCCCTCACACAAATCACTGATAATTACTATTGACCTCATTGTTATTGTGTGGTGCATATGTATATGGTGTCCCCTTGTACCAATGTTTATGTGTTCAAATACATAGATATTGAATAACTAGTAAGTAACTATATTATATGTATATTCATATTCCTGCGTATGTTTGAAATACATTATTCATATCGCAGAGGTTGGACTGAGCTGATCGAGTTACGATAGAAGCTATTATCTTGGAGGTTCAACAAGAACTCAGAATTGACTCTAGGCTACTCGTATTGGTTTAGGCATCATTGATCTGGTCAATAAGTCGATGCTCTAATCGGTGATCATATTACGTAATAACTAAACAGGCCATACATAATGTCATAACATCTACGAACACTTACTCTCTAGGACATTTGATCAATAATCGAAAAAATGAATCCATGAATGCTGGTAATTGACTTAATACTTCAACAACATATTTTGATGATTTATTAAAAATATCCATAAAGGTATTCATTGTTAAAATACGAAATTTCAATGGACTTTGATGCAATAGATCCATTAAACGTAACAATCCCAATATATCATATGATGGACCTAAAAGTAAATGATTAAGAAATAATTATTTTGAGCTAAGATGGACATTGGCTAGTAAGGAAATTCATGACGATCTTCACTTCGTCCTATTCGAGACTTGTCAGCTGAATGTACCTGAATCTCAGAGTTGATATTCACTTTGGAATTCGAATACAGTACCATTTGTTTCAAACGCCATTGCGTTATTCACTTAGTTACTGAGTCTTCATGGCCACTTGTTGGTCTACATTAACTCTAAGATCTAGGTACATCAGATTGACGAGTCCTAAATAGGACGAAACGCGCGTCCTGGATTCCACTGCTACCATGTATTCATCTTTGCTTATAATGCTTACGACATAAGGCAATATAGAGGCAATACGTACAGTATACTGTACGTATTGTACAGTATGCATATATGCATCATCAATGGAAAGATTCAAGTAATTATTTTGATTGAAATTATGAATCAATCAATGTTAGACAATTATTGAAAACCTGGAAGTACTGAACGACAGTTTCGTTCTAACATGAGACTCCTCAGAAGTGTACATAATTCATATAAGAATTCTATTTTTCTTAAGGTGTGTATATTTTGATGACATGTCTAAGAGGAATATGATCTACATTAGTTCTGAATCCGATCAATTGATCTAACTTGTGTCCCATATTACATAGAAGTTTTACAATTTCTAAAGTACAATAAGACTGAATTTTTCCTCTTCGTAGGATTAGAAAAGAGGATTAAAGGTTATTAATGAATAGTCCTGTTGTATCTTGTGGAGAATTATGAATGGTAACTCTGAGGACTATTTATAGACCAATGTGATATGTATATTTCCTATTGTATCGTTGCTAAGCAACTGAACTATTCACATTCATGTTCCTTTCATTATAAGCTTTATTTTGACCCATAGACTAAAACTGTACGATTTACCATTCCTGAGTTATACCCAGTCTATTAATTACTGTCCCCACTATTCACAACCACATTTGACTAAATCTTGTACACATGTTATTTTCTATTTTATGGTACGATATGGTCAGTTTGTTTGGTATACAAACCCAGTATGTTTGTGAATAATGATTCACATTGCAGAGGCTGTTATTGGTGTTCTAGACTTAACTTGCTGGGCTAGGCAGAAAGCAGGACTGATAAGTATTCAAGACTGATCATACGGTTATTGTGTATCATTGGTCTGATCGATAATTCACTAATGTCTGATTGGCGAGGATTATCACGTCATGTATTATTAAACAGGGCATCCAGGCAGGCACAGTCGATATAACAAGTCCATACAAGTTGAAACAGTCATATACAGGTAAAAAGATAATGATTTATCATTAATTATCAGAAGGGGTTTTGTGGAGATAATAATAATAACCATATGTTCACCAGTGACTGACTTCGAGAGGTAAATCCAGGAGTTCTAGTGAGAAGCCGTGACCAGTGGAGTTCAAACCAGGTCTGTTGTGAGATAACAACTCTCTGAAGATAATTGGTGAACGGTTGCTCAAATTTCGTGAATTAGTTGGAGTTAGACATAAACATCATCGGATGCTGGCTCAGTGGTCTATCGGTTAAGGGCTCTGGCGCGAGACTGGTAGGTCCTGAACTCGAAACTCGCGAGGCGAGATCGTGGATGCGCACAGCTGAGAAGTCCCACAATAGAACGAAACGGCCGTGCATTGCTTCTAGGTTTCCCCTGGTGGTCTAGCTTCAATTGACTCAAGATTTCAATTATCATGAATTGACTGAAAACAGTAACATTATAATCTTAAATCACCTGGAGAAACATTGAAAAGCAGAGGATATTTGAAGAATGTTACATTCAAGTTTAATTCTTATTCTATGCCTCGATAATATGCACTTGAAGCTGAATTAGGAAATTATGCATTTTGATACTATGTAAACCCGATTCTTGATTTCGTTGGAACGAATTTACAGGAATTTATTACTTCGTAAGTACTTTCTTTTTGCATTGAAAAGTATCACATTCGGATAATGATAAAGAAACTTCCAATGTCCCAACTCAATCGGCTACTTGAATCAGATAGTAGATAGTTAAAAAATAGATTTTTATCGTGGTTGGATAATCATCAGGAACCTGAGAGCATAGGATGGATGGTTTGTCCCAATATGGAACTCCTCAGTATTCCACACACACAACTCCGCTACTGGAAATCAAACTCAGGACCTGCAGTCTCGCACCAGTGACCCCCTGATCCAGTGGTGTACATATCTAACTTCAACCAATCCATGATATTGTGCGACTATTTCCTAATGTCTTCGATAGGTACCACCCTCACAGTCTAAACAGCTGAACTGATTCGAGCAATAATAGTACACTAAGAAATTTAAGCCATAATTTCCCACCAACAGGATGTATTTCATTCTTAAGAAAACAAAGTCACATCTTGGCTTATCACATGTGCTTATTGTATGGCTGATGTCTGGATGTCTCATTGTGTTATTTTCCAGTCACTGTCTTTTTTGTATTTTTAATAATGAGCATTACTACTCCTTTTACAGTGAATCGTAAATTATCTCAGATTATCCTGGAATAAAAGAAACTTTCGTTTCTTTTGTACACCATCTTTAATTACTCCTTCCTTAAATACACACTAAACGTAACCTCATGTAGGTGGTTCCATAATATCTCATTTAATATTATAATTTGATCAAACAACTTTTCACAGTCGACATAGTCTGAGTTGTTAAGATAAACGATACAAACTATTGGTTCATATTACTTGATTTCATCGATTCTGTTCAAGAACAATGAATTCAAGCTGCATAAATAACTTCTTCCCTATTGAAATCATGAACTGATCTATGTCAGACCATGATTATTAACTTGAAAGCACTGTAAGGCTTCTCGTCCTAGTACGGAACCACTCAGCAGTGCGTATCCACAATCTCTTATACGGGAATAGAACCCAAGAACTTCAGTCTCGCACTTATTTCAATACCCAAGATTTAATAACTCGACAATTTTATGAAACCAAAATTAAGATTAACAGAACGGGTTTTAAACTCATAAGTGAATAAGCAAAGATGGATGGTGGCTAGCAATGGAATCTAGGAAGTGTGTTTCGTCCTATTAGACACTTGCCAACTGGATGTACCTGCATCCCAGAATTGATATTCACTCCGGCACTTGAACCCAGTACTATCCAGATCAAATACTATCCTTTTTTGTGTAGGTTTGTTCTCTGAGTTTGATGGTTTGGTCATGGAGCTTTCATTGTCCTTCTGAACGATATCATCAGCACAAACTTCGGACAGAAGTCTACTTTACCCACCTGAAATACAAATCTTCTCCACCACCATCCATCTTTGTTTATAAAGCTTATGACTTAAGGCAATATCCGTACAAGATAGACATATGCCAACAACAAGAGACTGATCAATTGCAACCCCCTGACAACAATGAGAAGCATACAAGCAAGCAATGGTCACTGAGTTTGCTCAGTTTGCAGAATATCATTATGACATAATAGAAGCATGAGTCAATTGAAGCTAGACCACCATGGAAAACATGAAAGCACTGAACGGCCGTTTAGTCCCATTATGGGACTCCTCAGTGGCAGTGAACATCCATAATCTCACACTCGCGAGATTCGAACCCAAAATCTATCAGTCTCGAACAGTCCAGTGCTTCCAGGTTCTCCATGGTGGTCTAGCTTCAATTGACTCATAGTTTCAACACTGAAAAATATTGAAATCTCCACAAAAACCCCTTCTGACATAATAGAACATTGAATATATATAGAAGAATACATACCACGTTTCATTAGATCCAAGAATATTTTAACAATTTCATAATCTTGTAATAATATTGATATATTTGAATTATTATTGAACAATGAACTGAATCCATTCCAATCTTTAAGAAATAATTGAGACTTATATTTATCTGATACTCGATCAGATAAAGCTAATTTATGAATAAACTGAAATTAAAATTAAAGAAAAATATGTATTGAAAACTATCCGAAATGAATTTGGTAAAGAATTTAATTGAAGCTGGACTATCATGGAAAACATGGAAGCAATGGATGGCTGTTACGTCCTATTGTGGAACTCCTCAGCAATGGATATTCACGATTCCACCTAGCAAGATTTAAACCCAGGACCTATTGGTCTCGCGAGCGAGGGCTTTAAGGCCGTCCAGTGATTTCACGTTTTCCATGGTGGTCTAGCTTCAATTGACTCATGATTTCAAATATAAAATATTGACAAAAACAAAACAAAATAGAATCCATAAAGTGATTAGATTGTTTCTTTAGCTAATGTTGATGATATGGCTTAGAACTGGTTCATAATGAAATAGATATATTCACTTGTTATTTTCTCCTTGATCTCAAATTCTAATATTTCTTCAGATGTATGTCTTTAAGTTTCGTCTTTTTAAAGTAGATTGTCAATCTTCAGTTGTTGCTTATTTTTCTTTCTTTTGCAATCATCGGTAATACATTGTTTCGTTACCTAGACTAATGTATTTTTTTTTGATTGATGAGTCAATTGAAGCTAGACCACCATTGAATACATGGAAGCAGTGGATGACTGTTTCGTTCTAGTATGAAACTCCTGATCAGTGTACATCCACGATCTTGCCTTGTGAAATTTTCAAAAAACCATGACCTCATCATCATATGCTCACTAGTGACCGGTTTCAAGAGGTATTTGCTGAAGTTCTAGTAAGACGGCGTGACCAGTAGAGTTCAACCGGGTCTTTTATGAGATAGTAACTCACTGAAGGAAAATGGTGGACTATCGTGGATCGGTGTAATTTAGACTTTAACACCTTTGGAAGCTGTCCACTTCAATGGCATGGAAGTCAAGCATTCGCACGCGACGTCGGTAAGCCCTGTGTTCAAATCTCGCTAGGCAGGATGGTGGGTGCGCACTACTAAGGAGTCCAATACTAGGACAGATTGGTCGTCCAGTACGTACAGGTTTTCCGTGGTGGTCTAGCTTTAGTTGACTTATGAATTCAACTATGAAGTTAGCACCAGCTCTACAAATCTTCTAATTTCTAAGTTGAAAATGATCAACAAATTAAACCAAAGTTTCTGGTGCTAAGTTTTCAATAAAATAGCTATTCCAAATATCATATTCATATTGATACAGATAGAAAATATGAAATAACCTTCTGTGAAATGTGTTTATTCATTTATTTATTTAAATATATAAACATTAGTAAAAGGATGTATCAAATATCCTCTAAATCCCTCAAGTATGTCCTCCATCTTCACGAACCCTGTCAAAGTGTCGGATATTCGCATCCATAAACAATACCCCCACCTCAAAAAAGCAATGAGTAGGAAATCCCTGGTAGTGACTGTATACTTGTGCCCATGTGAAACATTTGGAGAGATTGAGCTGACTATCCCCACCTTCAAATATACCAGATCATTTAAGGGTGCAAAAGTGTAACTCAACCACCATAAACATTCTTAATTACTTGATGATAGAATAACATACCTACTACCCATGAATATACCTTGGACATTAATAATAATGATCACAAATTCAAACTGATTTACCTTTAATACCAATTTCTTAGTTTCAATATTCACTTTATAATTTGGTTTTAATAATAAACTATACAATTTAACAATTAAATCTGATTCATAAATTAATAATGTAAATTGATCATTCGTATTAGTTTGATCAAAACAATGATCTAACATATTGATTAGATCCTTTACCTAAAATGGAAAAAAAGAATATTGAAGGTCTTTTTTATCAAAAGAATGTCTAAGGGGGGGGAACAACACTTAAAGACTTTGACCTAAAGATCTGATCCACAAGGCAGTGGAGCATCGTAAGGAGATGCGATCACATGGTAGCCGGTCATCAACGACCCTTCGTATCTACCAACTCGTCTTCTCAATTTCTTAAACAATACCCCTGCCACAAAAAGGTAGTGAGTAGAATTTCGCTGGCAGAGAAAGTATAAGCGTGGCCATGTGAGAGCATTTGAAGAGGGACAGCGGACTCGCCCAACTCTCTGCCGTACCGGGGCATTTGGAATTTATTATTACAAAATACATTGTGCCAAGATAAATAATGATCGTGCTGATGTTTAATATAGTGTTTAATTTTGATTATCATTTATTATGGCAACAAAATTAGACTCAAAGCCTCCTTGTGTAAATTGCTGGATAGCGAAATCAACTCTGTTAGCTAATTCGACTGATCAGTAGACATTAGACTAACCCATCAATTTGTTGTACAATGTGTTACTCGGGTTCTAACTCGGGGCTCGCCAAATCTTGCAGGCTACTCGATCTGTATGCTTATGTATATGAATTGCATAAGTCTCGGATTGTGTACTTTGTGTAAGTAGGTATATGCAAAGAGTAAGCGCGTAGGCTCGCAACATGTATGTAAGCTGAAATGTCTGTCCTATGTTAAATGAAATTAGAGACCTAGACCAAATGGTCAAAAATTGTGTAGTAAATACTAGGGTGAGGTAACCCATCGACCCGCCCTGAGAGTGCTTTTATGTATATAACGTGAAGTGCATGGACGAAAGTCTTTGCATCAGTTGCATGCGCGTCATGCGTAAGAAACAGTCAGTTGAAGCAAATGCGTTGCTAGCCACCATCCATTTTTGCTTATAATGTTATAAATAGTAGTAGTTTAGTTAACAAGAACACGAGTGTGGACGATCGAATGTATTTGATACGAAAATTACGGACTATCGCAATAAAATATGACAATCATACAGTAATCAGTTATTTCGCAAACTATCAATCAATTGTCTAAATCTTGGTCGTTCCTTCTGCGAATATTAGTACATAGTCTCCGATTATTATTGTTCATGCATTTTCGTACCAACTGCGTTTCGTTTCCGATCTGCTACTGAAATACATTCTATACATGACTATCGTCATATACTACTTATGTGGATGTAAACAACCCAACACAACACTTTCAAGGGACACCTCAAAAATGACTATCCTTAACCCTGCCTAGGAATGAACCTAGGACCTTCAGATCTCGCGATAAAACCTTGTTATTTGGAATATTGAGCCAGTAATAAACAGCCTAAATGCATAATATCAGTCATTTAACGATGTTACACAAGTATCTTACAATCTTGTTTGAAAGTAAGGGCCTCATACCTAACTCGATTGAACTCTACTAATCATAGCTTCTCATTGGAACTCTGCGAATTACCTTTCAGCATGACCTATTATTGAGCACATAATTATTATTATTACTACCAAATGAAACTTGTGAAGATAATTCGATGAGACTATAATTTATGGACGACATTCGAGTGACGCCTTAATCAGTTTGAGAATCTCCACCTAATAACTAGGATTACATGAAGAGGAATTAGATTTAGGATTTTTATCACGAACTGACATCAGCTAAAATGAACAAAAGTATGAATGAATCTCGCGCCAAAATCCAAAACCTATTATCTTCAATCTGATTGGTTCGTTCATAGATTATAGTCTTGCCCAGCCTCCACAAACCTCATACGGTAGTCATATTACTTACTTACTTACTTACTTACGCCTGTTACCCCTCGTGGAGGAGCATACGCCGCTCATAGTTATATTACGAGTATTATAATGATCATCATCATTACTAATATTCTCGAACTTACCAATAAGATCATTGGACAATTAATAATAAAATCAATAATCTTCATTAAATCAATAATTTTTGTCCGTGGTATTAATTTTACTTCAATTAATTTACAAATTTGTGCTCTTATTTGATTGGAAATCAATAATTTATATTGATCAATATTATTGATTATATCAGTAGTAGTCATTGTAGGAATATTGAATAGGTTATCAGTAGTATATGATGATAGATCATTTAACCATGAATCTAAATGACTAGAAAAGAATAAGATTAAAAGTTAAACGACGAAAAACATAATAATAAATCAATAATGGAAAAATATAGAAAGAAAGCTTGTTTGACTTTAACAAGTTACGTCACCAATGGGTAAAGGCGAGATATCCTTCTATCAATTAATCGACAAGTATACTGTGCAGCAGCTCGTTCTGTTCTACTTTACGGCTGTGAAACGTGGCCAGTAAGAGTAGAAGATTCCCGTAAGTTACTATTATTTGACCACAGATGTCTTAGAAATATTGCTCGCATCTGCTGGGATCACTGGGTTAGTAATAGTGAGGTTAGACATAAGGTTTTAGAGAATGAAGGTAAATCAGTTGATGAGGTTGTGAATCTTCATCAACTGATATGGTTGGGCCACGTGTTACGCACGCCCTACCACCGACTAACATGATGTGCAGTGCTGACTAGTGTTGCAGACGAATGGAACAAAGTTAGGGGCGGCCAAATCAAAATATGACATCAGTGCTTGAATTCACTAACTTCTAGTCGGGGCCATATTGGTAGATGCAGACTACTTGGTTGGGGTTCACGCGATTATCGTAACCAATGGTTGAAGACTCTGTAAAACAAGACTCAGAATCGATCAAAATGGCGTAGGTGTATACACTCTTTATCTTCCCTTAAACGTTGAGATTAAAATTGCATCATATCTGTCTTTCTTTCTGTACTATGCTCTTATATACAAACTTTCTTTTAGATATTACCACCACTAAATTAAATACTTCTATGAATTCGATGTTCATCTTGTTGTGCTAACGAGTTATGGTAACTTTGACCGATGCATATATGTGCCTGGTCTTACGTTGTAGCTAACTGACTGAGAAAGAAATCAACTTATTTTTCATACATTCAGTCCTATAAAAACTCACTTAGATTTTATGATGAACAAAGGTCAATTGGCAAATCATTGTAAAATAGAAAATTCACGATAGCTTCAGATTTTCAGCTAAGAACTCATCTTTAATGTACATCCATAACAGTACACTTGAATTGATCTAGTTGCTAAACGGATCTCACAGTCGTAACATCGCAATCTATGAAGCTGGATGATGCTCTTTCAAATCTTAAAGTGAGTATCAGTACCCTAGAGATTCTAGATAGTCTGCAACGAAATATTCCAGTTAACATCAATAAAACCTAGGTCAAGCATAACTTCAAGCTAACTATCTCACACTATTAAAATATCTCACCCTAGTGTACATTTCCTTAACTCATTTGGACTAATGACCACATTCTAATCGTTAAGGTTGGGATAGTAATAAGTGACTAAATAAACAATGTTCATTGATCAAACGGTACAAATGACTAGTGAATTCATGGTATATAGATGAACGACACATGATAAAATACCCTACAAATTATTCGATCAGTTTACATGCATTCTCAACTTGTCTTGAGATGAATACACCATTCGTGAATACAATCAAACTACCATTTCAGTTACTACATACAGGTTTAATAATGAACATTTCTCTGATTTCATAAAAACCGTCTACAAATTTATAACATATTTGAAATCTAAAAATTATTGTTCAACATTAATCAGCTTTAAGATGACTAACATCATCCGATAAAGAACTATATAATATGATTAAAATACATACAGACCGGGTAGCTCAGTAGTAACGTCTCTGACTGTGAAGCTGAGTAACACGGAATCGAACCCGTATCAAGGAGCATCAGTCACCTCAACATTATAAGTACACCTTGCTAACGAGTACCAAGTAGCATGAAACCCGGGTTAATGGTTTCCTGTTAACCTTCTCCAAACACCATCTTATCTCATCATAGCCCACACAATGTCGAGTCACCTAGACTACTGACCACATTGTAACTTGATCGATAGCATTCAATCTACACTAATGAAACACTTGACACACATATGACATTATATCACCATTCAGTGATCAATCAATTGTGATTACATCTCAGTTCAAAAGGAGGTCGATGGTGGCAACGTCTCTGACTGTGAAGCTGGGTAACACGGGATTCAATCCATCAAGGAGCACCAGTTCCCTCAAGTGCCAAGTCGCACGAAACCCGAGTCCAGGGTTTCCTGTTGATCATCTCCAACTACCATCTTATCTCAACATAGTCCACACAATGTCAAGTCACCTAGACTACTGACAACATTGTAACTTGATCGATAACATTCAATCTACACTAATGAAACACTTGACACACATATGACATTATATCACCATTCAGTGATCAATCAATTGTGATTACATCTCAGTTCAAAAGGAGGTCGATGGTGGCAACGTCTCTGACTGTGAAGCTGGGTAACACGGGATTCAATCCATCAAGAAGCACCAGTTCCCTCAAGTGCCAAGTCGTACGAAACCCGAGTCCAGGGTTTCCTGTTGATCATCTCCAACTACCATCTTATCTCAACATAGTCCACACAATGTCAAGTCACCTAGACTACTGACAACATTGTAACTTGATCGATAACATTCAATCTATACTAAAGAGAGACTTGGCACACATATGACATTAATTATCATTCAGTGATCAATCAACTATGATTACATCTCAGTCCTATAGGAGTTCGATTGCTACCCGGAGAGTTCAATGATAACATCACTGACTGTGATACTGAATAACACAGGATCGAATCCGTATCAAGGAGCATCAGTTCGTTCAAGATTACAACAGGTATACCTTTGCTGACGTATAACCAGTAGCACCAAACCTACCCTACAGGATTTCATCAATTCACATTATAATATAAACATAATATCACCAAAAAAAAGAGAACTATTCATTTACTTATGATATTCTATAAGTAATTCTAATAATGAATCCATTGATGATAATTGCTTTGATAATAAATGATTATTATTATTATTATAATGAATCATTTGATTTAACTTTTGTAAATGTATTAATATACTAATTGAATTAGATTTTAACCATATATCCCAATCATACATTAACTGATATATAAGTAATATATGATGATGATGATGATGATTATTATGATTACATAATGATTGATTAGTAGGATTATTAAACCAATTATGTAATAGATTCATATGAAATATTGATTGTTTGTTACTAGGTAATTGATAAATAAGAATATAGAATAGATCATGAATTGTTGTTACCACATAGGAATCAAAACGTAAAGGATGAAGCTGTAAAATCAAAATATTTTTAAAAAAAAAAAAACATAAAAAGAGAACAAATTTTCAGAAAGGGTACTATAGAGATTACAGTATTTTCATAGTTATAAAACATGAATCAATGAAAGCTAGACTATCATAGAAAAACCTGAAAGCACTGGATGGTCATTTTGTACTATTGTGTAATTTCTCAGCATTAACACCGTTGAATACCGGCTCAGTGATCTATCGGTTAAATAATCTGACGTGATACTGGTAGATCATGAATTGGAATCTCGCGAGATGAAATCATGGATGCACACTGCCACTGAGGAGTTCAACAATAGAACGAAACGGTTTTTCAGTGCTTACAAATTTTCTATAATGGTTCAGCTTGAATTGACTCATGCTTTCAACTATGAAAAGAACAATATTCACTTTAAGATAGATTATATCTATATCTATATATATAATGTAATAGAGATGATTTGTAACTTCGGTGGTTGCTTTTAACTGTTTTCTATTCTTTGATTAAGATGATTTATTTATCAGTATGAATAATATTTTTTAGTGCCTATTGTTATTATTCTAGTGATGACATACTTGATTACATTGAATTGACTTATTCGCCTTTTCCATTATGGATCATTTCATTTCACTTTTTTTCTCTTTCACTTCTTCGCTTAATTCCACTGATTGTCTGTCCAGATAAATGAGTGTACAAAATTCTTAGGTCGGCTTCCAAAGAACTCTATCAGAGCCTCCAGAGAGGCTCATAAAGAGCCCAACCAATCAGTGATTAGTTAGAAGCTATGCTACTAAAATAACAAGGTCCTGATTGACTGTTTAACATAATGCTACTATGAAATCTCAAGGTCTTTTAATTAATATAAAACCCCTGTTTTTTTCTGTACATAAATGAACCTTGTAGTAAAGTGCTTCTCTGATACTCGTATCTTCTCTCTGGTCTTTCAAATCGCTGAGTAGTGCTAGCCTAGGGTTATCCGAATAGCTAGGATCCGAATAAAACGTTCAACCTACGAGACATATTCAAAAATTTCATAAACTTATTTATTTCCGTTATTCATTAACGTGGTTCAGGATTGACAATAGAGTCAGATTTAAAGCGGTTAAAATTTAAATAATGGAAATCTGAATTGTTGTTTATCACATTACTCTCCGCCAATTTTTTTATTTTAATTATTGACATATTACCATTTATGTTCTATCCCAGAGAAGACATAAGAACAGGTAACTTCCAGGACCTATTAATGGACAATTATTCTTTATATATATATTCTTATTGTTTAATTATTGAGTAATTAGATTATGTATATCTATATTCATCACCTTTCCAGCTAAAGAAGAAATTAATAAAAGACATTGGAAGTAGATAAGACACACATTAAGGAAATGATCAAACTTCATCATAAGGCAAGCCCTAAATTGGAATCTAGAAAGGAAGTGGAAAAGAGGAAAGCCAGGAGATTGTATCACATATGAAAAGTATGAATAACAACTGGAAAGAACTAGAAAGGATTGTCCAGGACAAAGCTGGATGGAGAATGCTGGTGAGCGGCTTATGCTCCTACACGAGGAGTAATAGGCGTAAGTTGAAGTCTTTTGGTTTTCCTGAAGATTCTGGAATGCTGCTAAACATAGTAGCAGTATAGTGATCAGTTAATCAGAAACTCTACATGTGAATTTTCATTTTCATGATGTTTCTAGCAAAACTTCTAGTCAAACTCTGATTGAATAAAAATACTCTTTTAATATTTCCTGTGCTTGTCATTGTCTATTACAAGAAATTTCCAGGATCACCCCAACAGATATGATCACTATACTATGTGACTCAAATTTGTTATCCAATATGATTGATCTTAAGGAACTACATATTAGTTACCACTAGTCAACAAAGAGTTCCTGAGGAATTCTTGAGAAACATGATCATCTTTTCCAAATTTAAACCTATCTTATTTAGTACTTTAACTATCAACAGTATAATAATACTGTAGTGAACAAGAACACGAATGGGAACAATCGATTGTATTCAGGCACAAATTACAGACTATCTCACGAAATTCTGATAACCATACTATAATACGAGTCTCAGAGTGAACATCAACTCTGAGATGCAGGTACATCCAGCTGACAAGTCCCAAATAGGACGAAGGGACGCGCGTCCTGAATCCCACTGATAGCTAATATCCATCTCTGCTTGCCATACTATAAACAGCTAATTTGCAAAATAACAATCAATTGTCTCAATCTTAACTGTTCCTTCTGTAAATATCAATCCATCTTCTCTGATTATTATTGGTCATGAATTTTCATACCGATTGCGCTTCGTTCCTGAACGTTCCTTATCGATCTTCTGCCAAAATACATTCTATGTCTGACTATCACTAGATATTACTTATATAGATATAAGTAGACCACATTACAATGCAAGCCACTCTATAAAAAAATAGTTACTATGGCGATTCAATTATGCAATTACCAAATGACGGGTTATATAATCATTTAATCAATTCATTATTTTATGCATATTCATGACTTACTTTTTTCAAAAGATATAAAAGGGGTAACATAAAATCAGGACATAAAACTTGGGCACGATTCTCAGGTTTTAATAATATTAAATTACGTACAATTATAAGTAGATTAGCTATACTACTATTACCCAATGTCATATCTATAAAGCAAAAAAAAAACAAATGGGTTCAGTTTTATCATTGAGTCAAGTGTTTAAATCAAAAGTTCCAGAGATATGATTGAGTTCGTTTTTTAAAATTATGAACTTACTTACTTACACCTGTTAACCCCCCCCCCAATCAAGCATTAGCCGCCGATCAGCCTTCTCCAACACACTCTGTCCTGATAATTCCCTTCTAAATCTATCCAACTTCTGTTCATTCTTCTCATGTCTGTTTCCATTTCTCGGTGTAATGTGTTCTTTAGTCTTTCGTTTTTCTTTTGACCTTGGAGATTCCATGTGGGTGTTTGTCTTGTAATGCAGTTGGCTGATTTCCTCAATATGTGTCCTATCCACTTCCAGCGTTTCTTCCCGATTTCTTCCTCCACTGGAATGTGGTTTGTTCTTTCCCAAAGTAACTTGTTGCTGATAGTGTCTGGCCAACGGATCCGAAGTATCTTGAGTAGACAACTGTTAATAAACACATGTATCTTCTGGATGATGGCTTTCATAGTTATCCACGTCTCCACCACATACAGTAGAACTTTCTTGACATTTGTATTGAAAATTCTGTTTTTGATGTTGGTTAACAACTGTTTTGAGTTCCACATGTTCTTCAATTATAGATATGTTCCTCTTGCTTCGCCGATCCATGTTTTCACATCTGTATCAGATCCAACATGTTCTTCGATGACGCCGCCTAGATATGTAAAGGTTTTCACATTCCCATCATTGAAAATCTGAAAGAACTGGATAGTTGTTACATTCTAGTATGGAACTAAATGGATTGATTGAAACCAGACATTATTATTATTATTATTTGATACCAACTCCGTAGCCTAGAGGTTATGTGTTCGCTTATGAGACTGAAGTTACTGAGTTCGATTACCTTTGATGTGGGGTGGTGGTATAGATACTCTCTGATAAGGATTATCTAATGCTTCCAGGTTTTCAATGGTGGTTCAACATTGACCAATTGAGGATTTCAATGGGTATCGAACATTCAACCCTTAGATTTAATCACAGTAATGTTTCAAGACTATTCATGTACTGAATTGTAACGGTAGTAATAACGGAGTGAATAGGAAAAGTTTATTTGAATTGGTTAGTTCTTAGATAGAATTATTTTTCAAGTTATCTAGTCATCTTGTAATAATAACTATCGATACAAGTTATCATGTTATTATAAGCAAAGATGGATAGTAGCTAGTAGTGGAAGACAGGACGCTCGTCATTTCTTCCTATTTGGAACTGGTCAGCTGGATGTACCTGCATCTCAGAGTTGATGTTCATTCTGAGACTCGAACCCAGTGTTGTTTGCCTCAAACACCACTACATTATCTACTCAGCTACTGAGTTCTAATAACCACTTGCTTGTGCAATGGGGTTAAGTTTAAATCCACTTCGTATTGTTTACTTGAATCTTCCCATTGATGTTTGAGACTACAATTGATCAGTCTGGATTCCACTGTTTGCCAATATCCATCTTTCTTATAATGCTTGTAAATTAAGGCAATATAGAGACAATATGCACAGTGTACACATATACCAACAAGAAACTGATATTCAACTAAATATTCAAGTAGACAACACCAAGTGAATTTATCGTGTTATTATTTAGCCACAAACAGACGAAATTCAAAAGATAACTTAGATCTTTCAGATGGTGAAGAAGATTAGTAGATCAGATGGTTGATTTTGATGGAGTTTTATTCTCTGAGTTGGATGGTTTGGTCTTGGAGCTTTCATTGTTCTTCTGAACGATATCATCAGCACAATCAAAACAAAGAAATAAAAAATGACAGGGTTTAAGGTCAACAAGAACCAATCAACATCGAGGTGCATAGGACAAGCTGTGAATCACATGTGGAGAAATTCAAACACTTCACTTCTACCTGAAGTTTGTTCTGATGATGTTTTTCAGAAGGAAGACAAAAACTCCACGATCAAACTATCCAGCTCGGAGAACAAAATTCCATCAAGATAACTTAGATCATATAGAAATATGTTCATGTTATCCACATAAATTATATGAACATTCCAACATTAAATGTTATATGCAAAATTATATCTTCATGAAAATATATATCTACTACTCAAAAGGTTTAGTAGTATTTTCATAGTTGAAAGCGTGAGTCAATTGAAGCTAGACCACCATCGAAAACCTGGTAGCACTGCTTTAAGGCCGTTTCGTCATATTATGGGACTCCTCAGCAGTGCGCATCCACGATCCCGCCTCACGAGATTCCAATCCAGGACCAACCACCAGTCTCTAGTCAGAGCCCTTAACCGATAGACCACTGAGTCGGTATTCAACTATGATCCAACTGATCCACCAAGTAGTTGTATGTAAATAGTTTTTAAAAACACCATTCTAAACTTCAAACTTACTAGATGTAATTGTACCAGAAAAACTACTTCGTTCACCTTTCAATTTTGGTTTATTACTACTACCACTACTACTGGTAGTGTTAATTAACGAAAGGGATATAGAACGTGGACGAAATTCACTTGACTCATTTGATGTACTCTTGGAGATCATATCAAGAGATTTGATATCAGTCATATTCGATATGGATAATGTTTTTGTCATTCCATTGCATACAATATTCATATCATGAATATAACGTCGTTGTGCAAAGATTAGTAGGTCAGTTAAACCTAAATCATCTTTTGATAAAAATGTAGGATCTATAGGATGATCATAATCGATTGTTGGAAAAGTACGAAGTAATTTCAGAATTGGTAAAAGTACACCCATACCACCAATTTGATTGATTGAATCCTTCAAAAGAATAGAAGAAATGAAAGAAAAGATTAGTTTACTATGATATAGGTTAAAACAAGATATAAATCGTTGAAAGCATGAGTCAATTGAAGCTAGACCACCAAGTAAAACCTAGGGGCACTGTACGGCCGTTTCGTCCTATTGTGGGACTCCTCAGCAGTGCACATTCATCATCCCGCTTCATGCGATTCTAAACCCAGGACCTACCAGTCTCGCGCGCGAGTGCTTAACCACTAGACCATCTGATGATTTTAATGTCTAACTTCAACCAATCCACTAAATTGAGCAATTATTCACCAATATCTTCAGTGATTTGACATCTTCCAACAGACCTGGTTGAACTTCATTGGTCCCACAATAAAAAACGAAACGGTCGTCCAATGCTTCCAGGTTTTCCATGATGGTCTAACTTCAATTGACTCATGTTTTCAATTTTATAAAATTACTAAAATCTCCACAAAACCCCCTTCTTTTAAATGAAAAAAAAAATGAACCACTTTCTAGATAAGTGGCTAATGATGAATAATCTATGTCTTGAATTAGAATGAAATCTTAGTTAAGGCGAATTACAACTTTCTGTTGTATCCGAAATAGTTCAAGATCGAGGTAACTTCTAGGAACTATTTATAGACTATTATTATCTATTCTTATTGTAAAACTATTAAGTAACTAGATTATATTGTAGTACCAGTTCATATGTTAGGCCCATATACTTTAATCTAGTTACTGGCCAAGCCAATTCACCTGTACATTGAGTCATCTTTTGATCTTGTTAATCATTTGCTTATTAACCTTGAGTACTTTTTATATGAGCGCATATGTGTACACTTCGTATCTTATTCATCATATGTCTGTCACTCATTTTTGCCTGCCTATAAATGTTAGTTAACGCTTGCTTAAAATGAGTTGGCTTCCCAGCCATCTCCAATACGCATCATCTTTGCTTCGCTTGCTTACAGTTGGTCATGTGCTTACAACTTTCTGGTCTGCATCGATTATCAATAAAAATGTAGTTGCCGCTTCCCTTTGCCTTCTGATATTATACACCGTTAAGATTGGTATTAATAACGGTTATCGAAGCGAACTATGATCGAAGCACGGCACTACAAACTCATAATTGGTTTAACAATGAGATAAGATTATATAAGTTAGTGTTCTTACTTGATGATTTAGTCATATGATATTCGACGAAACTTTATATTGATTAACGTATTGTAGACATCTAGAATTTTTGATTGATAAACAATCAACAAATTGTAGTTCAAAATTATTCATAAGAATCTCTATCCAAATTTGAAGCTTTACTTCATTAATTAAAGTTTACTATAATTATTGACAATCATGTTAAAAGAACTTTATAATGTTCATAGCTGAGATTACTACACAGTATAATCAGTATGCACATATGACAATTAGAGACTGACCAGTTGAAGTCCTAAACATCATTAAGAAGATTTAAACAAACAATACTAAATGAATTTAAACTTCACTCCATTGCACAAACAAGTGGCTATCAGAACTCAGTGGCCGAATGGATAACGCGATAGCTTTTGAAGCGAAAGATACTGGGTTTGAGTCCCAGAGTTAACATCAACTCTGAGATGCAGGTACATCCAGTTGACGAGTCAAAAATAGGACGAAACGCGCGTCAAACTGGATTCAACTGCTAGTTACTATTCATCTTTGCTTATAATGCTTATGAATTACTTCTATATCAAGGTAATACGCATAGTATGAACATATGTCAATAAAAGATTGACCAGTTGCAATCTTAAACATCAACAGGGAAGATTCAAACAATCAATACTAAATGAAATTGAACATTGAACTATAGCGACACAAAGAAAAAACACACAAATGACCTTCAAAAAAAAAGCGCTCAATTCCAAAACCAAAAAACAACAACTTACGCTCATTAAAATTGTTCCATATCTTTTTGGTCCTAATATAGTTGCTGGGAGACCACCATAATTTGTACATTTATTATAAATATGTTTAAACCATAAATATTTTTGATAAAATTGTTCATTAATCAATAAATATTGATTTTTATTTTTTTTATTTTTTGTTAATAATAATTGTATACATTCAAATGAATTAGATAAACCAAGACGTTCACTATTTAATTCTATACAAATAGAATGATATAAATGTATTGCTTTAGCGTGATAATGAAATATAAGTTTTGTTATACTACTTATATTCCCAAGATAATCATCTGTATTCATACTACTGATATTAGTAGTATTGGTAGTAGTAGTATTAGTAGTAGTAGTAGTAGTAGTAGTACTAGTAGTAGTATTGTTTATATTATAATATTCATTATCCAATAGATATGTTAAATTGCAAGGTCCTAGTAGAAAGAAAACAGTCATATATATATATCATATATAAATTATGAATATAGTTATTATTATAAGCTGATATTCATTAAAGAAGTAATGGAACTATACAGAAGGGGTTTTGTGAAAGTCATGAGTTCATGTAAGCTAGATAATCATAGAAAACCTGGAATCACTAAATAGATGTTTTTGTCCTATCATAAGACTCCTCAGCAGTGCGAAGTTACAATCTCGCCTAGAGAGATTCTAACCCAAGACCTATTAGTCTTACACGCGAGCGTTTAACTATCAGACCAATGATCTGGCCGGTATCCAACGATGTTTATGTCTAACTTCAACCAATCGATAAAGTCGAAAAAACATAAAGTATGGATATAGTTATTAATATGAGCTGGTATTCATTAAAGAAATAATGGAAATGATAAAGAACTATACAGTTGTTTTATCTTCAAACTGCATCATGAGGCAATCCCTAATATGGAATACGGAAGGGGAGTAGAAAGGAGAAAGGTCGAAAAAGACATTACGCCGGGAAATGAATGTTAACTGGAATGAACTGGAAATGATTGCCCAGGACAGGGTTGGATGGAGAATGCTGGTGTGCGGCCTATGCTCCTCCATGAGAATTAACAGGCGTAAGTAAGTAAGTGTTTTGTTTTGTCTTTTATTTCGCCCCACAACTTGAATATGATCAATCAATTACGTGTTCCTTTTTACAAATAGTGAATATTCTTTGTTAAAAATTATCATTCGTTAACAAGTAATTAGGTTACGATTGATTGATCACTAAGTGGTGATGAATGTTATGTATGTCAAAACTGGCGGCCTGCTTAAACACTAGGACATCCTGGACCCGGGTTTCGTGCTCCTTGGCACTTTTCAGCAATGTTTACCTGTTGTATAGAATGTTATTGATCAAGTTGCAATGTAGTCACTAGTCCAGGTGACTTGACACTGCGTATACTATGCTGAGATGAGATGGTGATTGGAGGTGATCAACAAGAAACTTTGAACCCGGGTTTTGTGCGACTTGACACTTGAGGGAACTGATGCTCCTTGAGGGATTCGATCCCATGTCATCCAGCATCACAGTCAGAGACGTTACCACTGAGCTTTCCAGACCACGATGACCTCCTGTAGAACTGATATGTACTTTCAATTGATTGATCACTGGGTGGTGATCAATGTCATGTGTGTCAAGTCCTTCTTTAGTGCAGATTGAATTCTATCGAACAAGTTGAAATATGGCCACTAGTCTAGGTGACTTGACATTGTGTGCAGTATGTTGAGATAAGATGGTATTTGGAGGTAGTCAATAGGTCCTTCTTAGAAAGCATCAGTTCCATCAAGATTACAGGTACATATTAGTGACGAGTGCCAAATAGTACAAAACCTAGGTCCAGGGTTTCCTGTGGACTACCTCCAACCACCATGTTAAGTAACTAGTTTCAATTTTTTCATTCCTGGAATTCAAATGGATATTATCGATGGTCTACTATAATCATCATGTAGCATTGAGAACAACCTGATTGAGACTAAATGCATTCAATTTGATTATTGAGGTTTACCCTCGTGACATTGAATATGATAGCTCCTTGAAGTAAAATGTAATGAATATATCTAATGAAACGAAAAATAAGAATTATCTCAATTAGCTCTCCGTTAGGCTGTAGTGCCGCGATTCGTTAATCGTTTACTTCAATAACCGTTATGATTCTAATCTTAACGGTGCGTAAAATCAGAAGACAAAGGATAGCAGCAACTACAGTTTATTGTCGAATGACTCAAGTTCGGAAGCTAACAACACCTGAGCGAATATGAACGAGCGAGTGAGCGGCAAGCGAGAGAGCGAGTGAACAGGCGAGCTAGCGAAGGAAACGAACGGAGGAGCAAGCGAGCAAATAGTAAGCAAATTACATAGGCAATTTATAGTCACATTTAATAAGGGCACAGCAAAGCAAAACAAAGGCTGATAATAGTATTTGCGTGCGTAAATATATGGGGAGGAGTATGAGTCATCGAATGATATTTAAGTAGTCAACATTTCGCATAGAGCGTCATGTGCTCTAGTGGTATAGCAGTGCAAAGAATATACAAATTGTTACTATCCAAATGAAGATGTCTGTTAAGTAAGTTACGAAAAAGGGCTTAACCAAAATTGGCTATAATCGAAATTGATTGTAGGATGGTTGCTATGAGGCTTCAAGACTGAATACAACTAAGTGTTCAAAAAAAGGAAGAAAAACCATCACCTGAGTTTCCACTTTTCAAGCGATTGTCCACAAAAATAACAATCGTTAACGAAATACGAATCTCGTAAAGTAACGTGAATAATAAATGAATCAGACCTAAGATACGGATCTATTCAGTTGATGATTGGCGAATAAAACTTAATATACGTCCTAAATTCCAGTTAACTCCGCCTGTAGCACCTCCGGGGTCTATTGCCTGTCCCAAGCCCGAGTAAAGGAGGAGGATGGGGCATGGGGTTAGCTACCCCGTACTGTAGAAAACCAACTCGCTTAAAAAAAAAAGCTAACCAGAAAAATTATTTAAAAATTCCAGTTCTAGAACATATTCCATCTATTGCAACTAAATGTCTTACATCATGGCTGTATGGGGACAGAATGCACACAAAATTATTTTTTTAAAAAGTAATCCAAATTTAGTTACCAAGTGATGTAATTGTTTGCCAAATACCATCAGATAATGCTTCATTAAACATAGAACATGAAATTAATTTCCCTTGAAAAGAATTGATTTTTCCCCATACTAAATGTTCATTTCCTAGATCTACTTTATGTATTATACCAATTTCAAGTTGCCGAGAGAAAAGATCAGAACCATCTTTTGGATTTCCTTGAAATGACGATGATGATGATGATGATGATGAAATCGATGAGACAGAAACAGTTCCTCTAGTTATGTAACCACGTCTTCCAACAGGTTGTTGTTTAGTTATAACAGCATTACGTCGACCAGTTCTAGAATTTAAATTACATAATAGTTTAGTATAAACAATTTGATCAACCCAATTCGGACATCCACCAATATGTAGAATAAAAACAGTCTGTTCAAGAAGGAAAAGGGAGAGAAAAGAAAGATTACAGAAAAAACACTTCAGTAGTTTATAAAATTCGACTTAAAAAAATAAACAGAAACTAGAATATTATAATGTTTCCCTTTGAAAAATCAGAAGGGGTTTGCGTGGAGATTTCAGTATTTTCATAGTTGAAATCATGAATCAATTGAAGCTAGACCACCATGGAAAACCTGGAAGTCCTGGACGGCTGTTTTGTTCTATTGTGGGACTCCTCAGAAGTGCTCATCCATTGGTCTAGTGGTTAAATGCTCTGGTGCGAGAATGATGGGTCCTGGGTTTGAGTTTCGTGAGGCGGGATCGTGGATGGGCACTTTTGGAGAGTCCCATAATAGGACAAAACGGTCAACCAATGCTTCCAGGTTTTCCATGATGGTCTAGCTTCAATTGACTCATGATTTCAACTATGAAAATAAAGAAAAGTTAATCAAAAAAGAGTACCATTTACAAGCTATGTTGGTGTATAAAACTATTCTGAATAATCTAATGGTCAAACAACAGATCAAGCTTTCGTAGAAGCTTATCTGTATTGAAGCCATTAGTTACTTACTTACTTACCTACGCCTGTTACCCCTGGTGGAGTAGTGGTAAACAGTGAATATTCCTTGTTAAAAGTTATCACCCGTTAACAAGTAACTAGTTTACAATTGATTGATCACTAAGTGGTGATCAATGTTATGTATGGCAGCCTGTTTAAACATCTGGACTACCTGCTCTTGTCATCTACATATTTCAACAAGTTATCTAATTTTATTTGTTTCATTATACTTCTACTGAATGGGACAGAAACCTTCAGAACTACAAAAGCTATCATTTATAAGATATAACTGTTTATTAACAGTTGTCTACGCATAATACTTCGGATCCGTTGACCAGACACTATCAACAACAACCTACTTTGGGACAGAACAAACCAGATTCCAGCGGAAAAAGAAATCACGAAGAAGTGGTGGAAGTGGATAGGGCACACACCTAGCTAGAACCTGATTTTTTTAGTATATGATATCTAAACCTATTCTTTAGTCACTTATGATTGTATTTTAATCTGACCCTTCCTGGTTGTCCGAGGGACACACCTAACTGCCATCACATATTTGGCAGTAAGACTTCCCCCTCAAACCGAAACCATGATGCTGTTAGTCTTAACGATCTACAAAAAATTTATCTGGCATGATAGGACACAATGGAATGAATTCTTCGGACAATAATAATTCAATTTGATTATTACGATATCCGAGTCCGGTCACCATGTTAAGATAACTGTGATGAAGAGGAATCTCGTAAAAGTGTCTTCTCAAAATTAGACCTATGATAAACAAATGATTATAATCAGAAGGGGTTTTGTGGAGATTCAGTATTTTCATAGTTGAAAGTGTTAGTCAATTGAAGCCAGACCACCATGAAAAACCTGGAACCACTGGAAGGTCGTTTCGTCCTATTGTGGGACTCCTCAGCAGTGCGCATCCACGACCTCGCCTGGCGAGATTTGAACTCAGGACCTACCAGTCTCGCGACAGAGCACCTAAATGGTAGACCACTGAGCCGGCATCAAACGGTGTTTATGTCTAACTCCAACCAATTCACGAAGTTGAGCAAACGTTCACCATTTGTCTTCAGTTAGTTGATATCGTCCAGTACTTCCAGGTTTTCCCTGGAATTGACTCACGCTTTCAACTATGAGAATAAAAAAATGAGTTCTAAAAAGCATAAAAGTTGGGTTACGAACATTTAAAAAATTTCCCCCACACCTATCTCACACTTGATCAACAGAACCTTCTAAGTGAAACAAATTGAAACAAACACTTACTCCATTTATTTGTGGATGAGGAAAATCTCCAGAGTAACAAAGATTACCATCTATAAATACTTTGAGTATGGCTCTGGTGACTAAAAGACGACGGGAATGACAGAAGACAACTGCAACAGAATGCCATTCATATGGTGTTAATTTATTTGGTCCACATGTCTACAATTAGGATATTCAAAAATATATGAAATTGAATATTAGTATTGTAAAATCATGTGTCTGATATAAGATGTTGACTCGCTAATATAGTAGTTTAGGTCCGTGATATGTTCAAGATATCACCGCGGCTCTTGACCGTTACAGCTGCCTTAATGTGGTGGTCAGGCTTGCCAATCAAAATAAATCAATCGATCTATACTGCCTGGAACAATCGTCCCTAAAGATCCTACTATACCAGACAGGTCGGTTGAAGAGTGATAAGACTAAAAGCAGCAAACTCGAGGTCTGAGGGCGAAGTCGTACTGTAAAGTGTTTCCTCCAGACAACCAGTATAACAGCAATGCTGTCTTCCCACAAGAAAGGGTCAGGTTTGAAAAGGTCCACCCTAAAAATGTACACTTCAACTTATCCCACGCATATCCGTCACAGGCGGTAAGGTCTCAATAATTATGGAGCTAACACGAAAATTACTCACAGAAAGGTCGAGTGTAACCAACCTCAAGCAGTTGTCCCTCAGGCATTGCGAACGCGCTCTCAGATCACTAAGAGCACCTCTAACCCAATTTTGTTTTCAGGTACCTGTAGAAGAACCCTTCTACGGTATGGGCAACCGGGAAGTGAAAACCGCCATCATAATTCGGACAGCACTCAAGATCATTGTATTCATAATCATCGTGTTTAGTCTAAACTAGTCTAAACCTTCTGTATTTCCCTTGATGATACAATACCTCAGTGATATCTCAGTGATATGCAAAGAAATATTGAACTAATAATTCAAATAAGGCATAACTAAAATGCTGATTGCTCATTCTGAACTCAAAATCTTGACATAAAGAAGAGCTCACGTATACCTGGACTTATAGGGAACTTAGCTATCAGCCCAGTATCAGTGGTACGGCTGAGTGTACGTATAATTAATCAAGTCCAGATACTGTTGAGGATGTTAAATCCCCAGAAATTACTTGGTAAATGACTTATTTTTATAATTTTATTTTAAAATTTTGAATTTCTTTGTTTTCGCGCCAAAAGCGCCCCTCTCACCTTCGGGTCATATTTCCCACTTGGAAATATCTTGAACGCTATTGGTCCGTTACGCTATTTTGTAATGCTTCTCAAGGACAATTTTATGCTGTATATATATATATGCATTTGATTTCTTCCTATTGTGATTGCTTGTGTTTTTGGATGCTTACAGAATATATTTTCCCCACTTTCAACTTGAACTTCTCACCCTAGTTAGTTGGGTCTGAGACGATTCAGAATAGCTAGCTTATTAGTCTCTAGTCACAAGTCTTTGTTCCATTTACTGACTAAATGGATTCGAAACTTACGTCACCTATGGCGAAGAAGAGATATCCGTCTATCAATTAAGGGATGAGTATATTGCGCAGCAGTTCGCTCTGTTCTACTTTACGGCTGTGAAACATGTCCATTAAGAGTAGAAGATACTCGTAGGTTACTAGTATTTGACCACAGATGCCTTAGAAATATTGCTCGCATCTGCTGGGATCACCGGGTAAGTAATAGTGAGGTTAGACGCAGAGTATTAGGAAATGATGGTAAATCAGTTGATGTGGTGATGAATCTTCATCGACTGAGATGGTTGGGCCATGTGTTACGTAGGCCTGAACACCGATTACCACGACGCGCAATGTTGACTAGTGTAGGGGATGGTTGGAAGAGAGTTAGGGGCGGTCAAACCAAAATGTGACATTAGTCCTTGAAGTCACTAACCTCTAGTCTGAGCCATGTTTATAGATGCAGACTACTTGGTTGTAGTCCGCGTGACTTTCGTAACCAATGGTTAGAGACTCTGGGTTACATGGCTCAGAATCAATCACAATGGCATAGGTGTATACACTCTCTGTCTTTCCTTCAACCTTGAGAGTAAAACCGCTTCATATCTGTCTTCTTTCCTGTACTATATCCTTATATACAATCTAACTTTTATATATTACCACCACTAAATTAACTGCTTCTATGAATCCGCTGTTCATCTTGTTGTGCTAACGAGATATGACAACTTGAACCAATGCATATATGTGCCTGGTCCTACGTTGTCGCTGACTGACTAACTGACTAACTGACTGACTGACTGACTCGATTCGAAATCACTTTAAACATAACCGATATACAAAATTAATCAATCAAATAATAATCAAGATACAAATTAATGATTTATCATATACTAATGATAAATGATCATAAGAAATAACAAATTAAATTAATACATACAATGTAAAGACTTACAACAACATAATTGAAATTTTCTTTTGTTGCTACAGCAACAACTAAATAACCATATTTTGTTAAAAATATTTCTAAACCATTACCATTTGTACATAATAATCTGAATAGACAATAACGTTTTGAATTGATTGATTGAAATTTATCATTAATTAAATTATTATTTATATCAATTAATTGATTATTGATTGATAACCAAAAATGTAAACTTAAATCAGTCGATAATGTATTGATTAATGTAGATGAATTTTCAAATATCATATTCATATTTTGATCACTATAGATTATAATATAAGAAAACAATATTGATTAATTATTGATTAATTATTGATTAATAATTGATCTTTTAATGATAGAATAAAATATTAGATCTAATATAAAAGAATAACACTTAGAAATAGATGAATCATTGTACCCTTAATGAAGTATAGGCCACTGATCAGTATTCTTTAAACCATACTATCCTGAGAATTGTTTTTCTAATGCTAACCAATTTTTGTTTATTCTTCTCATATCTGTCTTTATTTGGTTTTCCTCTTTTCCTTTGACCTTTAAGGTTCTATTTGCTTGTCTTGTGATGTAGTTGGGTACTTTTCTTAATGTGTATCCTATCCACTTCAAGCGGTTCTTCCTCTGGTGTGACTTTAAGATCGTCCATAAATTATAGTTTTAACCCATAAGATTATTTATGCACTATTGATGAGTTTTGATTTAGAATGATAAAATTTTACTATCATTCTAGTATTGTTCATTGGTCCTTTAGTTGATTTCACTTAGTATGTGATTAGAGTTTTTTTTTTCTAATTCTATAGAATGAACAAACTTTTTTCTTACTGTATGTAATTACTTACTTGTTTACTTATGCCGGTTACCCCTAATGGAGCATAGACCGATGACTAGTGTTCTACAACCCACACTGTCCTAGGACTTCCTTTCTAGTTCTATCCAATTGTTGTTCATTATTCTGTTTCTTCATGTTTCTGTTTACATTTCTGGGTGTAATGTGTTCTTTGTTCTTCCTCTTCTCTTTTGACCTTAAGAATTCCATATGAGAGCTTGTCTTGTAACGCAGTTGGATGCTTACATAAGGATGTGTCCTATTCTTTTCCAGCGCTTCTTCCTGATTTCTTTCTCTACTGGAATTTGGTTTGTTTTATCCCACAGTAGTTTGTTTGCTGATAGTGTCTGGTAAACGGATCCGAAGTATTTTGAGTAGACGACTATTAATAAACACTTGTATTTTCTGAGTGATGACTTTCGTAGTTTTACAAGTTTCCGCCCTTGATTGGTTGGTACTATGACAAAAACAGTATGTTTATCGCTGATATACGTTCTGTAGAAAGTTTTTTTTAAATTACTACATTCTTCACAAATGCCCATTATGATAATCATGTACTCACTAGTGACTAGCTTCAAGATGGATTTTTTGGAGTTCTAGTGAGAAACAGTGACTAATGGAGTTCAATCTGTGTTACGTCTGAAACAGTTATCAACCTAGATCAATAGATTAAAGGTAAAGCAATATCACGAATCTATTAAAGTTAGACATTAACATCGTTGGGCGCCAGCTCAACAGTTTAGAGGTTAGACGCTTACACACGAGACTTTAGGTCTTGGGTTTGAGTCCCTTCGGTCCGGGATCGTAGATGCGCAGTGTGGAGGAGCCCCATATTAGGACGAAAAGGTCGTCCAATCATTCCAGGTTTTCAATAGTGATCTAGTTTATATTGCTCCGTGAATTCAACGATTAAAATGTTTTTGTTACAATAATAAAAGATAATAAAGGAGTAAAATGAAATGAAATTATGGATAAAATCATGAGAACATGAGACATAATTAAAGATAGTGGGGAATCTTTTGAAACATGAAATATAATAAACAAAGATGGATAGTGGGTAGCAGTGGAATCCACGACGCGCGACACTTCGTCCTATTTGGGACTCGTCAGGTGGATTTACCTGCATCTCAGAGTCGATGTTCACTCTGGGACTCGAACCCAGTACTTACCGCCTCAAACACCATCGCATTATCTACTCGGCCACTGATTCCTGATAGTCACTTGCTTGTGCAATGGGGTGAAGTGTAATCCAGGCAATACACATAGTATGCACAAATGCCAATTAGAGACTGACCAGTTGCAGTCCAAAACCATCAATGGGAAGATTCAAACAATCAATATTAAGTGAATGAAATATAATAATAGTATTACTAATAGCCTATGGTCATGGTAAAGATAAGGATATGACGTACATCTTTTGTATGCATAGTTTTGGCTTCATCACACGAATGGCTAGCGCCTCTGTTGTTTCGAGGAATTAGTTACTAAGAAATCTAGGTAGATTTGGATGAATTGTATGTACCACCTTATAAATCAATTTGTGGATCAGTGGGATGATTAGAGTCGATTAGATGTTCAAGGATGGGTCGACGAGACTATAATTTATGGATGACTTTTGAACGAATCTTAAGTGACCTTCAGAAATATTAGTCAATCAGAAGACAGTCAGTATAGAGTAAAAAATATATTATACAAAACCAAATAATTAAAGTGAATACACTTCTTTTATATAGTCCAAAAAGTTGTCAAAGTTAGAAAAAGGTTCAAGGGTTCCAAAATCGTAATGCATAAGGTAGAGGAACTCATCTACATGGCTCCATAATAATCGGTCTCTGGAGCCATGATAAGGTCAAAAAAACGCTCTCAGCCTCGATCACATAGCTTCAATATTGTTTCTGTGTACTACGGTTGTGTAAGTTTATCATTTTTATTATGGATATGTCTCTACAATACTCATACCACCGAACAGCCGAAACTTCAGTAACATCTGCGTTTATTGCAGCCAATGATACTGGTGCTTTTATTATACAGTTTGCGGCAATTATTATAATATTCCTTAGTCTCAATCTGGATCGAGTAAAAGAGGTTCCTATTCTAGCAGACATCTTCCTCCAACATATATTACATCGAAGGACAACATCACAGTAGTCTGCACAAGGTCTACAAGTTATTTAATTACCGCAATTACAAATACAGGAACTTCTTAATAGTCTGATTTGTCGTAGCTGCTTAACTGTCAAGTCTTCCCTAAAATTCTCTGTGAACCGATCGTACATGAGCACCAGGCACTGAAATCGGCGCTATGACCTTAAAATTCCTCAAACGTTTATGATTGGTTCGTCCATAAATTATAGTCTCGCCGAATGAGTCTTCTAATTGCTTTCCTCTAATTCTTGTAGAATCATTGTTTGGGAATATTGTATTAGCGGATGGGGAATAAAGAATTAACATCAAACATTCATGACATTTCATCATTTTCTCTTACTTACTATTTTAAATCACCTAATTCCGGTCCAACTGGTAAAACAAGAAGACTGTCTTGTGGTTGACTAAATTGAAACCAATAACCAGAACTTGGTAGTGGAGCTAAATTTAGCTGAATTTTTTGTGTAATTTTTACAAGTACCTAAAAGGTAGGGAATTTTTTTGAAAAAAGAAACGTCTATGAGTTGTGAAGTATAATTCAATTATGAAATATGGTAAATAGTTATAAGCGATGATGAATGGTTGACTAGAGGGAGGAATCCAGGACGTGCCATTATCCATCTTTGTTTATAATACTTGTGACTCAAAGTCACTATCGAGGTAATAAGCACAGTATGCACATATCCCAATAAGAGACTGGTCAATTGCAATACCAAATGAATTTAAACTTCAACCCATTGCACAAACAAGTGGTTATCAGTATTCAGTAGCTAAATGAGTAAAATGATGGCGTTTGGAGCGAACGGTAATGAGTTCAAGTCCTAGAGTGAACATCAACTCTAAGATGCAGGTACATCCAGATGAAGAGTCCCAAATAGGACGAAGTATCGCACGTCCTGGATTCCACTGCTACCCACTATCCATCTTTGCTTATAATGCTTATAATGTGAATTTAGGCTATATCGAGGCAGCAATACGCACAGTATGCACATATGCCAATAAGTGACTGATCCATTGCAATCCTAAACATCAATGGGAAGATTCAAACAAACAATACCAAGATTACTTTAACTTCGATTAAAACTTTCATTATTCACGGTAGAATAAACTTCATTTGGTAATATGAGCTCACTTGTAGTATTCTATTACAATATAATCTAACAGATTGTGAACGAAGTATTCTTAAAAGACTTGCGAGATCTGGAGCAGACATTGAAAATTCTCCTAAACATTGAAGTATTTCCAAAAACATATTGAAGATTTTAAGTGTTTGGAAATAGTGTGTTTTCACTTCCTAAAATGAAATCAGAAAATCATAGAATTATGTAATTGTAAAAGCTTTATTCAACTGAAATATTCCTGGAAGCACTAGATGACTTTTTCGTCCCAGTATGATACTCCTCAGATGTGGACATCTACGATTATGCACGCGTTATTCGAACCAATGACTTTCGGTCTCGCGCGCAAACGTATAACCCTGAGAGCATAGAGCTGGCATCCTGCAGTTCTAGTGAGAATCCGTGACCACCGAAGTGCAACCCGTATCACATGTGAGAAAGTTATCCACCTCAGAGAGTGGATGAATGGTTGCGCAAGATCATGGATTGATTGAAGTTAAACATTAATACCGCTAGATGCTGTCTCACTGATCTGGAGGTTATGCGTTAACACGCGAGACTGAAGGTCTTGAGTTCAAGTTCACTTGATGAGGGATCATGGATGCCCACTGTTGAGGGGTACCATATTAGAACGAAACGGCCATCCACTGCTTCCAGATTTTCATTGGTGACAATCTGGCTAAGATCAAATCGTGAATTCAACTGTTGAAATTATTACAATCTCCCCTAATCCTCATCTTCACTATGGTGAAATGTAATGTGTAAACTTGTACTCAACATATATTTGTCCCAAGTCCTTCTATTGCATATTATTGTAGGTATGTAACTCCAGAATTTAGTTCTATTATTGAAACCACCTTATAGCTTCTTTCATCATGAACGGTATGATTTATATCGATAAAAATTGGTATGAAGTTCAATTGATGTAATTCAGCAGATAGCTGGCAAAAGTAATTTCCGGGAACTCGATTGATCTTACCGCGTTCATCTACATCCAAAGACAATTCAAATCAAAGATACCTAAAGGACCTTACTAACATATAACCACCCAAAGCTGCCACACATTGAATATTAATTGTAACGATAACAAGAACAGTTTTATGATAGTAGACCATAGATACACTTAATGGGCATAGAAATCTTTCTACTTTCTAGGTATTTATCACGGTTTAATACACATGTTATTCCTTTTAATCTAAACACTACTGAAGTATATTTACATCGTCTAACCACAAAAATCGTTTCCGCATTAAATTTTGCATAACGTGTTAAACTACTAAATAATAGTTTAAGTAGTTTAAATCAAAAAGATAAATTATTTAAACTAACCTCATATTCATCCTTTTTTTGTTCCGTACACATTATACCAAGTTTATGCCTTAATAATTCACATAATTTAACAATATTTGGAATTATTCCATGCCGAATTACACCAACCTGACAACAATTTGCTTTACTCATTTGTCCAATTGTATCATGATCCAATAAACAATCAATAATTACTTTCAATATTTGATTAATGATAGGAAAGATGTTTACATTGATTGACTTATATAAACATTCTGATGAATTCCATAAATGAAAGATCCAATTTAATAAAACAATCAAAATATCACCATGGAGAATAATGCGTTTATATGACTTTAGAATATCTTCATTGCAAGGATTGTCTATCAAGTAATTTAATTGTGGATCAATACAAATGGGTAATATTCCAAAAGCCTACAAAGAGACCATCAAATTGTTTAGAAAAAGGAATGATAGATCTATTTTATCATTTATTTGTAAGTCTTTAACAATTCCTGGATACTTCATCCAGTTATTTAACAATTATAGTTGGAAGCTTCCAACAATTCCTGGTTACTTTGCTCAGTTACCACCCAACAATTATAGTTATCTATGAGAACATACATCTTTGGGAACATACACACACCCACACACAAACATCCCATGACTTATTAGGAAACACAAGAAAAAAGGATTGAATCTGATATGTGTTTGTTTAATATTCAACTAACACATTTCAATACTATTCATGGAAGTTTTATTAATTAACAACAATCAGTATTTAAAACTCTGCCTATAGCTCTTCTAGAGTTACTGTCGGTCCCAAGCTCGGGTAAAAGAGGAGGGTTGGGCATGAGGTTAGCGGCCGCATCTCGTAGAAAAACTAACTTGCTAAAAAAACGCTAACCATGAAGAGATGATGGAAGTCACTAGGCCGATGCCCCTTCTAACAACCAGAGCAACACTCTTTATAGGTACATAGAAACAGTTGTTTACGTATAATACTCAACATTCATTGGCCGGATACTATCAGCAACAGCCTACCGTGGGAGAGCAAACAAGCTTCCAGCTGAAGAAGAAATTATGAAAAAACGTTAGAAGTGAATCGGACATACATTAAGGAAATCACCAAAATGCATCACGAGTCAAGCCCTAACTTGGAATCCTGAAGGGAAGCGCGAAAGAGAAAGGCCAAAGAACACATATATAGAGGCAGATGAATGTTAACTGGAATGAACTGGAAAGGATTTCGCATGACAGGGTTGGATGGAGAATGCTGGTGTGCGACCTATGCTCCTCCACGAGGGGTAACAGGCGTAAGTAAGTAAGCAAGTATTTAAAAGATAGACGTACGAAGTCAAAACGTTTTTTCAACTATATGACGAATCTAAGATGGAGATTGATCATGAATATAGTGACATTCAGTGCTGTCAGAGGTATAAGGGCGGTTTTCACTTCTCGGTTGCCCACACTATGGAAGGGTTCTTCTACAGGTACCTGAAAGCGAAATAGGGCTAGAGGTGATATTAGTCAACCGCGATCGTGACCGTAATGCCCAAGGGACAACTGAATGTTGTCGGTCACACACGACCTTCTTGTAAGTAGCTCCGTACTTGTTCGGATCTAAGCCCTGGAGACGGAAATCCGTGGTATAAATTAAGGTGTGCATTTTTATAGTCGACCCTTTCTAACCCCACTCTTCCTTGTGACAAAGCGGCATTGCTGTTATACTGGTTGTCTGGAGGAAACACTTTACTGCTGTCACACCTCTGTACAGTCAGCAGTACGACTTCGCCCTCCAACCTTGAGTTTGCTGGTATGAGCTTGAGGAACGATAGACAAGCCTGACCACCGTGCCAAGGTAGCAGCAACAAAGAAATGACCGCAACAGATATTTCTCCATACATAAGAAAAAACTTAGTCATCAGAAAATCAAACAAAGTCAACTGTGAAACGTATAAATAACAACTGAAGATTCTCCATTGTTTCAAGAATATTCCAGTATAACTTAGAATGGATAGATGAGAAGTATGACAATATCACAACAACTTGCATCTATGATTCTAATATCGATGAATTTCGATTTTTAACAACTGATATTTGATGTTTACCAATAGGTAACAATAGCGTAAACCATAGAGAACCGTATTTCGGTGTTGAATTCTACTCCAAATCTGGAATTCAGTATCAGAATTGAGATATATCTAGCCAACTAATTAAAAAAATAGTAAAATCTGATTTCTTGAACTCTATGGTTACCTGCTTTTCAACTCGTGAACAAGGTAATATCAAAGGCACATCATGCTAAATGTCATAAATATGAGAATACAAACTAATTTGGATATAAATAGCCAAACACGATGCTCCTCTCACAATTGATTGATCACTGGGTGGTGATCAATGTTATGCGTGTCAAGTCCTTCTTAGTGCTGATCGAATGCTATCGATCAAGTTTCAATGTGGCCATCAGTCTAAGTGGCTCGACACTGCGTGCGCTATATATATTGAAGTAAGATGGTGGTTGGAGGTGGTCAACAGAAAACCCTGGATCCGGGTTTCGTGCTATTTAGCACTGTAATCTTCAGGGAACTGATGCTCCCTGGCAAATTCGATCGCGTGTCACTCAGCTTCACATTCCTTTCTAAAGTATAGTTGAAAGAGATCACCAAAAATATGTTTAAAAAAATGTAATTTTAGGTATAATACTACTAACTGTAACTAAATATGTCAGTCAGTCAGTTACAACGTAGGACCAGGCATATATAAGCATCGGTCCAAGTTGCCATATCTCGTTAGCACATCAAGATGAACATCGAATTCATAGAAGTAGTTAATTTAGTGGTGGTAATATATAAAAGATAGATTGTATATAAGGATATAGTACAGGAAAGAAGACAGATGTGAAGCGGTTTTACTCTCAAGGTTGAAGGAAAGACAGAGAGTGTATACACCTATGCCATTGTGATTGATTCTGAGCCATGTAACCCAGAGTCTCTAACCATTGGTTACGAAAGTCACGCGGACTACAACCAAGTAGTCTGCATCTATAAACATGGCTCAGACTAGAGGTTAGTGACTTCAAGGACTAATGTCACATTTTGGTTTGACCGCCCCTAACTCTCTTACAACCATCAACAACACTAGTCAGCATGAAGCATTTTCAATCTCATATTATAAGGGAAGATAAAGAGTGTATAAACTGTTTTAAATACTACAATAATTAAATCAGGTTAAGCTAATGTACCTATTAGAAGAACTAAAGACCTTAGGTATCCAAATCCAGAACATACTATAACTTCTTCGATTCATCTCCACAGAATATTATAAGTGACTTGGACAATATCAACGTCTTTGAAAGTAACTGTTGAAAAAGCAGTGATTCCAAACAAGTCATAAGGGTACAGAATTTGAGTGCCCCAAAATGCCCTGGTACGGTTGAGAGTGGGTAGGTCCAGCCCTCTCTCTCGAAATGTTCTCAAACGGCCACGCGTATACAGTCTCTGTCAGGGAAGTCCTACTCACTGCTTTCTTGTGGCAGAGGGGTGTTGTTTACGAAATTGAGAGGACGAAAAGCGAATGTACGGTGCTTTAACCGGGTTGGTGGATACGGAAAGTTCACCTAGGGGAGTTGGAAAACCCTGATTCCAAACCAATGGTTTACATGGGCTCCAGTATCCTGATGGAGCAAATGGTGTATGAACCAATCGTCGGTCACCAGTTACCATGGGACTGCATCTCCTTACAATGCTCTACTGCATGATGGATCAGATCTTTAGGTCAAAGTCTCCAGGTGTGGCCCCCTAAGAAAACCATCTGCTTCGGTCTTGGCACCCGGGCAGTATCATAGCCCTCGCACAATTAAATGAAATGACATTTTTCTATGTGGCGCGTATATATCTGGTGCCCCCTTGTACTAATATTTATGTGTTCAAACAAAATAAACAGAATTTGAAATGAAATCTATTCTCTGGATTTCTTCGAGGTAAAAAGTGGAATCCTCCACAATGCTATCTAATTATTATTAGTCTTTAGATTAGACGATTACTATGGCTGAAAACCTAGTTTTGAGATATCACCTTCATTAAACGAGAAGACAAGTGTACCATCACAGAATATCTTGCTCAAATCTGAGAACCATACAGTAAATACATAGTTTGTAATATATCCATCAATTGTCTCAGACTTTGTTGTTACTTTGTTGCGATACTAATCACTCTTTGTTCTCGTTCTCTTCTCTTCCATTTTCTCAACCTTCTGCCTCCAGGCATCCCACTTTCGACTGACAACACATACTACATATATCTGTTGACATCAGTAGCACACACCACACTCTTACAAAGAAACTTCATTCGACATCTATTGTGAATGAGTGATAGCTGTAAAAACATCTTAGAACCTATTAAACACAATATATCTGCTAGAAGATATAAAAGTATATGTAGGAGATGACCTCTTGGATTCAACTCTTTAGAAGACAAATAAATCCAATGCTATCTACATTTTTAACTGTCAAAAGAAATGTAACCTATACCAATAAACTATGAATTGTTGAAAAGCTTCTATACTTCAACACATGTCAACGACCCAGTTATTCAAAAAGGTATAATAGACAAATATATCTGAAAAGAAATAACTAAATAAAATTTACTCAAGGGTTACACAAATACAAATGTGTTTGCACGCGAGACCGGCGGTCCTACGTTCGAGTCCCGCATACAGGATCACAGATGTTCAATGCTTACCAATCCCACACTAGGACGAAACGGCTGTCCAGTGTTTCCAGGTTTTCAATGATAGTCTAACATTTATCCATTCATGATATAAATTTAAATATAAATATATGAAATTTCTAAACAAGTTATACATCAACTATTAGAGTCTACATATTATGAATTATAAATGGGCTAAAGTAAACCAATGATCAGTTCAATAGATGCATACATTTATATCATATATTTTCATAGTTTAGATCATTAGTCAATTAAAGCTAGACCACCATAGAAAACCTGAAACCACTAGATATTCGTTTCGTCCTATTGTGGGACACCTCAGCAGTGCTTCCAGGTTTTCCTTGGTGGTCTAGCTTCAACTGACTCATGATTTCAACTATGAAATTACTGAAATCTCCACACAAAAAAACTCCTTCTGATATATTATATATGTTTAACAAGTTAATTTTGAATATTGACTTCAATTGATGAAAATCGTGAAGTAGTGGATATCTAATGTGTTCTACTTTATTAGTCTTAAGCAATATGTATCTCTTACTATACACAGAATCAAATTGTAAGGATATTCAAACTAATCAATCAGAAGCTCTTTAGTGGGGAAATAAGACCAATAATTTCAAACATATCTCAAGTAACAATCTATTATCAGAAGGGGCTTTTGTGGAGATTTCAGTAATTTTATAGTTGAATTCATCAGTCAATTGAAGCGAAACCACCATGGAAAACCTACAAGCACTGGACGACCGTTTCGTCCTATTATGGGACTCTTCAGCAGTGCGCATCCACGATCCCACCTCGCGAGATTCAGACCCAGAATCGTGGATGCGCACTACTGAGGAGTCCCACAATAGTACTGGGATTAATAAGTCTTGATAATTAAACGCTATACTCGGTCACTAAGCTATTCTCGTAACCACCAACACTAAAACTACACAGGCGCAAAATATACACTTAGCACCTTACTCCAAAGGTTCATTCATGTACAGAAAATAAAGGGTCTTGATAGTATTTTAGAAGTCCTTGCGTTTTCCTGAAAATTCTGGAATACTACTAGACATAGTAGCAGTGTATTAATCAGTCAATCAGAAACTCTACATGTGACTTTTCACTTTCATGATGTTTCTAGCAAAACTCCTAGTCAAACGCTGATTGGATAAAATGCTTCTTAGTGTTTCCTAAGCCTTTCTTGTATATAGCGAGATATTTTCTGGATCACCTCAACAGGGTCAAAGTCACAGAAGTCGATATTCTGACTGATGATTTTGTCACATAACGTTTGACAACATGTAGTATATAACAAAAGTAGTCACCAAAAAGACATTCAACGACTTATCTTTGATTAATATCAGAAGGGGTTTTTTTGTGAATATTATAATTTAAATTACGAATCCTTTGAAGCTAGACCAACCATGGCAAACCTAGAAGCACTGGACGGTCGTTTCGTCCCATTGTGAGACTCCTCAACAGTACTCATCTTGATTCATTTATTACAATCAATATTCAAATACCCACACACACACACACACAAATATTGATTTACTTACCCAACATAAAAGACTTTTACCAATAATCTTTGGTAAATTAAATGATATATGATCCATTTTTAATTTGGGATCAAATATAGAACATAAATATTCTGTTAATTGATGATAAAAATGATCCGGTAATCGTTTTGTCGATAAAGGTGAAGATACTACTGATATGTCGCCTTTTAATTGCAATGTCATAAAGATATCAGAATATGATTTATTCAAATCAATTGAAGCTAGAAATGTCAAGAAGTATTCATAGTGTTGATCACATGAAGAAGAAAGAGGATCATTGAATGTTGATTGTAGATTGGATAGAAGAATATCTGGTTGATGTTGATAACATAGTCTTATACGACTTGATAATTGGATGAGTAGGGTTTGATAATCTATAAGGTAGAAGACAATATGGAATAAGTAAGTCATAAAAACCAGATAGTCATAGTATACTAGTTACTTAAGAATATGACACATCACAGTTCTGCTGGATAAGGCGGAAACCTGGAGAACTACGAAGGTCATCATCCAGAAGATATAGGTGTTCATTAATAGTTGTCTATGTAAGATACTTCGGATCTGTTGACCAGACACTATCAGCAACATTCTACTGTGAGAGAGAATAAACTAGATTCCAGTGAAAGAAGAAATCCGGAAGAAGCGCTGGAACTGGATAGGACGCACAATGAGGAAATCACCCAACTGCGTCACATGGCAAGCCCTCACATGGAATCCCGAAGCTCAAAGGAGAAGAGGAAGAACAAATAACACATTGCACCGAGAAATCGAGACAGACATGCGAAGAATGAACAGCAATGGGATAGAACTAGAAAGGAAGTCCCGGGACAGAGTGTGTTGGAGAATGCTGATCGGCGTCCTATGCTCCATTGTGAGCAACAGGCGTAAGTAAATAAGTAATGAGGTTGAAATCCATGGTTTATCATATCAGGAGTTAAATGTTTGTATGGTGAACTATAGTTCACATTATAAGATCAGAGTGAGTGAGTCATACATAGATCTTTGATCATTGCTTTGAATTAGATGCTTTGCTGTTGTTACTGTTAATGCAAAACGAATTTTAATTGTTCTAGTCAAGTATGATATTGTTGAAGCTGATTTCCCTCGTTTAGTTTAAGTTCAAACTATATAAAACTGTTGTAATAAGAAGTATTCAATTCTGATACTGGTACACAAGCATTCTATAAGCAAATAAAACTGGTCATTTAAGTGAGAAGACTGAGAGTAATCAGATAGTTTTATGTACCAAACAGAATCGACAGATATTTGTACCTTCATATATAAATATACCCCCGCTACCTTGAACTGCCTATCATGATGACTCGATCGGTCTATTTTGGCTGAAACATTCGTCTCTTTAGATTGATCGAAATTCGGTAAAATTTAAAGCTGAAACTTAAAATCCGAGGACGAAGTGATGCTGTGGACTATACTGATGTTTGGGGGAAGTAAGATATCGTCCTCAGACAACCAGCGTCTATGGCGATGCCACCTCCTCATAAGTAAGGAAGGTGTTTAAACAGCCTATCCTAAGAATTTCAAACTTCACTTTTCCCCACAGGTTTTCTTTTCTAGTGGTGAGACGTTTTGAATCACGGACCCAAAAGGTCAAAATTTTCTTGCAAAACGACTATATGTGACCAACCTCAAGCACTTGTGTCTAAAGCTCTGCGATAACGCTCCTCGGTAGCTACGACCACCTCTATTCCAGTTTCCTCTCCGGGCCCCCGATAAGGAATATCCTTCTACAGTTTGGGCAGCCGGGAAGTGCCCACCGCCCTTGTACCTATAACGGCACACGAGATCATACTGTACACGATAAAATCCATCCGTCACTCCCTAATATTTCTTCTCTCCTTACGACTGGCCTTTCACTTATGACTATATCAATAGAAGCCCGAAATACCTACGATTCGAGTTCACGAGATTTTATTTGTTGCCTCTTGAGACCGCGTACTTTCAATGTTCGAACCTTATGTCAGATAGGACAACAGGCTTCCTTAGCAAAGACTTTAGAATCTCGCACTATCGATTTGTCTTGGGTCTGCAAAACACTAACACATGATCGAAGTACGGCTATTCAACTGGTATCACCTATTCAATACAAAGGACCAGCATGATTTACTCGCCGTATATCTGAGGACGTAACTATTACTTCTAGGGGTCTCACTGTCGTAGGCTTATCATTCATTTAGAAAGTAGAGTAGGTTATTATGAACAGAATAGACAGTTGCTTGTGATGCGTCTGACCAAACGAGACAGTAGGAACTCAGACGAATAGCGACACACAGAGTTTCCTCTTCCCTGTCTCTGCCCACGCTCACACTCGCTCCGAATAGGATGAGGCCAAAGATGAATCTTATATGAAGTAGTCCAACCTCATTCAGAAAGGTAAATTCTCAGATGTATCAATAGCAGCAGGTGATTTTGAACTTCAAGTAGCTAGTCTAGACCAGAATGATAACGGCAACCGGCTGCTGAAAATATGCTTGGATAACCTTTTATTTCCAACACGTACTAACTTATGAAAGACATCTTCTGATATGGCAATTACCAAAATCGACTCAATGATGAACCTAAACAGTGCACATTACCACTAGTCGTTTCTCAGGATGCTCAATAGAAAACTGTTGCTCATTATGGAGCTTTTTTAGACCTTGACCGTGCTCTAGTGACAGTATTTATTTGTCCGAGCGATGTCCATCACAATGTAAATTGGCATAATATTTAAACAACTGTAGAAGAGGCATTTTGATGCTTACTTAATCTACAGATCTTCGTAAACTCACCCCATTAGGCTTCAAACACGATTAGGAGCGAAGGTGGTCTTTAACAAATAGTTAGAAAGAGCCTATTAAACGATCATAAGTAGTTATGGACGGAAACACCGAAAGAGAGATAATAGTCAGAAGCATCAGGTGACAATAGACAACTATTCAGACTCATCGAGGAAACAGATGTTAAAATTCCAACTGTTAGTGAGACCATCTTTACTTGATGGTTGTGTAGCACGGTCATTAATAATAGAGAATATTCGTAGGTGATTAGTATTTGATCACAAGTGTCTTTGAAGCCTTTCTCATGTATTTCGCGACCACCGGGTGAGCAATGCTGAGGTTAGACATAGAAGTAAAGATGGGAAATAGGTTGGCGAAGTAGTGGATCTTTATTAAATGGGGTGACTGGGAAATATACTTCCCATGCCTAATCACTAACTACCTTTCACAGGCGATTTTTACTGGTATGGGAGTAGGTTGGAAAACATCTAGAAGCACCCAAATCAAGACAGGGCACTAATCTATGAAGTCGTTATCAATCAGATTAAGTCGTATTGAAATGTATAGACCACCTGGTCGGGGTCCACGTGATAATCGTAACCAATGAATGAAAACTGGATAACATGACAGTTCAAAGCTTAAAATCGATTATTCAATATATATTCAATTATTTTCCATTGTTAACTTACAATAATCAATAGTGGAAAGAGTTCTTTTATTGCCAATATCAGAACGAAATTGATCTATCGCTGATTTCAATGTGATCTACATTTAAAGAAAGAATAAATAGAGAAGTTCTTTGAATAGTTCTTTGAACAGAATTGATTTTGAATAGAAGTATTCATTATGAACTGAGGGATATTCCTACCTTGTTACTATAACTAGACTGACATATGTTTATAATACTTACTTCCTTACGCCTGTTACCCCTCGTCGAGGAGCATAGGCCACCCACCAGTTTTCTCCATTCAACCCTGTCCTGGGCAATCCCTTCCAGTTAACATTCATCCTTTTCATATCTACTTTCTATCTCCCGACATAATGTGTTTTTTGACCTTCCTCTTTTCCACTTCCCTTCAGGATTTCAAGTTAGGGATTGCCTTGTACTGCACATTGGTGATTTCCTTAATGTATGTCATATCCACTCCCAACGTCTTTTTCTAATTTCTTCTTCAGCTGGAAGCTGGTTTGTCTTCTCCCATAAAACGCTGTTGCTGATAGTATCCGGCTAGTGAATATTGAGTATTTTGTGTAGACAACCGTTTATAAATACTTGTACCTTCTTGACAATGGATGTAGTAGTTCTTTACATGTTTATAATAACTTCTGTACATATTCATTTATCCAAATATTTTCTACTTATTATGTAATTTTCAAATAGAGGTCGATGGTAGTTAGCAATGGAATCTAGGACACGCGTCAATTCATCCTATTTGCAACTCATCAGATGGATTATCTACATCACAGAGTTGATGTCCATTTAGGAACTCAGACCCAGTAACGTTTGTTTCAAACGCCATCAAGTTATCTATTTAGTTACTGAGTCCAGATAACCACTAGATTGTACAATGGGTTGAAGACTGATTCATTTCTTAATTGGTTATTTGAAACTTCCCATTGACGTTTAGGACTGCGATTGATGAGTCTCTTATCAACGTATGTTCATCTTGTGCGGATTGCCTCGATATTATCTTAAGTCACAAGCATGAAGATAGGTCTAGCTGATCAGTCCCAAACAGGACGAAACACGCATCCTGGACTCCATTTATAACGACAATATCGAAGTAATCCGCACAGGATTCACATACGTTTTTTAGGTAAATGATGGAAATTGTTTGTATGGAATTACTGACATTATTCGACATTAGAAAGAGAGAGGAAAATGATTCGTCCCTAGACATAACATCCCAATAGGATTCATGTAACAACTCATTCACTGTTTTCAGATTCAGGCACCATATTTTGAATCATATTTTACATTTGTGAAGTGTTGATAGTAACTGGAGGATATTCGTAGGCTACTAGCATTCGATCATCGATGTCTTCAAAGCACTGCTCGTATATCCTGAGATCACTAAGTAACTAATGCAGTTGTTAGGAAACGGGTACTAGGTAAGGATGGCAAATCGATTGATGAAGCAGTTAAACTTCATCAGTTGAGATGGCTAGGACATGTGTTACGTGTGCCCAACCACCGACTGCCCAAACCTTCGATGTTTTATGGTGTAGGAGTAGGTTGGAAGAAAGTTAGGGGCGGACAGACAAATACGTGGCACAAATCCATGATGTCACTGACAATTTGACTGAGCCATGTTGGTAGGTGTAGACTACCTGGAACTACCAGTCTGGCGCCAGAGCACTTAACCGTTAGACCACTGAGCCGGTCGGAATCAAACTGTGGTAATGTTTAATCTCAACCAATCCACGACATTGCGCGACCAACTTCCATGTTTGAATCTACCTAACATAGTTTAGCTCCACTGTTCACGACTTCTCACTAGAACTCCAGGAATTATCTCATTGAACCAGTCATTAGTGATCATACTTCTAAGTTGAAAACTAAAAAATGATATGTTGGCCGATACGAAGTAATTCAACTAATAACTAGAAACATAACATATTTCTTAAACATCTTAACTGTAAGTCAAGAAAGTGATTAAGTTATCTAATATTACTTATTAGTAGTGTAAAACACCAAAATGATTTTTTATTCAAAACTAGACCATCAGAGATGTCTCCATATGTGAAATTATTAGAAAACTGACAGCTAACACCTATATTTAATACGCCTCATTATCTCAACTATTGACTCTACCTGATAAAGATAAACTGTTCAAATCATTGGATTCAGAGCAACAATTATTACTGCTTAACATGATAATGCTTACAACAAAAATTATAAAAATATACAAATATAATAGATATTATTAGTATTTTCTACCGATATCCTAAGAGATGTAAGGTTTGATAACAACTTCTACTTACTCGCTTTAACATGAAAACCACCAAGGAATTTCTACTCACTACCTTCTCATGGCAGTGGGGTTGTTTACGAAATTGAGAAGACTAAAAACGAATGTCTAGTACTTTAACTGGGTTGGTGGACATGGAGAGTCCACCTAGAGGAGTTGGAAAACCCTGATTTCAAACCAATGGCGCATATGGGCTCCACTATCCTGAGGGAACAACTGACATATGAACCAATTGTTGTTCATCGGCTACCATGGGACTGCATCTCCTTACGTTGCTCCACTAATTTGTGGATTAGACCTTTAGGTCAAAGGTTTCAGGTGCAGCCCCCGAAGAAAAACAACCGGCTTCAGTTTGCGCACCCAGGCAGTATCCGAGCCTTCACATAGATCATGAAGGTCACATAGATCTACACTGCTGAGGAGTTCCATAATAGGATAAAACGGCCGTTCAGTGCTTCCAGGTTTTCCATGGTGGTCTAACTTCAATTGACTCATGATTTCAACTATTAAAAAATTAATGAAATTTCCACAAAAAACCCTTTCTGATGTTGATATGAGTTTCAAGACGTTAACTGTCCTTTAGAACTGAATATTTCAATCGGAAGCATTAAATTTTGATGTAGATCTACATAGAATCCTTTGACATCTGTTATCCAATATTGGAGCAAAGTCTCTGTTTGTTACTCCTGATTTCATTAACTGTCAAGGATATCCTTCTTTACAAGATGACTAAAGCAAAACAAAACTTGTATGGTAGGTCAATAGTAAATTTAAGTATCAACCCTTTTTGTGATTTTTGAAATAAGGAATACATGAATCTGGTTCTATCATTTCTCACTAGCTCCTTCAACCTACTTCTGGCTTGCCTTCATGATCCACATGGATCACAATTACATAGAAACGGGACCTAACTAGCTACAAGTAGTAAATTATAAACTCTTAAATTGATATAACACATTAATTAGTCTTTGTATTATTTGTTTGAATCTTCCCATCGATGTTTTAAACTTTAACTGATCAGTCTCTTATTAGCATATGTGAATCCTTTGCGTATTGCCTCGATATTGCCTTAATTCAAGATCATTGGAAGCAAAAATAGATATTGGCTAGCAGTGGAATCTAGAACGCATATTTCGTCCTATCAGGTACTCATCAATTAGGTATACTTAATAGCTAAGTAGATAACATGATGGCATTTAGAGCGAACGTTACTAGATTCAATTCCTTGAGTGAACATCAACTCTGGGATGCAGATAACGCGCATCCTAGATTCCACTACTAGCTACTATCTATCTTTGCTTATAAAAAATTATCATTCTAGAATAATGTATTAAGCATATATTCTCTCTTTATTAAACTGGAGATGACCTTAATTAGATGTAGGTATTGTGATCAATGTTTATTGTGCTACACTACAGTACAGTACAATACAGTACACAGTAAATAGTACTATAATCCAATACTTAGAAACAAGATTTCTGTTCACAAAGAAAAAAAAAAGATCAACAAGCATCTCTAAAAGAAAAGGGTTCAGTGTGTGTGTGTGTGTAAGCGTGTGTGTGTGTGTAAGCGTGTGTGTGTGTGTGTGCATGTGTGTACTTGTAATAAACCAGATTTTATCTACATGTTTATTTGTGTTTATTTATTCTTGATAATTTTTTTTAAAGAAATAGAATAGTAATAAACATTTTAAAGTACATCTGAGGAAGGGGGAAGGGGGTAAGAATAATTTTATAAAACTTATGTTGTCATGATAAATAAAGATGGATATAGTGGTTAATAGTGGAATCTAGGAGGTGGGTCACTTCGTCTTATTTGGAATTCGTCAGCTGGATGTACTTGCATCTTGTCATGAATTGTGGGAAGCAGTGACCAGTGGAATTCAACCACGTCTGTTGTGAGATAACAACTCATTGAAAACAATTGGTGAACGGTTGTTCAAACGTCGTGGATTGGTTGGAGTTAGATATAAACACCATCGGATGCCGGCTCAGTGGTCTATCGGTTAAGTGCACTGGCGCGAGACTGGTAGGTCCTGGGTTCGAATCACGCGAGTGCGTGATCGTGTATGCGCACTGCTGAGGAGCCCCGTAATAGGATGAGACGGCCTTCCAGTATTCCCAGGTTTTCCATGATGGTCTAGCTTTAATTGAATCATGATTTTAACTTTGAAAAATACTGAAATCTCCACAAAACCCCTTCTGATCATGAATTGAATCTTATTGAAAGAGGAAGATATTTGAAAAAGCAACAAATAATTGGATAAATCTAAATCCTTCTTCTAAAGTTGTTTACAGTTATAATATGATGGCCCTTGGTGTCATTAAATAAAAAGAATACAGTGAAGGAAATTTTTTTTCCGACGAAATCATTCACTTAAAGCTGTACATTCGTAATTATAGTTGACAGACGAATAGAAAACATTGCATCATCAAGGGATACGAAACTTTAAATATCAAATGAGGTTGCCTAATCATCAGCAGGAGGGGTTAGAGAAGAATAGAAGGATTAAAATAATTTACGGGTTAGAATTATGAAAGATCTTTGCAGATGACCTAGCCATCCTATCTCATACACACGAACAAATAAAAACGAAGACAACAAATGTAGCAGCAGCCTCTGCATCAATAGGCCTCAACATACACAAATGAAAAAGCAAGATTCTCAAACACAACACGGAGAACACCAACCCCATCTCACAGTTGATGGCGAAACTCTAGCAGAGGTGGAAACATTCACGTACCTGGGAAGCATCGTTGATAAACAAGGAGGATAGAATGCAGATGTAAAGGCGAGGATTGGCAAAGCAAGGACCACATTTCTATAATTGAAGAACATATGAAACTCAAAACAACTCTTAACTAATTTCAAAGTGAGAATCTTTAATACAAACGTCATGACAGTCAGTCCTACTGTATGGAGCTGAAACAGGGAGAACTACTACATTCATTGTCAAGAATGTACAAGTACTTATAAACAGTTGTCTACACAAAATACTCAACATTCACTGGGCGGATACTATCAGCAACAGAGTTTTGTGGGAAAGGACAAACCACCTTCCAACTGAAGAGAAAATTCGAAAAAGACATTGTGAGTGGATAGGACATACATTGAGAAAATCACCAAACTGCATTACGAGGCAAGTGCTAACTTGGAATCTGAAAGGGAGGAGGAAAAGAGGGAGGCCAAAAAACACATTACGTCGGGAATTAGAAAAGGATGAATGTTAACTGGAAAGAACCGGAAAGGATTGTCCAGGACAGGGTTGAATGGATAACACTGGTGGATGGCCAATGCTCCTCGACGAGGGGTAACAGGAGTAAGTAAGTAAGTAGTGATAAAAGATACTTCTCCGCTTGATAACTATGAAGAAAAATGAAAAACATCAAGGTCTTAACCATAACTGAATAATAATCCACGAGTCGATCTAAGCTGGACTACCATTGAAAATCTGGAAGTACTGAATGACCGTTTCGTTTTAATATGGAAAAGTGTGCATCTGCGATAACTCACACGGGACCCAAACCCAGGACCTTCGGTCTCGCACACGAACACTTAACCTCTAGACCACTAAGCTGGCATCCAACGGTGTTAATGTCTAGCTTCAATCAATCCATGATCTTGCGCAATCCTTCATTCATTGTCTGAGGTGGATAACTGCCTCACACGTGACACAGATTGCACTTCATTGATCACGGCTTCTCACTAGAACTCCAAGATGTCAGCTTAGTAGTCTAGAGGTAAGGCGTTTGCGCGCGAGACCGAAAATCCTGGGTTCGGGTCCGGTGTGCGTTATCGTAGATGTACACTGCTGAAGAGTCCCATACTAAAACGAAACGGTCATTCAGTGCTTTCAGGTTTTTAATGGTGAGCTAAAATTGATCCATTCATAATATCAATCGAAACTTAACAATCTCAATAATCCTAAACCAATAATAAAAGGAATGTTCAACACATTCATTTAAACAAAGTGTTCTCATCATGACAAATAAGATTGTTCTTGATTACATAAACCATGGTCACTAAGTTTATGTCCAATTTACTTATTTATTTGAACACATAAATAGTGGTACAAAGGGGCACCAAATACATACGCGCCACACAAATCTCATTTGATTTGTGTGAGGGCTGTGATACTGCACAGGTGCCCAAACCGAAACAGGTGGTTTTCTTAGAGGGCCACACTCCGAGCCTTTGACTTAAAAATCTGATCCACAGTGGAACAACGTAAGGAAACGCATTCCCATGGTAACCGGTGACCGACTATTGATTCATACACTATTTGTTCCTTCAGGATACTTGAGCCAGCCCATGTGCACCATTGGTTTGGAATCAGGGTTTGCCAGTGGAGGAAGAAATTAGGAAGGAGCGCTGGAACTGGATAGGACGCACAATGAGGAAATCACCCAACTGCGTCACATGACAAGCCCTCACATGGAATCCCGAAGGTCAAAGGAGAAGAGGAAGAACAAAGAACACATTGCACCGAGAAATCGAGACAGACATGAGAAGAATGAACAGCAATTGGATAGAACTAGAAAGGAAGTCCCGGGACAGAGTGTGTTGTAGAATGCTGGTCGGCGTCCTATGCTCCATTGTGAGCAACAGGCGTAAGTAAATAAGTAATGAGGTTGAAATCCATGGTTTATCATATCAGGAGTTAAATGTTTGTATGGTGAACTATAGTTCACATTATAAGAACAGAGTGAGTGAGTCATACATAGATCTTTGATCATTGCCTTGAATTAGGTTCTTTGCTGTTGTTACTGTTAATGCAAAACGGATTTCAATTGCTCTAATCAAGTATGACATTGTTGAAGCTGATTTCCCTCGTTTAGTTCAAGTTCAAACTATATAAAACTGTTGTAATAAGAAGTATTCAATTCTGATACTGGTACACAAGCATTCTATAAGCAAATAAAACTGGTCATTTAAGTGAGAAGACTGAGAGTAATCAGAAAGTTTTGTATACCAAACAGAATCGACAGATATTTGTACCTTCATATATAAATATACCCCCGCTACCTTGAACTGCCTATCATGATGACTCGATCGAGCTATTTTGGCTGAAACATTCGTCTCTTTAGATTGATCAAGTTTCGGTAAGATTTAAAGCTGAAACTTAAAATCCGAGGGCGAAGTGAAGCGCCGGACATTCGCTTTTCGTTCTCTCGATTTCGTAAAAAACACCCTCACCACGAGAAGGCAGTGAGTAGGACTTCCCTGACAGAGGTTATATATGCGTGGCCATGTCAGAGCATTTCGAGAGGGAGGGCGGACTCTCCCTACTCTCGGCCGTACCAGGGCATTTGGGGGCTTATGTCTAATTAATTGGTTAAAATTGCCATTTTGTTCATAATTTAATATAGTTTATTGAAGCGACCAATGTAAAATACGTGATATATGTTGACGGTTCAGTAAAAGGTATGAATAATTCTAATAGTTGATATATTGGTTTCCATTGGTGATGGAGATGGTGGCCTTATCTAATGAAATCGGTCTGGGTTTTCTGGAATTAGTCTCTGAGTATTCATGGTTCTCAAACCCACCGCGTGGATATGATTTCGTGAGGAAATCGATAACCCGTTATCTTCACGCACGAGCATCGCATCAGTGCCAGTTATAAGTTACATGGACACCGGTAGCATATAAGTTTTCACTAATGCGTTATATAGAATACATATAGGTATATTCACTTATCTGGAAGGATAGATGGTCACTACTCCCTTCGAACGTATTTGTTACAACTGACTATCTCTTATGCATTACATGAATACCACTGGTATATAAACTTTAGCTCCATGCACTTTATGACATATACATGAGCCCAAGCACTCTCTCAGGGATGGTTAATAATCACATCCTTCTAGTATTTGCTACCGTGTCTTTTGGTTATGTCTTCAACCTGTTAGTTTAGGGAGATGATTTTATTAAACCATACGAGTAAACAATCATAAAAATGCTGGTTAGAGTAAAACTCTTGACTTCTACTCTATTTACAAACAAATCTACTTTGTTGATTTGCGGCCATGGTGATGATAATTGGATAACTAACTTGGTGACTAGATGTTCCATTTAAGATTTACATTACATTACATGTGAATTAATGCAGAGTAAATATTTTGTCACCGTAAAGGAATCTATCAAGGTTAGTTGATCTTTAATTAGTCTTAGCATCAAATAGCCTAGTTACATATATTTTAATGATGCTTATTTTCCAAGATGTCTATGTAACTTAATTAAAAAATCTATAAATATGTGAGACTTAGATTTCTGAGAAAAATTCATTTACACTTTTCTACTAATGCTTCCCCTGACTGTTGCTGCCACCTTGACGTGGTGTTCGGGCTTGCTCATAGTGATAAATCAATAGAACAATATTGGCTGGAACAATCGTTCCGACAGGTCCTACCATAGCAGACAGGTCGGTTGAAGAGTGGTAATACTAAAAGCAGCAAACCTGAGGTCTGAGGACGAAGTCGTACCGCTGACTGTACAGAGGTGTGACAGTAGTAAAGTGTTTCCTTCGGATAATCAGCATAACAGCGATGCCACTTTCTCGCAAGAAAGGGTGAGGTTAGAAAAGGGAAACCCAAAAAATGTACACCTCAATTTATCCCATGAATTCCCATTCCAGGAGGTAAGATCTCAACAAGTACGGAGGTAACATAAAAATTACTCACAAAAAGGTCGTTGCCCAATTTTGTTTTCAGGTACCTGTAGAATAACCGTTCCACGGTATGGGCAACCGGGAAGTGGAAACCGCTATGCTATGATGTAGCATGAGTCAAAAATAAGAACGGTTTTGTTGATCTGTCCTCTATAAATATATTTCAAGTAAATCTTACCCTTTACAGTTTGTGGCTATGGAGATCGTTGAATTTTATTGAAATCATTAACCTATCAATGTTAGACCACTATTGAAAATCTGGAAGCACTGGATGGCCATTTTGTCCTAGTATGGAACTAAATGGATTGATTGAAGTTAGGCATCAATACTGTTAGATCTCAGATTAGTGGTCTAAAGGTTAAGCATTCATATGAGACATCAAAAGTCCTGGATTCGATTACCTTTGGTGGGAGATGTGTGAATGCACACAGCTGAGGATTCCCACACTAGGACGAAACGACCGTGTAATGCTTCCAGGTTTTCAATGGTGCTCTAACACTAATCGGATCATGACATCAATGTCTAGAAATTATTGGTACATTTGCAAGAAAATGCATCACGGAGAAATCTATTTATATTTTTCAAAGTTGAAATCATGAGTCAATTGAAGCTAGACCATCATGGAAAACCTGGAAGCACTAGACGGCCTTTACGTCCTATTATGGGACTCCTCAGCAGTGCGCATCCACGATCCCACACTCGCGAGATTCGAACCCAGAACCCACCGGTCTCGAGCCAGAGCGCTTAACCGATAGACCACTGATCCAACATATCATTGATAGATCTGAAACTTTAAAGAATACAATCACTGCTTAAAATACACAAACTCACCTTACCAAATAAATAAGAATTTAAAAAAGATTAACTCACCATATTTGGCTCTTGAAGACTTAATGCATAAATTAAAAAACTTGATATAACAACAAAGTCTTCATTATATTGTTCATTTGCATCATAATAAATCTCCTGAGGTTCTGATGATGACGATGATGATGATTCCGATGGCGGTCGATTTGATCCGTTGATTAAACAAAATAAATCGTGTATATGATTGTATTGTACAAAACCCTTGTAGAAAAAAATAAAAATAAAAGATTTCATTATGATTTAATCCTTATCAAATAGTCCCAAAAATGCCCTAGTACGGCCAAGGGTGTGGAGAGTCCGCTATCCCTCTCACATGACCACGCGTAATACGGCTACTATCGGGGAAGTCCTACTCACTGCATTCTCGTGGCAGAAGAGTTGTTTACGAAATTGAGAGGACTAAAAACAAGTGTTCGGCACTTTAACCGGGTTGGCGAACACGGAGGATCCACCTAGGAGAGTTGGAAAACCCTGATTTCAAACCAATGGTGCACATGGGCTGGCTCCAGTATCCTGAAGGAACAAATGGCGTATGAACCAATTGTTGTTCACCGGCTACCATGGGACTGCATCTCCTCACGATGCCCTAATGCCTTGTGGATTAGACTATTCGATCAAATGCTCTGTGTGTGGCCCCCTAAGAAAACCACCTGCTTTGGTCTGGGCACCCGGGCAGTATCATAGCCCACAAACAAATCAACTGACTTGTGTGGCGCATATGTATTCGGTGCCCCTTTGTATCAATATTTATATGTTTGAATAAATAGATGAATTTAAGAAATACAATTGGAAAGTTACTGAATATTTGACAGCAAGTTTGAATTGTCTCAACCAGTAGTTGGTATTCACAAAGTATATTGTGAATAATGGTGTATTAACTAAAGAGAATGTTTGTTACTTACTAACATAACCCATAGAATTAGTAAACAACAAGAAACACCCATCTTATTAGCATAGATGGATAGCGGCTAGCAGTGGAATCCAGGACGCACGTTCCGCCTCAATCGAGACTCGTCAGTTGAATATGTCTGCATCTCACAATTGATGTTCACTACGGGACTCGAACGATTGCTAAGTGGATAACATTAACGTTACAAAGTAAATACTTGATGTTATTTGTATATAGAAAACTTTCAGAATTGATTTCAATTCTTTGAACTTACATAACATCCAACTGATATACAACAATAAGCGTCGATCAATGAGGATTGAATTCCCGCGTTATTATTGTTTTGTTTAATTAAATCTATAAAAATTATGAACATGGATTTATTCATTGAATATAAATGATAAAACAATTGTGGATAGGACATAAATCGAGGAAATCATCGAACTGCGTCACAAGACAATCCCTCACATGCAATCCTGAAGGTCAAAGGAGAAGAAGAAGATCAAAGAACACATTACATTGAGAAATTGAGACAGATATAAGAAGAATGAATAGAAGTTGGATAGAACTAGAAAGGAATTCCCAGGGCAGAGTTGGTTGGAGAATGCTGGTTGGCGGCCTATGCTCCATTGTGAGTAACAAGTGTAAGTAAGTAAGTAAGTTGTTGCCTTGTGCCCTATTAACATATAACGTAATGATGCCGACAATTAGAGAACTGTAACTTATCAACCAGACCAATGACGCATGAACCCGTAAAAACAGTTCAAATTCTTTATCAGTTCTTCTTCCTGACTATCTCTGCCTGTTAAGTTCAAAACACCAATCTCAGCCTCCGCTATATGAATCATGCATTTCAAACATATTGGGTTTATATACAAGCCAAACAAGCCAGAAGTGACTGTGAATGTGAAAGACTGTAATTGATAGACTGGGTATAACTCAAGAACAGTAAATTGTATATTAATCGTCTATAGGTCAAATTGAAGCTTATAATAAGAGGAATATGAATATACATAGATTACTTGGTTAACAGTTACACAATACAAATATATGTTTAGTATTAATAGTCCATAAATAGATCACAACAGCTACCACCTACGATTCTCATCGAGATATAAGAAAATAAATGGAAAATTAATCATTACATATGTATCAATGTGCATTGCTGACGAGTTCCACAATGGGACGAAACAGCCGTCTAGTGCTTCCAGGTTTTTCATGATGGTCTAGCTTCAATCGATTCATGATCTTAACTATTAAAATTACTATAATATCCACAACGCACTCCCCCCCACTACTGACATACGTATGTAAAATAACCTAAACCTATTGTTATGACTATTCATTCAGATCATTATTTATGCTGAAATTATTGATCGGAATCACTGATTATTACAACATGCAAATCTTTGTTATCAAGGTAACAATATTGTGATATAGAAACCATTTGAAAATATAATCTGTTGTTTTTTTAAGAAACTGGTCATTCGTTTGTACTATCCAAACTTTTGAACAATCAATTTGAATGAAATTTGTTACCATCCAACAACCTACTTGATTAAGAGAAAGCGTTTGGCAGTGTGGAAAGAATGAACTAATGGAAACTTCTTTGATAAGATGGTATACATGAGAAGATTATCTACATCATCTTGAATTCATACGACAGACTACACTGTAACTCGTGCACGGAGAACAGTTGACAGATGTATTCCAAGTGAGGATTGAAGACAGACAAGTCTGCTTACTCTCTCCCCTTCTCTTTATTCTGGTGGTTAAATGGATTATGAAGATACCTATATATGAGGGGTAGCACGGAATAAAATGGACAGCATGAATGAAACTAGACGATTTGAACTTGGCAGATGACCTGGTTGTTCTCTCCCACACACATCAACAAATGCAGGTGAAGATAAACAGTGTAGCAGTAGCATCTGAATCAGTAAGCCTCAACATACAAAATGGAAAAAGCAAGATCCTCAAATACAACAAGGAAATATACCAACTCAATCAAACTTGATGGAGAACCTCCGGAAGAGGTGAAAGGCTTTACGTACATAAGCAGCATCATGGATGAACAAGGAGGATCAGATACAGACGTAATTCGAGGATTGGCAAAGCAAGGACAGCATTCCCACAGTTGAGCAAAATATGGAACTCACAACAACTGTCAACAAAAATCGAAGTCAGAATCTTCAATATGAATGTTAAGACAGTTCTATTTTACGGAGCTAAAACTTCAAGAGCTACCACAACCATCATCAAAAAGTATAAGTATTTATCAACAATTTTCTACACAAGATACTCAATGTCCGTTGACCGGATACCATCAGGAACAGTTCAGTATGGGAAAGCAAGCTTTCAGCTGAAGAGGGGATTAGTAAAAGATGTTGGAGGTGGATAGGATATACATTACACAAATCATCAAACGGCATCACGAAACAAGTTCTAACTTCAAATCACCAAGGCGAAAGTAAAATAGGGAGACCAAAGAACACATTGTACTGGGAATTGAAGACAAACATCAAAAGAATTAATAGCAAGTCGAAACAACTGGAGTGGAGAGCCCAGAACAGAGTCGGTTGAAGAATCCTGGTCGATGGTGTATGCTACACGAGGGGTAACATCTATAAGTAAGTAGTAAACTATTTCCATTTAAAATAAAGTCTAAGAACAACAGATAGGAATAATATATTTATTCCTATTTAATGTCTTACTTCAACTCGGAGCTCAAATACTGTGAAACTATTCGTTCTAATTTAGACGATAGTTCTTATATAAGAACAACAGATTTGTGAGTAACGAGTAAAATTATAATCGATTTATCTAAAACTGGCTACATAATTAATTTTCTGACTTTATAACTTGAAGCCATCAACGGTGGAGAGTCGATCAGGTTCAAAGTGAAAAAATGATTCATCAGTGATATTGGTTAAGGTTATCTTCAAGTCAAAACTAACCAAAGTTGAAGATATAAATAACTGAATGAAGCGGATCAATAGTCTCAGGATATAATTCACACTATGAGACATGAACACTCCTGTTTAGATCCCGTTTGGGATCTTGAGTACTAATTATTAAAGTGCTTTAACTTACTTACTTACGCCTGTTAACCCCTATGGCGCATAGGACGACAACCAGCATTCTCCAACCCAGTCTATCCTGGGCCTTCCTTTCTAGTTATATCTAATTGTTGTTCATTCTTCTCATGTCTGTCTCGATTTCTCTACGTAATGTGTTCTTTGGTCTTCTTTTTCTCCTTTGGCCTTCAGGATTCCATATGAGGGCTGGTCTTGTAATGTAGTTGGATGATTTCCTAAATGAGTGTCCTATCCACTTCCAGTGCTTCTTCCTGATTTCTTCCTCCATCGGGATCTGGGGTTTTTTCTCCAACAGTAGAATGTTGCTGATAGTGTCTGGCCAACAGATCCAGTACTTTAACTTAGGTATACAACAAATTTTAAGTCTTTTCCGGCTTTTGATAATTTTCTGAATGATCCTTGTTTTTGTCAAAGATTATCTATAAATTATATGGCGAACCTTCATTTATACAATCAACTCCTCAATTACCATTCTTTAGCTCTATCATCTTAACATTTAACTCTAAACTTGCCATATATTAAATACTAAGTGAATGATTAAAAGACAACCTGCAAAAAGCATTCGAAATAGGTACTGTACCAGTTGACATCAATCAAGAATATGTAACTACAATTTGAAATTCAAACCCATCTCATTAAGTATAACAATCAATGAAGTTACTCCCTAAAATTTACAGATCCAAGTGATGTCCTATTGTAGTGTGGTCTACTAATATCCACATAAGTAGTATATGGTGATGGTTAGACATAAAATGTATTTTGACAAAAGATCGATAAGGAACGAACAGGAATGAAGTGCAATCGGTATAAAAATGCATAAATAATGAAATCAGAGAAGATGGACTGATATTTTCATAGTTGAAAGCGTGAATCCATTGAAGCTAGACCACCAGAAAAAACCTGGAAGCACTGCATGACCGTTTCATCCTATTGTGGGACTCCTCAGTAGTGAGCATCTACGACCTCGTCTCGCGAGATTCGAACCTAGGACCTGCCAGTCTCGCGCCAGAGCACTTAACCGATAAACTACTGAGCCCGCATCCGACGAACTGATATTCGCTAAAGGAACAGTCAAGATTGAGACAATTGGTTGATAGTTGGCTAATTAACTGTTTACTACTGTATGGTTATCAGAATTTAGTGAGATAGTCTGTCCCCACTCGTGTTGTTGTTCCCTATACTATAACCTAGTAACTAAGTGAGAATTAGAGAAAGAAACAGAATTCATTTGTCATTATTGATTATTGATTAGGATTTATATTTCGTTTCTTTTTTTGTTTTTTCCTACTTAGTAACTATTTAATCCATAGTTTCTATGAATGATCCACACAAAAAATCTCACATTTACTTAAATCAAATTATAAATACGTTACTTATATCCACACAAGTAGTATGTAGTGATGGTCAGGTAAAGAATGTATTTTGGCAGAAGATCAATAAGGAAATAACAGGAATGAATCGCAATCAGTATGAAAATGCATGAACAACAGCTAGACCATCATGGAAAACCTAAAAGCACTGGACGGCCGTTTTTTCCTATTGTGAGACTCTTCAACAGTGCGCATCCTACACTATAACCTAGTAACTAAGTGAGAATTAGAAAAAGAAACAGAATTTATTTGTCATTAATGATTATTGATTAGGATTCATATTTCGTTTCTTTTTTTTTTTGTTTTTTCACTTAGTAACTATATAAATCCACACAAAAAAATCTCACGTTTACTTAAATCAAATAGGTTACTTTACATTTGAAACAAAAATTACTTACCATAGATACTTGAATGTATCTTATTAAGTAATTCATTGGATATTGTAGATATAGAAGTGAAAAATTTTAAATTCTCATATTTTTGTTCATAATAACTAAATATGCGATACATAGAAACAAAAAATTATGAGAAAATATTGTCATAAATAGGAGTTAATTAGAAGATATAAACAAACACAATCACACACACACACAGAGAAACACACATTGCCCCCGAAATGGCCTGATACGACTGAGAGTGGGGAGAGTTCGTTCTCCCTCTCTAAATGCTTTCATATGGTCATGTGTACATAGCCTGTGTCAGGGAAGTCCAACTCATTGCCTTCTCGTGGCATGGGTGTTGTTTACAAAATTGAAAGAATGAAAAGCGAATGTCCGGCGCTTTAACCGGGTTGGTAGACACGGAAAGTTCACCTAGGAGAATTGGTGCACAAGAGCTACAGTATCCTGATGGAACAAATGGCTTATGAGCCAATCGTTGATCATTGGCTACTATGGTACTGCATCTCCTCCTCACGATGCTCCACTACCTTATGGATCAGACCTTTAGGTCAAAGGATCAGGGTATAGTCCCCTGAGAAAATCACCTGCTTCAGCTTGGGCACCTGGGAAGTATCACAGCCCTCACACAAATCAAATGAGATTTGTGTGGCGCATATATATCTGGTGCCCTTTGTACCAATATTTATGTGTTTAAATAAAAAATAAAAATAGAGAGAGAAACGTAAACATTTTTAAGGAACAATTAATGATTTTTATCAGAAGGGGTTTTTTGGATATTATAGTAATTTTGATAGTTGAGATCGTGTATCAGTTAAGCTAGATCACCATGGAAAACGTAGAAGCACTGGACGGCCGTTTCGTCCTATCTTATGGAACTCCTCAGCATGGAGATGTGTCGCTCAATTTCGTGGATCAGTCAAAGTCAGACATTAACATCGTTGGATACCGGTTAGATCAGTGGTCTAGAGGTTCTATAGGTTCTAGATGCTAATTTCGCGAACAGGATCGTTGATGCGCACTGCTGAGGAGTCCCATAATAGGACGAAACGGCCGTTCAGTGCTTCCAGGTTTTCCATGGTAGTCTAGCTTCAATTGATTCATGATCTTAACTATAGAAATTAATGATTTACCAGAAATGATTGTTTCTTTTATTAAAATAAAAGATAAACTCTAACTGTGAATAAATCATCCAATTATTAAGTTCACTAACTATGAACAGTGAAGTTTGAGATGACTGATTAACATTTTGGAAAAGAAATGCCTGGAGGTAGAAGGTTAAGAAGATCAAAGAAAAGGAAATGAGAACAGAGAATGATTGGTATAGAAATGAAAGAACGATGAAGTGTGAAACGATTGATTGACATTTTGCATATGAAGTATTTACTGTATGATTGTTAGATCTTACTAATATGTTCTGTAATTAAGTAATCACATACATTTGGTAGCCACCACTTGTGTTCTCGTTCATTACAATCTAATGAATCAACTTTATTGAACAAATATTGATTGTTGCTAGGCGATATGTACCTTACTAACGTGGATATCATGGTGAAGGCCGCTTGTGCATTAACTGTTATGTCTCAGAGGTAGGGTTTTTTAAAAAGGCTTAGTCTTCTTCATTTGTAGGTTAAATTCATTACAGATTGCTGAAAAGTCCCATTCTAAAATCAAACAATTGTTCAGTACTACCAGATCTTCAGTGGTCTTGATAAACAGTAAACACTATGACTAACTTATATATAGTAGTTCAGTGTTTTGACTGGAGTTTCTTTTTCTTAAGTCAACCCCCAGAAATGAATTGAAAAATACTTAAGAGGTCAAAAAAGTGGATACATTCTGAATTTCACACTATGCATACTACTTATTAACTTTGCGTTTTATACTTGGGCAGAATCTTAGTATCCTACTAATATATATATATGGTGTTATAGTGTCAATTGCTGTGTTAAGCCCATATACCTTATTTTAGCTTCTGGACAGGTCAATTTATTCATTCTTCTTGAGTTACATTTTGACCTAGTTAATTATTCACTTATCAGCCCTAACTGTTTCTACATGAACATAAGCGTGTGTACACCTCTTATCCTATTCAACACATGTCTGTAACTTACTCTTGTATGACTATAAAATCAATTTGGGCTTGGTAACATTGGGTTGGCTTACTCGCCTTCTCTACCATATGTCATTTTGCTTCGTTCACTTCTATTCGTTTTATCCCTCTCATTTCTTGTCCAGATCAGTGAGTGTACAAAATATATGCATTCAAAGATCTATTCGCATATTCCACTTATTTAATTCCATTGTTTACGAATGCGATTTCAGTCAATGAAATATATAAGAATAGCCGACATATATATTTTGATCACAATCGGTATACAATCCAAATAGAGTCAGATCTAATAGCATAAAAGTGGTGATTCCATCAAAAACATCATCCGATCTAATGGATGTCAAAATGAAGGACCCCACTAGAGTGTGTGCAGTGAACGAGAACCCAAATGAAACACAAAATTACAGAACAACTTAGTAAACACTGACAACCATACAGTAAATACTCCATATGTAAAACGTCAATTATTCGTCTTACAATTCATTGTTCTTTCATTTCTACACCAATCATTCTCTTTTCTCATTCCCTTTTCTTTGATCTTCTTAACCTTCTACCTCCAAGTAATTCACTTTCAATCGATGATATATATACTACTTATATCTGTTAACATCAGTAGTATACATCAATTCAATTCCCAATTCAATGATCAAACAATCAATATGTTATCAATAATATTTAATAACTTACATAGATTTCCATTTCTTCCACATCCCGTAAGGATCATATAAAATTTCTATGAAATTAATGATAAGATTAAATAAATCAAACATTTTTAAATGATCCACCTATGAGAAACAGACGGATTAGATTAAAAAGATTCGATATTCGATGATTTACCAATTTTAATAGATCCGGTAAAACCTCATGGATACAATTGTCTTCGATGATGAATTGTTGAATAGTGTCATTTCTATAATAATAATAATAATAATAATAATAATAATAATAATAATAATAATAATAATAATAATAATAATAATAATAATAATAATAATAATAATAATAATAATAATAATAATAATAATAATAATAATAATAATAATAATAATAATAATAATAATAATAATAATAATAATAATAATAATAATAATAATAATAATAATAATAATAATAATAATGATAATAATAATAATAATAATGATAATAATAATAATAATAATAATAATAATAATAATAATAATATAATAATAATAATAATAATAATAATAATAATAATAATAATAATAATAATAATAATAATAATAATAATAATAATAATAATAATAATAATAATAATAATAATAATAATAATAATAATAATAATAATAATAATAATAATAATAATAATAATAATAAAAGCAAATATAGATAGTGGCTAGCAGTGGACTGGTCAACTGGATGTACCTGCATCTCAGAGTTGATGTTAACTCGGAGACTCGAACCCAGTATCTTTCGCCTCAAAAGCCATCGCGTTATCCACTCGGCCACTGAGTTCTGATAGCCACTTGCTTGTGCAATGGGGTGAAGTTTAAATTCATTTAGTATTGTTTTGTTTGGATCTTCTCATCGATGTGTTAGGACGAAGTGACGCGCGTCAAACTGGATTCCACTGCTAGCCACTATCCATCTTTACTTATAATGCTTGTGACTTAAGGCTATATTGAGGAAATACGCACAGTATGCACATATGCCAATTACAGACTGATCAGTTACAGTCCTAATACATCGATGGGAAGATTCAAACAAACTATACTAAATGAATTTAATAGTAATAGTGTGATGTGGGTTACTGATATCCACATAAGTAGTATATGGTGATGGTCGGGTATGAAATATATTTCAGTAGAAGATCGATAAGGAGAGAACGGGAACGACACGCAATTGGTACCAAAATGTATAATCGGAGACTATGGACGGATTTTCGCAGAAGGAATGGTCAATATTGAGACAATTGATTGTTATTTTGCTAATTAACTGTTCACTATATGGTTCTCATATTTTAATGAATCATTCGATTGTCACCAACTACCGTTCTTGTTCCCTACAATAGTAGTAGCTCTGTTAATAGCAATAATAATAATAATAATAATAATAATAATAATAATAATAATAATAATAATAATAATAATAGTGTAGTGAACGAAACACTAGTTGGGTAAAACTGAATGTATTCAAGCACAAATTATAGACTGTCACTAAATTCTGATAACCATACAGCAAACAGTCAATTTGCAAAATAGCAATCAATTATCTCTTCACTGTTCCTTCTCCAAGTATTAGTTCATAGTCTCCGATTATTATTGTTCATGAATTTTCGTACCGATTACGCTTCATTCCTATTCGTTCCTTATCGGTCTTCTGCCTAAATACCTTCTATGTCTGACCATCACCATATACTACCGATATGGATATAAGTGGACCACACCACTGTAGTTATTACAGTTATATAATATACCCTTATAGGCCAGGGTAATCTTGCATTGGTTTTCAGGAGAACCAGACACCATCCAGACTTTCACGCGGCAACCTAAACAGTACAGCTTAATCCCGTTTAACGCGAGAGCCAGACACTTCCCAGGCTTATCCCAAGCAGTATAGCTTAATCCCGCCCTATAGGAGAACCAGACACTAATATTAGGCTTCGACGCTACAATCCGAACAGTACAGCTCAATCCTGTGGCGCAATCACTCAGGTACTAAACACTCTGTTGGATCAACACCACAGTAGTAGTAGTAATAATAATACTAATCAATAAGAATAATCCTAATATAACTTACCTGCCAAATAAACATAATACTTTAATGATATAATTTAAATTATCCAATACCATTAATAGTTTATCATCATTATCAGTAGTAATTTCAGTAGTATTAATCACATTTTCATTCATTTGATCATTATTACTGATTAGATTTGGTTGAATAATAATTGAATTGCATTGCTTGTATAATGTATGAAGTAAATATTCAATACATCCATTTGGTAAATCATTTAATGTAAGAAAATTTCTTGTAGGTCTATGAATAAAAAGGAAAACAAAACAAAAAAGTATATATAAGGTGGTGATTGAAGGTGGTCAACAGTAGAACCCTGGACCTGGGTTTCATGCTACACGGCACTCATCAGAAAGGTGTACCTGTTGTAATCTTGAGGGAACTGGTACTCCCTGATGGATTCGATCCTATGTCACTCAGCTTCACAGTCAGAGATGTTATCACTGTCTCGACCGACCTCCTGTAGGACTGAGATGTAATCACAATTGATTGATCATTGGGTGGTGATCAATGTCATGTGTGTCAAGTCCTTCTTAGTGCTGATCGAATCTTATATTTATTATATTCATGCGTAAAATTGATTTTAAAAATAATCAAATACTGAACTATATGCGAAACAGTTCATTTTAAGAAGACTATAAGATACAGAGGGAAGAGAAATCCATACTCTCTCACGAGACCCTAAATGTCGTTGAAACAACTAGGTTTAAGGTTATAAATTAACTGAAGGGGTTTTTATGGAGATTTTAGTAATTTTATAGTTGAACTAATGAGTCAATCGAAGCTAGACCATGAAAAACCTAGAAGCACTAGAAGGCCGTTACGTCCTATTATGGGACTCCTCAGCAGTGAGCATCCACAATCCCGCTTCGTGGGATTTGGGTCCAGAACCTATCGGTCTCGTGTGCGAACGCTTAACCTCTAGACCACTGATCTGGCCAGCATCTAACGGTGTTAATGTCTAACTTCAACCAATCCACGAAATCGAGCCAACGTGCACCATTGTCTTTAGTGAGTTACGATCTCACACTAGACCCAGTTGAACTACACTGATTAATTAAATATACAATTCTTTATTTGCATTCTAATTGAAATTAGCTAAAAATCTTATGGAAATAGGTTGTCTTAAAGAAAGTTGATAAATTGTATGTGTACTTCCAACTTAAACAATAATCAGGTTGAACAATTAGTTCTTGACTTAATACTGTTATGATGATTATTAAGGTTTATTAATATTAAATAAAGTAGTAGGTCTCAACATACACGAAGGGAAAAGCAAGATTCTCCGATACAACACAACGTCCACCAATCAAATCACACTAAACAGAGAAGCTCTGGAGGATTTGAAAACCTTTACATATCTGGGCAGCATCACTGATGAACACGGTGGATGTGAAAGGGCACGAATCGGCAAAGCAAGAGTAGGATATTTGCAAATGAAGAACATCTGGAACTCAAAACAATTGTCAACCAACACCAAAATCAGAATTTTCAACATAAATGTCAAGACAGTTCTACTGTATGGAGAGGAAAACTGGAGAACTACGAAAGTCATCATCCAGAAGATACAGGTGTTTATTAACAGTTGTCGACGCAAAATACTTCGGATCCGTTGGTCAGACACTATCAGCAACATTCTATTGTGGGAGAAAAAAAACCAGATCCCAGTGGAGGAAGAAATCAGGAAGAAGCACTAGAATTGGATAGAACACACATTGAGGAAAGCATCCAACTGCATAACAAGACAAGCTATCGCATGGAATCTCCAAGTTCAAAGGAAAAGAGGAAGATCAAAGAACACATTAAACCGAGAAATGGAGACAGACATGAGAAGAATGAACAAAAGTTGGAAAGAGTGGGTTGGAGAATGCTGGTCGGCGGCCTGTGCTCCATTGTGAGTAACAAGTGTTAGTAAGTAAGTTTAAATAAAGTGGTCATAACTTGAACTTTGACCCTAAGACCGGAAAATCTTCTTAGAACTTCTTAAACTGAGAGTTGTTTTGGTTTGATTTCCTATATACTATACTATATACTAGACTATACTTTTTAAGATTACTACAATTACCTAGTATTTTATACAAATAATGCCAAATCAATATGATAATCAACATGGTAATGAAAAATCGAAGAAGCTCATCATCAGTCCATTTTCTGTGAAAATAGCTACCACAGAAACTTCCTCATAAGGTGACTGAAAAATTGATCCACCATTGCAAAATCAAGCTAAGAAGATAGAAAACGAATAACCTTACCATGGATGGAATGATTTCAGAAATCCCTAGAATGACTGTAAAACCTTTTGGAATCAACGTCACTACTCATAAGCTAATGAAATCACTTCACTCCATATATGAGGCAGACCGAAAGACAACAGCAAAGGAATATAACTATTACTAGCTGCAATGAATGTTACATTCCTAATCTTTAGACAAATAAGCCGACAGTGATGATTTGCAGGTCTAACTTCAATTAATTCACAAAATATTCAACAACCATCATCCAATCCCATTAATGGGTAGTTGTCTCAAACCTGATTTAGTTAAACTATACTTGTCATTACTTTTGAGTAAGATTCTCGGAATTACTCCATGGAACTAGTTACCAGTGAGCATATCATTATTATCAGTGTAAGGGGTTTGTGAGGATCATTGAATTTTATATCTTACATCACTGACTGAGTCTCATTATAAATGAGAATAGCCATCTAGTATTTTCTAGTTTTCGATAACTATCTAAGTTAAGTCAGATCATCATGTAAGTCATTTTGTTTCTGCTGTATTGTTATACGAGTTGGGGAGATAAAACGATGACCGAAAGTGCTAAATTTTTAATTCATTAGATCACAGGCTCGAATGATTGTCCATCTAATCTAGTTTAGACAACTAGGTTTGACCACTGTAATTTCAAGTCCTAAAACGTTTAGTTGACACATATATAGTCTCTTTCAAAAATATCCATTATCATTTATAGATCACTTATATTTCTTGTAATTCAAAATTAATTTAAAGATGAATAAACTTGAAGATATGATCCATTTGAAAGGTGGTCATCAGTGAATCCCCTTGAACATGTTCAATAACATTCTAAGTATCACTTAGAAAATCAAAGTCCATTCGTCCAGATAAGATGGTGGTTAGATGTGGTCAACAGGAAACCCTGGACCCAGGTTATGTGCTACATGGCACTCGTCAACAAGGTGTACCTGTAATCTTGATGGAACTAATGCACTCTGATGGATTCGATTCCGTGTCACCCAGCTTCACTGTCATAGACGTATATCAACATATACTTAAATATCTATTATTATTCCACAAAATTGTTATATTCCCATTCAAAACTTAATCTTAGTTTTGTTTAGTTTGTTAGTTTACTACTTTGTATGACACTGAAGAAGTGTAAAGTTGTTCATGATGTATTTAGAATAAACAAATCAACGTTTAAGAAAAATTAGGAAAACAAGGTTTTTGTCTTATAAGAAACCAATCAATTTTCAGTGACTAATACTTTACTGGATTGCCTATAACGCTGTTTAATCATCTGAGTTAACTGATGCAACTTAATCAAAAAGAACCCGGAGAAATTAAATAAATCAAACTATCAAGTTGGATTTTGATATGTGCGAATCTCTGGTTTTTTAGTGAATGCTAAATTTCAGAAACAACTGCTGTTAGACAGTAAACTTGTGACTACTACATGAGAAGTGTCAAATATTTCATGGGAGACAATTTTAGTGGCTTTAAAATGCTTAAGTAAGATTTTATAAAGGTTGTTTTAAAGAACAGTAAACTTTCAAAGGAAACAGTGGAATGTTTTTTTTCACTGTTTACAAAGAATCAAGTAACCAGTCCTTAGACAGAAACCGATATAATGTACAAACTAAGGGAAAGTCATATATGGACAGTAAAAAGCCCCCAAAATTTTGGTCGTAATAACTTGGTTGCATATTACCGAACAATTATTCAAATTCTTAAATATTTTAGATTCTCAGTTTTCCTATGTATATCGCCACCAACGTTTTAGTTCTTGAGGTAAAATCAAACTAATGTTCGTAGATAAAAATGGTTCCATTGAACGTTTCAAGGAATCAGATATTACTGTGAAGAAAGTTTCTACATGATAAGTAGCATAAGGAATAGTTGAAAACTAATCAAATACTGTATATGACAAATAGTGAGTATCTTGATACTCAAGAACACCAACAACTATAACAACAGAAGCTCAGCTATTGTAACCACACTTAAAATGGCCAAGTTCATCTTACAAAATATTTGGACTGTTTAGCCAAGACCCTACAGTCTTTCAAGAACTGTTTTGTTCTTTCCCTCAAGATTTTGTTGAGCGTAGTTTATTTTACCCATAAAGCAACAAATAGTACGAAGTCGAAAAAAAGAGAATTATGGACGGAGAAACTAAAATTTAAGGAATAGAGAAGTAAAAAAAGCTATGCTCATCAATTATCACCGATACTTATCTGTTACAGACAACTACATTACAAGGGATATCATGCTAATGTAAAGTGGTTATTACTCATGATTTATATAAATGTCAGTCAGTCAGAACTCGTTAAAAGACCTACGTAGATGAGTGGACCATCAAAAGTAATGATGAGAGCTGAAACTAGTTTTTATCACCATGGTTACGTGGATAAACAACTTGAAAGTCATTTATCAAGTGAAAAAATACTTACTCGGGTGTTTTGGAGTCATTAGAAATATTGAATCTCTTGCATAGAATTTGGCTGAAGCGATTCAAAGATTCATAGCTTCCCTAAAAACAGGTCATTTTTCTTCATATTCATACTTTTTCCATGAATTGTTCCCAGCTACAAGCAGCATCTAACTCTTCCATCATTATGTGCCGAACCCAATCATTTGAAGCATCTCAAAAACAACTATGACCTTAATATAGTGAACTTATAATAAACAGTTAAACGGAAAAACAAATTTTAAAAGCTTGAATCGTTTTCTAATCTTAAAGCATGATAAACGCAAAACGTACAACTAAATTTTATTTTACTCATTATTTTTCACTCCATTCTTGCTGATTAATACCTTGATGATTACTTATTATAAACCGGATAATTTCTTTGCACTCAGATATTTATTTCGAAAGAGGCTCTAGGTAATCTATAGTGTGAAGCGGAAGTAGGTTTACCACTCCTTTCCTCCGAACCACTCATATCTGTTTCAGCAGTGTGAGTTTTAGGATGCCACCCAATGTACTTTGGAAATAACATTAAAAATAGATTGAGATTGAGATGCCCAATCATCCATAAACAGGTTAAAACAATGTAGGATTTACTTTCATCTCGCAAATCACTGACACTGATTTTGAAACAATTTTTCCACTTCACCTCACCATTGTCATTCGATGACTTCGGAACTTACCTGAAGTCATATTATGTTAAATGGCTAAATTCTTCATCATTGGTAGGCCGAAAATTCCTGGGAGCTCGATAGTAAATATAGGCGGACAATATATGGATTCTTGCAAGAACCTGGACTTCAGTGTTCGCCAGTGTGCGTACATTTTCCTGTTCATGGTTGTAAAATGTTTTGCCTTCCAATATATTTTGAAACCATATTTCGAGCGGACTGTCGAATCCAATACCCTTTTCCTTCATAATAAGGACTTTTTATGACAATGTATGAAGGTCCCAGAAGGATCAAGTCACACTGTGAGCATCGAAAATTTCTTATTTCAGAAGAGTGTTGTACTGTTGTAAAATGAGTTTAGGAGGCCACAAGTTCCCTTGTATTTATATGACGACTTTATTTGTCTATGTGTTTCTCTGTTCGGTTTTTGATGAAGCCCTGTATGTTCCGTAATCTCTCTGGGTTCAACACAACCGATTTGTGTATTTTAATTCCTGAAAATCCCACAATAACAATGTTTTCAAATAACAGTTTGTTACATGAGGCATGCCAGTTTAAAGACAAGATCAAATTGTTATACGGGATATATTCTCCACTGTGGTAGGTTATTCAGTTAAGTTGATATATTGGTCAAAGAACTATGGGGAATAACTCTTCACACATATGAATGTAAATAATATTAGTATATATGACAACTGGTACGCTTTATGGATGTTGCGTTGAGACGGACAACAGATGGTCGACAACAAATCCATGTACTCTTGAGACCTTCTAGAAACCACAACCTTATATCCTATTGGAACAGCTGAAGCATTGATGACGGCGCAGAACGAAGTCAACCGTTTCATATGTGTTTTCGGTGGTATATATCGAGGGGGCTGAAAAGGGTGGTAAGAAAAAGAAAAGAAGAGAGGCGGAGCAGACAATGCTCATATCTGTTGAAGCTGAGTCATTTGTGGAGGAATAGTTAAGGTATGACTGTTTGGTCCAGTTCTCCTTTATTAAGGTACTTTTTAAGCAAGCGCATTCTAATAGTTTAAAGAAGATAAGCGTAAATAAGGTATTAATGGAGAAAGAACTGTATAAATGGAGGTAGTTCAAAAAGAAGTTGAAAGTATAGGATTACGTGTGCTTTTGAAATATAGCACTGAAAACGGCATTCTTTTTTGTCGAAGCTATTTCAGCTCATTTTCATTTTATAGATTTTATAGGGTTATGAGCCCGATTTGCTTTCAACGAATTGTCTAGTTTTACTTGTAATAGGATTACTCGGTAGGAGGTTTAACCTATCCGGCGTTACAAACACTATTTAAAGAGGTATTTTGTATAATAAATTAGCATCATTACCATTTGTTTGTGGCATCCTACTAGACCATAAAGAGCAGTAATTAAGATGTTCTGCCCTACAGACATGGGTGGATTAAAATGATCTCCCCACCATCATGTTTATCGGTCAGTAAAGACACCCTCCCTCCTTTTGTAATGTTAGACTCTCTTACGTTTGTGGCATGTGTGAATATTGCTTTAATCTTAGCCCCTTGTTAGAATACACTGTCCCCGCTAGTTCCATGTTGCGAGCGAATCAGGTGGCTAGAGCTTTTGTATTGTAGGTTAAACAATTATTTAGTATATTACACTGCTATGAGGATAATTAATGGTATAAATTAGAAGATACTGGTCAGATTATATGTGGTTTGGCAGTGTATGGATAGATGACAAATCAAAGAATATGCAAGAGTTTAGAACTGTAAAATTTTCAGAGTAAGAAAACAAACCATTGAGTGACTCACATGAATTTAGGACATCAAGAGCTTCTTATCAACGGTTTTGGTTGATCATCATCTATAAGATTGATGAGTTTGTCTGTATGCTTATAATAAAAAAGAAGGATATGACACTTAAGAAGAAGAATGCAACTTTAACCATTAGACAGATTCGATATCTGAAAGTGAGGAATATGAGCATAACAGCATGACTAATAATCAACGAATAACGACAGAGGACAAACTCTGTGTTCTATCACTTGGTTATATTCATGATAGTGACAATGGGGTCCATTATATTCATCATCAGTCTAGATATCAGGTGGTCCATAATAAAGTGACTCATGGGTAAGCGGGAGTTCAGGGAATAGTTGATTAGGCTCCTTAGTGTCTAGTAACAATGTTATTAGTCTTTTGAACTTCGTCATAGTGTCAAAGTCATGGATAGTTATTGGCAACCTATTCCATAATAAACTACACCGAGCCATAAACACTTACAACGAATTGGCTTTTGTGTTTTACCATAAGCAGTGTAAATGTGTTGAGTCAGTAGACTGGGTCATGGATCATGGTAGGGTAGGAGGTTAGAAATGAGAGTTTGTACATTGCATTGTAGAAAACTATTAGATTGTTTCTTAGCCGACGGTGTCATAAAGGTTCTAAGGAGGGGTGCTTACATCTATCTGTGTAGTCGAGAGTGAAGTCACATCCTAGTAGTTGACGTGTGAAGCGTCTTTGAACATCTTACACTTATTTTGTCTGTGTTATTCATGTTTGAGAAGATAAAAGCAATATCCAAGGGAGGGTCGTATAAATATTTTGTTGTGAAGGAATTTTTCATTATGAAACCAATTAGTCGTCTAGCTTTAGAAATAATAGAGGAGGCATGTTCCTCAAAGTTTAGACTACCTGTGTAATTAATTCCTCTATCGTGTACTGATTTCAGTGTCTGAACTTTACTTTTCTTTAAGTGAAGTTGTAATTCATGAGGATGCTTTCCAAAATGCATGATCCTACATTTGTAGAGGTTAAATGGCGATTACCATTTTTCGCTCCACATGGTTAGGTTATTAAGGTCACTTTGAATCTGTGATACTCTTTCAGCTAGAGTCACAGGCTTAAAGCTCTATACTATCCTGAGATCCTCAGCGTATAAGTATGATTTCACAAATTTTATGACGTTACATATATTGTTTATATACATAAGAAGCATTAGTAAACCTAGTACACCTTCCCGGATACGCATCGTAGCTTGACTTTATAAGGAAATCTCTATATCCTCTAATATTTTTTCATTAACCTAAGATGGTTTTTAGCACTTTGCTTACGTCAGTGATTTCCCTCTCCAACCTCATTTATCAACATGGGAATACCTTTCAAAATGGTCCTGAAAGCAGTATATATTGCAGTTTTTGGTGTTCTCCGTTTCTATCTGCTAGTTTGACGTACACCTTATGTTGTCAGGTGAATCCGAGATAACGCCTCAAGATCGACTACTTTGTCTAACTGTAACAAGGGTGGTACTGGTCTCATAATTATTTCTCACTAATAACCACTTCAAAAGAGCACAGCATTCTTGTTCCGTATAGGATTAGCCTGTAAGATCCTAAACTGTGTTTTCATAACTCGATATTTAATTATCCAATAGTCGGACAGCTTTCAGTCTTTTCCTAGTTAAATGTCAGAAATACTGAGTCCTTATTTTGGGAGATGAATACTCAGACCAGTAGATGACAGTGCTATCTATGTATCCCTTCTTTCTAAATCATCCAACTTATCAAGTCTGTCAAAATTAACTTTATCTCCAGGATCGTAACCGGAAACGAAAACCAACCGGTGAACACATTTTTAGCATTTGTCATAACAGGTGGAAGAAGAGGATACCTAATAACTCACATCCTCTTTTAGTTTTCCCCGTTCTGACTCACCCTGATGACATAAATGATGTTTCCCTTGCCTCTCCTTTAACCCGCTGATTTCTAACACTTGTCATTCCACTAGCTGTCTTTCAGTTCAATTAGTATGATCATGATATATTATTACTAAGTTGGCTAAATAGATCGATGTTAGAACCGTGAGATGAGGGTACCTCAGAAGAGCTTCACCGTAAATCCGGAAGTACGTCAGCTTTCATCTCTTCTTCATGATCGAAACTGTAATAATGACGGACATCTTGTCGTTCCAGTCAGATATTTCAAGTATTCATTAGTAAATGATTGCTGAACTCTTGAAAACTATGACGACCGAAACTCCAAGATTCTATCTGAACACACGGGACAAGTGAAAGGAAGTTTACTTGACTAAACAGAACTTTGTTCTTCTGAATAGTCCACAAAACACTTTGGAGGAATTTCAGAGTGTCTCTTCTGATACATCTTTCATCAAGTATTAAGGAATATTGACGGAGCTCCTAAATGTTGCATAAACACAGTATAGCCTATAGATATATAACTGCGTTGTATACTGTCCAAACACTGCTATGACGTTCGATCTCGGCTTGTTATCAATGCTATCTAAAGAGAGATTGATTTCCGTCGAATATTTTAAACGTTCAGTCAATCTAAGCTGAGAGCAAATGTATGATGGTCTAGGCTAAATGTTCTACTTGGACCAAAATAAAGTTGTCGGGAGAGAAGTGTCGTAACGTGAGTTGAAATGTTCAACATTGTGTTTGTCCTTAACTATGTTCTTCTAAGTAACCTCATTTATTGCAACTACCGTGGTCACCACCTCACGATATATACCCAACAGAACTAT